GTGTGTGTGTGTGTGTGTGTGTGTGTGTGTGTGTGTGTGTGTGTGTGCGCGTGTGCGCGCGCGCGTGCGTGCGTGCGTGTGTGTGTGTTACGCGATTACTCTGGATCTTGATCCCGGATCCTGATTTGAGGAGAACCGATTTTGACGATTCCTTTTTTGTTGGAAAGAGGGTAATAGATGAATTTCCACAAATTATTGAGGTTCTTTTTTATAAAAAAAAGTTATAATGTGCCAAAAAGATAGCCACCCGAGTTATCTAATACCTATTGCCATAGTGCATGACTTAGTAAAATTATTGCTTTAACTCGTGTCTACACCAACGCGTAGTCTCGATTAATGACATTAAACCTTTGTAATAATAATAATAAAGAACTTTATTTATCTACATTTATAAAACAGTTTAGTCGTAAATAACATCACTTATAGATACTGTGTAGATAAAAAGGATAGAGTCTCAGCTTAAGCTGTTTTTCAGACCCTACCTTTTTGAAACTCGCTACATTTTAATCATAGTATTTGTCTGACGCGTCTCGAGTAGCTCCAAAAGATATCACAAAATAATAAATATATATATATATAATACTCACTTAAAGTTATAATAAATCTATTGTCCTTATAGTACCTGAGATAGATAAAATATTCCACCTAAAAATACTCAAATTTGGGGTTTAGGTAGAGATGAACAGCACCCACACGTAAAAATATAATTACAAACTACATCCAATTACTTTCTGATCTTTGCCTCGAAAGTAACCAAAGCTTGCACTTTATTTTAAAAGTACAAGATGACTTTGAGTTTCGTACTGGAGGAGGCAAATCATTCCAGCACTTAGATGCAGCGAATTTGAAACTCCCGCGGTAAAGCGTTAATCTAGGAGGTGGTGCTATATGTAGAGAAGGATACCGTATTGCCCGTACATTACGCTCATCCCTATCGTTCCAATTTAATTTTCTAGCCAAATAGGCTGGAGTACAGGACTTCCGCAAATTATAAACGAATGTGTTTAATTTTAAAACTCTGCGGTTTGTGTGGCCGTAGCATCACCGCTGAAAGGTTAAGCTTGTTAAACACCTTTGTTCACACTAATCTACTCAGACCAAATAGACTGTTAGGGGATCAGGTATCAATTGTGCAACGTTCGAACACGAAATTCTGCTTAGAACTACGTAAATAACTGAATAACTTTTTTCGTGAGTATTTGAAGTTACGGCGTTTTGTGTTGAAAAGGACAGTGCAACATATTTCCACAAGCTAAGTAATTTTTAATCGTTGATAAAGCTAATAACAAACAAACAAAACTGACAACAAAAGTCCTTTCTGGGGTTGCCTATCAGAAGTCCGGAATGTCATTTTTCAGAGGTAACGTTTGCTCGAATTTTCATAACCTCGAAATTAATTTTGAGAGGAAAATGTTTTTCTCTTAAACCTAACTTAACCTAACCGAACATAATCGTGTCTTTGCCGTTACCATCCAACATATCCTGACAAAACAACGGTTTCATTATAATTCGGTTTTCGGGGTAATGAAAATTCGAACAAACGTTATTTCGGAAAAAAATAAATACGTGTTTATGATAGGTTATGCTTTTCTGGTTGTTTTTTTTAAATATTAATGCACCAGTACATGAAAAAACGTTTTATTAATCACCGTTAGTAGGCATATAATATTAAAAATTTATTTTCTATTCATCATTGTTTATATTAATAGTTGCATTGGATTATAAATTAAGGAGGAAACTTTATCCAGAAAGTCCATCCTAGTACGCCACGACATCTTCTCGATTTCGAAATAATGTCTTCTAAAAATGTAATTAAAATCTCTATTTGGTAAGTCTCTAGGTGGTCTGTTGTCGAGTTGGAAAATTTTCAATTAACATATATTTCGTTTTTGTCTATTATATTCTAAGTCATTTATTTAATATTTGAAAGCTCCAATTCTGATCAATTAGTGATGTCTTAATTCGTTTCCGATTAAATTTTTTATAACAATCAATTTTATTTATGAAGAAGTTGTAATCGTGAATACAAGTGGTTCAAAAAAGAAGATATTGTCCGATTGGGATTGACAATTTGTGTACTCAAGAATAAATTATTAATGTTAATGACGATTTAAGTGATGATTCCCGTTCATATGGAAAAAATCCGATGATTCATTATAATAAACAACAAGAATTTATTATAATTATTTATAATTTATGTCATTTCATTATAAATTATTACACAGATACCTAAATTTATCAACTTGAATACTCTTCGTTACACAATCTGTTGCCTAGATAAATATCGGAGCTAAAGAGCACGTCGCTTCACTAAAATTAAAAATAGTCCAAAAGAGTCCAAAAAGTTTTCAAGTCCAAGCATTTTTTTGTCTATGGTTGGATGTGAATAATTACTGAACTTCAGAGGAATGCATATGTCAAAGTTAAATAAATGGTTGGACGGAGTATATGGAGTGGAGTAAAATTAATGTAACACTGTCTTCATTGCATGGGAATTCAACTTTTATGCATAAGAAACGTCTTTTCATAGACTGGTGGCAAATAAGACTATATGAAATAAATAATTTATAACTCAGGACAAAATCGTGAGAATACATTTTTAAAAGAGTGATCAGTAGAGTATACATGTGACATACACAGGGTTTGTTTGTAAAATACTAACGACCTCGAAGGACTATAATTCATCAGCTTTCATTTTAGTACAAAAATTAAATTATTTAAATAGATCGCTCTAAAAGGTGATAACTCTGTGTGGTATCAACATAAGAGTACATAGCCAGAAATAGAGACGAAATAAGGGTCATCCATCCCTGGCAACTAACCAGGCAAATGGGCCTTATATGAGTTTTAAATATCTACTCTCGTTTGCACTGAAATCACAAATTAGAAAGCTGAAATAGTACAGCGCCAACAACGGACCTGTGTGTAAGTCTCCGTATATTACAAAAATATTCTGTGTTTATTGTAATAAAGATAATATCTATAACAATGGGGGGCTGTTTCATTCGGTGTCATTCAACAGCAAAACATCTAATTACAAAACAAACGGAAAAGCATTTAATCGGTAATTAAATATGTAATTTTTCAATTTTGTTCCGTTATAGCAAAGCTCAAGGTAAACTGGTCGGTTCGAAGAGAAACATGACACCTGTCAATTGTTTCGAATTCTGGCTGGCCAATCGGAGCGCAATTGTCACCGTAATGATTTGGCAGAATAGTTTTCAAACAAATTAAATGACGTTTCGTCTCCATTTCTGGTTATATACTCGATAGGTATCAACAGAAAGCGTTTGAAAGTGCAAAACGCAGGAGCGGGTTGGGAGTCATCAGGGAGGACACTTGCATGTTTGTACTTACTATCAAATATAGATCTAAAAAGTGTCAACAAAACAAAAACTTAAAAGTGTACTTTTAGTAAATTTACTATGTTTTCTAAAAAGTCAATGAACAAAAGCTGTTGTTTATGATGTTCGTAATATAGTTCAGCGAAGTTATTCGTGTTTTACAAATAACCCTGCACGAATAATTCGCAAGGGACATATAAAAGGGAAATAATAAAATTATATTACAATTAATCACTACAATAGTGAGATATATTTATTAATATATATAATATTATTTATCTGAAAGGTGAATATTTTAACCACATTGATTTTGTAGCGTGCACAGTTCCAAAAAAGATTTATAAATGTAAAAAATAAAAATGATACATGCAATTAAAAATACCCTGTCTTTTATTGCTTCTTCTTCCTAATGTTTGCATGGGGAAAAAACATTTTCTTTTATTACGTAGGATTCTAAATTAGAGATAATAAACTGACAGTTATTTATGTCAATTTGAAAAATAATGTTGCCGTATTTATTGTACAGTGATGTTACTGATGTTTGATACAATTCTCAACAAATTCACTGAAACAAAATCAGTCACGAGTTCTTAGGCTTTCGCGATGGCTATACATTGGAAATGAAACTATTTTTTTCGCTTATAATTGATAGAAAGATAGAACAAACTCACAGAAAATTTCCTTCGATCGAGTTATTAGCCGAATCGATTCGATCGATTGTTCTTATTTTACTTTGAGTTTTTTCTTTGTATCAATTATAACAACAAACTAGTGCAGTACTTTCATAAAAAATATATAATTTTTTCCGATCTAAATCACTTACATTTGCTTTTTCAAACTAATCAAGTTTCGGGCCTTTTATAGCTGACCATGAGTACAGTAAAGAGCTCAAAACGCTAGATGTTTTAAAAGAAAAAAAACAAATTACACAATTTAAATACGAAAAGAAAAAAATCCAAGAATCTGTCACGTTTAGTCTCTACATATATATTTCTATAATTTTTCTATTATACAATCCTTGATTTCTTTAAAATGAATCCTTACGGATCATTAAGAAAATATGATATAGCTCGTTGAGTGAGTCAGTGAAGTCGAATTTGTAAGACGGCATTACTTATATTTGATCAAACGTTAACATCCCTGGAAATGTCAATTTATTATATCTAGTTACAAACCCAACTATATTTATGTATTTGGATTTACTTACCCCACCAGACTTGGACTGGCGCCTCATAGAGCTGCGATTGGTGCTTGGTATGTCCACTTCCGAGTGTTCCACTGACCATCCAATAGCCAAAAGTGCTTTGAGTGACTCACGTACTGGTTCTTTATAACGCTCTTTTTCCTGTTGAAGCAAATTTGGGAAATGATTTTTAATTCTGCTAACTGGGAAGTTGTAGTTTCTATAGCGGTGAAATATGTACAATAGGGTATTGTCCTCGGGACTCGGGGGCAAAGTGTCAACGTCTTTGCAATTACTTATTTACGGTCTTCGTACAGTCTTTGCGAAGACGTTAAGGGTGCCCAAAAGGAGCCTCACAGCACGACGTACCATTCCTGCATCTGTACATCTGGCGCGCTCTGGGCAACAATTGGCTAATTCTTTCACAACGATGACGAGCATTACAATGTACGGGTTAGCTATCAGTAGTCCGAAATGACATTTTCCAGAAATAACGTTTGCTTGAATTATCATAACCTCGAAAGTAATTTTGAGAGGAAAATTTTTTTTAAACCTAACCTAACCGAACTTAATCGTGTCTTTGCGATAAACATACAACATAGCCTGAAAGAACAACGGTTTCGTTCTAATTCGGTTGTCGGTGTAATAAAAATTCGAACAAACGTTATTTCGGAAAAAAAAATTCGAATTTGTGATAGGTTACCCAATGTACGCCACCGATACGATAAAAAGAAGCATTGTGAGAACAACGAAATAAGTGTCCTCGAATTTAGGCAAAAAAACTTGTAAATGTTCTACAACTGGTAACATTGAGAGGCAGTTTATATGGAAATGTCGACCGAAAAATTCTCAAGAGTTTAAAATACTTTTATTGGAAAGTAATTAAATCTAGAAAAATGTGGCGGTTTCAAATTTTATGGTTATAGGAGCGTTGCAGTGCCAATCAGAGCTTCAAATCTCAAAGATTTGAACTGTACTGCTATTGCGCCCGTCTCTCTGAGACATAAGTGGTCAAGTCTCATGTGCCTGTAACCTTACCCACCAGCACCCTTACCCTTAAACCGGAACGTAGTAATGTGAGCATTACTGCTTGGCGGCAGAAATAGGTAAGGTGCAAGGTAAGCAATACTTCCCTGGACGAACTCTTTCACAAGGAGGTCTACTGCTACAAAATGATAGTGGCTCTGCAAGTGGGCTTTCAAATATTGTATGAAAATTAGTAGTACCGCGGCTGCAGCGCCACAATGGTGCCACTACAGAGCTTCTATAAACATCAATTTGAAGGCGCCCTTAAATTGAAAAATTGAAGTCTAATTCGGAACATTATTAGTCATTAAATGACCTTTATGCATTCTATTTGTGAGATATACAATTTTGGTGTTTAAGTGTAACGAAATGTACTTACGTAATCATTGAGCATGTTGTAAGGCTTGAGACGCGAGTGTGACTTCTGAGAGTCCGAAGACGATTCGCCGTATACCCAACCATTCTCGATTTTCCTAAAAAAAATATTTCATTTTGGTACACTTGAATTCAAATTTTGACTTAAAATAACAATTCCAAGGTATATAACACGAGCCACATTGGGACTGCACCACAATTGCAAACATTAGAAATAGCAGTTTGGATGCAGTAGCGAAGTAATTGCGAAGCAGCTGACGTGCAGTTGGGACTGCATTTCAACTGTCATTTCAATGCAGATTCAATGTGATGAATATATGTATATTTCAGAGTACAACAAAAGTAGGCCAGAAATATGAATTGTTACCCGTTGTAAAATCAACAGGACATCAAGCTATGTATAGACTTTTGTTGGAATATCGCCTCCAGAGCAACAGAATAAGATTCATCAATGTGTAGCTTGATATGCTGCCGTCTGTACCTTTTTCTATTTTGTCTTCGTACGCACTTATAATCTCAGGACATGTTGATTAGTCAACGCTTGGTCGAAAATTTTTCTTTAATAGCTGGAAGGGGGAACACCATTTTGAACTATTTAACCTCCACCGGGTTGGCGAAGTAGCAAATTAATTTACTTCCATATTAACTTGGATTTTCGCAAAGTAACGCCTGAATCTATTAATTATATCCTTTAATATTTTTTTTCACTTCATTAGCTCGGAAAGTCTTTCTTTCTCATTAGAAATCTGCACGCAAAAGCGTTAAAAAGGTCCACGCTAAAAGGGTTTTGAAATTCGAACTTGACGGTGGACTGTGGTGCACCCAACTTTTTCGATGAAAAAAAAAAACATAGTGACACGGTCAACTACGTGATTTGTCGTACATTATTTTATGTAATATAAATCCGTTGGTATATTTTATCCTTATTATTGTTGACATTAAATCGACAACGATTATTAATTTTGTTTATTAAAACTGACTTGTTATAAGTTCAACTGTTTTTCTATCATCTACCATTTTTCTCGCTATAGTTGGGTGAAAAGTTGTGTTTCGCTCGGCAGCAAAGTTGTTTTGCGTCTCGGGTCTTGAAACCCTCGCTACATTAGGATTCTATTTTTGAAATCTCAATCTTAGTATCCTTCGCTTGCTCAGGTTTCAACACAAGCGTCAAACAACAACTTTGCAGCTTTGCATAACATATAACTATTTTCTGTCCGAGTAATTCATGGATAGTCTTTAATTGAAAGAGAATAACTATGCCTTTTTGTTTCAACCCATATTTTTTATCGTGACTAGACAGAACGGTCAATTCAGAAAGCAATAGACACAATCGCTGTCAATGTACTCACCTGGAAGCCCAAGCATCGTGGTAATGCTCAGAGAATTTCTGAACAATGGTGTTGAGGTCGTTGTTCAGTGCTACAGAAGACGTGTTGATAGGTTGAGGATCGTACTGGGGGTTATCTGGACCACCTAAGTACATTACAATGGTTAATATCTTGAAGTACATAAACGCTACATCATGATTATATCTTTAGTAGCAGTAGAGCTCCTTGTGAAAGAGTTCGTCCAAGGGAAGTACTGCCACCTTACCTTTTTCTGATGTAAAGGTGCTGGTGAAATTACAGGCACATGGGACTTGTCAACTTATGTCTCAGGGTGACGGGCGCAGTGGCAGATCTTTGCGCTATAAAGATCTGAGTGGCACTACAACTGTTATGGACTGGCGTGTAACTTACAATCAGGCGCGCGACTTGTTCGTCCCGTCACTTGACATTATAAAAATAATCTTTTTTAACCGACTTTAAAAAAAGGAAGAGGGTCAATTTGCCTTTATTTTTTTGTGTATATATTACGTGATTACTCTGGCATTTGTGAACCGATTTTGATGATTCTTTTTTTTATTGGTAAGAGGGTACCTCCGTATTAGTTCCGTTTAAATTTGTAGAAAATTTTACATCTCTAAGGGTGGTAAACTAAGGGGTAACCGATTTCAATAAAACTTGGCAAATAGGTGTAATTCCATGAACTTTTGAGGTCGTTTTTTTTGTAAATACGTAAAATTATTATATATAAAATAGAAACACGCTTGACCACAATCGTTAGCGACAACGTGACCTATAACAACCTATAATAATGAACCTACATTTTGAAAAACGTTTTACATTCGAATAAGCATTATAAAATCATTATTTGTTTTACAAATACTAACACACTCTTTATGAAACAAACAGCTGAGCGGTAGAAAATTGAACTCCGCGTGTCGAGCCTTCCTACTTAAAGGGTACTGTTATTTTCCCTTCAATCAAAGCGTGCGCAGAAGCCGGTAAAGGTAGCGGGCACTCGCTGCATGTTCGATTTTGCGCAGATTATTACAAAATGTTAGAGGCAGTATTTTCCTCAGTTTAAATATTAAAAAATAAGGTAGTGTTTTTTTTACATATTAGTTATGGGTATCAGATACACATTCGCCTCTTTAAATATTTAACTCGTTCAACCTGTCAGCCTGTATATCGAGACCACCCTGTATATAAGAGAATGTCAAGCAGTTCTAATCATAAATTTAAGGGGTATCAGTTTCGTTTCTTGATACACCTTGATAGTTATACCCTTAATGTAATTAGTGTAAACAAGGTACCTGTAGACTGCGATTCTTTTCCGTAGAACTCATCGTCGTAGTTCTTGGAAAGCGAATAGTCCGGTGGCAAAGCACAACCTGAAAAAAAAAAAGTCTTGAAATTAAGGTATCCCATTATATCCACATTGAGCTGTCAAATTCGAGTGATAAATCTTAAGATTTTATTACAATAACTAACATGACGTGTATCGTGACGTCATATTTTTGCCAGATCGCGAGCTCCGCGACCGGTTATTATTAACTTATGACATTTAGGATAATATAACAAGCAGTGCATCTCCCGGCATCTCCCGTCTGTTCGGCGCTTCAATGCCTACACTTCGCAGGTTGTTAACTTAATTTGAAAAAAAAAAAAAAGATGTCCATCGCAGTATTCTGGTTCTATATTGCAATAACCTTCGTTATTAGAACTGCTTCCGTGGCCGAACGGTTACCATGCCGGAGTGCCACGCAGAGGTCCTGGGTTCGATTCCCAGGCCGGGAGAAATATGTGTATAGACTACATTTATTTCTCTCGTGTGATTGGGTGTTGAGTTTCTCGTAATTTGTGGTTGTCTGTGTGTGGTCAATGGCACCCGCGACACAGGGTTTCCCTAGTTTGGGGTTATGAGTGTGTTGCGTTGTTGTGTGTATATTGTTATTATTATACAATATTCATATCATATATTATAGACAACTACAAATTACACCCACACTTACGAGATAATTAAATGTAGGCTATACAAATATTTCTCCCGGTCAGGAATCGAACCTGGAACCTTTGCGTGGTAGACCAGCATGGTAACCGTTCACCACAGAGGCAGTTAAATGTAGTCCTTACATATTTATGTTTTTATACTAACATCGCGAATTGGTATTTTGGTTAAGTGGATATGATTATGTAATAAAAATTAAATGCTGAATAATCCTGAATTTCAATCATGAGGTCTAATTAGTTCTCAGTAAATGGTTGCAAACGTTTGACTATACGGATACTGAAAATCTTTTAATGTAACTGTTATTATTAAATTTAGGGTATAGATTGGCATTCACATTGAATAAGTATATATAGTTTTAACTATACTTTTTAAGATTTTTATTCTTTTTATTATTTTTTATACATATATTTTATTTTTAATATTATTAGCCTTTTTTAAAAATTTTATTATTGTCGTAGTTTTTATAATTACATACCATAGCAATTGTCTTTTTTATACTGTTGATTTTTACCTCTTGGTTGTACTGTATTTACCCAGTGATTGCCAGTGAGTGGAAATACAAGCTTTTGCTGAGTTTGGGATTCGGTAGTTTAAACATTTTATGTAAGTAGCACGTATATATAATCAGCGAAATAAGTTTTTTTTTTATATAACGTACCCATTGTTTTTAATTTTGTTGTATGTGTATATGAATGAAATAAATATTATTACTATTATGATAATCATTCGGGTTCAAACTGCCACAATACAACAAACAACACAACAATAAACACGTCTACTACTTCAATTATGCGAATATGATTATGCGTCCGTATACGACGCGCGGCGGGCGCGTGTTATTATTGTCTGTTACTTGTCGTATTTATACGCTTATAGCACTAAAATATTTACTAATTAACATACTTAAAAAAGGAGGAGGTTCTCATTTCGACTGTATATTTTTTTGTATATGGTATGAACCGATTTCGATGATTCTTTTTGTTGGAAAGAGGGTGCCTCAATATTGGTCCCCTTTAAATTTGAAGAAAATATTACACCTATAGGGGTGGCAAACTTGAGGATCAATCAGGTTTCGCGCACTTTTTGGTAACCGATTTCAATAAAACTTGGCAAATAGATGTAATTTTACGAACTTTTTGAGGTCGGTTTTTTTTTAAGTTTAATTGTCAAAGTAAACGATTTAGATAAAATGATCCTAAAGTGATATTTACTTTAAACTCGTTTATCTACTTACCAATAGCAATCAAACAGGGCAACGCTTTGCCGAACAATTCAGGCTCATAATCCATCTTGGAGAGGGAGTCAAAGATATTTGAAAACAGCATCATGGTGAGGCGTTTCTCTTCATCGGAGGAGCCGCCTTGGCCGGCACCGCTGCTGCCGTAATATTTTGCACAGCGCTCGTAATGGAGCGTTAGGAGCTGGAAAATTTGGTAAAAGAACGTTTGTGACGTCATCTGTTTACTTATTTAATATAAGGCTTAACAACTAAATATATACAGAGATGTTGAGTATATATATATATATATATATATATATATATATATATATATATATATAAATAGAAATAGAACGAAATGTCATTTAATTTGTTAGAAAATTATTCTGCCAAATCATTATGGTTACAACTGCGTTCCGATTGGCCAGACCGAATTCGAAACAAGTGACGAGTTTCGTCAATTGTTTTACTTCAAATAGACCAGTTTAAGTTGAGCTTTGTTATTATAAACGAAAGTTGAAAAATTACATATTTAATATTTAATTACCGATGAAATGTGATTCCGTTTGTATTGTAATTAGATGTTTTGCTGTTTTTCCCACACCTCCGAATGGAGCAGCCCGTCATAGGTAGAGATATTATCTTTATTACAATAAATACAGAATATACGGAGACGCACACACAGGTCAGTTGTTGGGGCTGTACTATTTCCGCTTTCTAATTTGTGATTTCAGTGCCAACGTGAGTTGATATTTAAAAGTGACATAAGGCCCATTTGCCTGACGAGTTGCCAGGGATGGCTGGCTCTTATTTTGTCTCTATTTCTGGTAAACTTCTTTTCTATATCGGTACTATTTTTATTTAGCAACTAAACACTTGAAACTCACCCTAAGGGCGACAGTAGTATACTCCGAAAGACGAGACACGTCTACGGTGAGTTTCCTTAGCAACTTCAGCAACATGGACGGTTGCATCGCTGATGTCAACGCGACCAGGAAGTCGGACACTGCTTCGCGTTGGCCTTTGGTTAACATGCGGTTCTTTGATAATCTGGACAAAAAAAATAAATACATTGAATGCAGTATAATAACCTGGCGTCATTGGGGTTGGAACATAATAGACTGACCCATAATGACATTTATACTTTTGAATATTTTTGTAAGTGCACGCGATGTTGTTCTCAGTAGCTGGAGCCAATATTGTGTTGTAAATGTTTTTGACCAGAAAGCAGCTTGGCGAAGGCCGCTCTGTGAGATACACGTGTGCAAGTATGAAAAAGGTAAATGTAACCCATCCCCACTGCCTTACGTAACAATTATGCGCCATTTTCACGAATGATTTTTGTTTTGGTAATTAATATTTATTTGTGTTTAATTAAAGGTTTTTTGCATTAGAGTTAAGTATTTGGTAGTTTTATTGTATTATTGGCTTAGAGATGGTGACTTTAATGACCTTTTGGAGTACACTGTTGTTAAATTATTTTTTATAAGTAGTGATGATGATGAGAAGCTCAATCTCACCTATAAACCGTGTGCAAAGTAGCGTCCAAGAGACTGGCGTAGTTCTCAGCCTCGTTGTAGAAGTTGGCGTGCTTGATGAGAAGCGGCAGGATCGAGTTGCCGATGTATCGGTTCATCGACAGCGCCATATCCGATTCGCACCCGTCGTTCTGAAAATTTTTAAAATGAAATATTGTTAAGTAAAATCAATTACAATGGTTATTCCCGTGTTGTAATGAGAAAGAGCGGGACGGTGGCCTTCTCTGGTGCTCTAGTGGGAAGGATCCGGGATCGACTTTGCGCACCGGAACCCCCTCAGCATCTGGGAAGAGCTATGTCCTCCCTCCTCCTCACGATGAAGAGGGCTACACCGCCCCGTCGTCCTACTCGCGGCTGCCAAAGTTAGTGGCGGACGGATTGAAATCGCGCATTTTTTTAAAAACAAATCTACGTTTCGGGCCCTTTACAGGTCTTATGGTCATGGGACCTGTAAAGGGCTCGAAACGTAGGTTTGTTTGAAAAACAAATATACGCGATTTAAATCCGGAAAAATAGTTTCATTTCCTCTATAAAATTGATAAAAAAAAACTTTTCTTGGGACCATTCCTTCCGACCATTTCTTTTGGTATAATTTCAGTTCTTGCTTACGTTTTAAAAATTATTGCGATAAAACATTAATGCGTCGTTGTGTTCTTTATTTCATTCGTTTGAATTATTTTAACATTATCTATCTATTTACTTTAAAGTCAATGATCACACGAAATTGAGGTGTTCGGTTTTGTGTAAACCTTTTGATATATAAAGCAAAGAAATATCGATTATATCTACAAATTATTGTTATTAAAGCTCACCCTGTCCAGCATAGTCGCGGCCCTTAAATCAGGCAAGAATGCCTCTTCCAACAATTTGTAGAACAGCTCTTGCGTTTCGATTCCGTAGACTCGTTCCAAGAATAACCCAACGCTCTGTTTGTGGCCAGGTATAAGGCCGGATGGCATGTCTGTAACAGGAGATACCTATTAATTACCTTGCAACAAAGACCACTTTCCGTTGGACCCTGAAAAGTGGCGGAGGCAATAACTTGATATCAACATTTGTGGTGTCAGGATTTCATACGAGTCTTTACATTAAAGTAAATGGGGTGCTCGAGAGGAGCCTCCCCGCTTGACTACCATTCGTTTCCTGTACGTCTGACGAACTATGGGCTACAATCGGCGAGTACCACCGAGTATATAACCAGAAATAGGTTATTGAAAAATTTGATTTGATATTTCAACCTCGAACTGTTGGGGAGCTGATCAATATATTATAAGTTGTACACGTACCATCGTTTTACCTATAGTCTTCTGTGGCCATCGAGTATATAACCAGAAATAGAGACGAAATAAGGGCCATCCATCCCTGGTAACACATCAGGCAAATGGGTCTTATATCACTTTTAAATATGAACTCGCATTTGCGCTAAAATCACAAATTGGAAAGTTGAAATAGTGCAGCGCCAACAACTGACCAGTGTGTACGTCTCCGTATATTCCAAAAATATTCTATATTTAGTGTAATAAAGATCATATCTCTATCAATGGGGGGCTGTTCCTTTCGGTGGTGTAGGACAAACAGCAAAACATCTAATTACAAAACATACGGAATCACATTTCATTGTTAATTAAATTTTTAAATTTTCGTCCATTATAGCATAGCTCAAGTTAAACTGGTCGTTAATTATTTTATTATTACTTAAAGTGAAACAATTGACGCGTCAATTGTTTCGAATTCCGGCTGGTCAACCGGAGCGCAGTTGTCATCGTAATGATTTGGCAGAATAGTTTTCAAACTAATTAAATGACATTTCGTTCTATTTCTGGTTATATACTCGATCCATCGATCGAATCTTTTCACGACGATGGGAAGCGTTACATACAGTATATGCCTTCGATACGACATGAAGAAGAAGAAGAATTAAAGAAAAGGCAGGGGAGTGAATTCTATTATGAACCAAGGCTGAGACTTAAACAACGGACTTTGACTTTGCAAAGATGACGAAGTTTAAGCAGGAAATTGTAAACTCAAAGTTTAATCTAACACTAGCTTTTTTGTATACCCGTAAGAGCTCTATTACCTGATTTCGGCCTCTCCTCTCCAGCGGCTGGGTTGTTAAGGGTAAATCGAAGACTGAGTACTCCTTGCAAGTCCTCCAAGGGCACCAGAGAACGAAGGATAGCACGGGCTCTTAGGGACTCATTTTTGCCCTGGAAAATACAACACAAATACTTCTTAACACACTCGATGAATAAAATTACATTACAATTTAGTAGCAGTAGAGCATCTTGTAAAAGAGTTCGTCCAGGGAAATACTGCCTACCTTCCTATTTCTGCCGCCAAGCAGTAATGTGAGCATTACTGCATTCCGGTTTAGAAGGGTAAGGGTGCTGGTGAAATTAGAGGCACAGTGGCAGGCACGGTGGCAGTGCCTCTATCTGTGCACTTTAAAGCTCTGAGTGGCACTGGAACTACTATGAACAGAAATGTCGCTTACCACCGGGCGCACGACTTGTTCGTCCCGTTATTTAGTATAATATGATTTTAAAGAATCTAAATTTAAAAAAGAAAGGAAAACCGTTTATTCATTAAATTGATTTAAGAAGCTTTGCTAATCCACCTCCAATTCATGGACTCAAACAACTTCTGTATACGTTTCGTTCTTAGATTTAAAAATGAAACAATTTTATCGGATATAATAATAATAATAACACTCACACTCAACATAGCCCCGCACTAGGGAAACCCAGTATCGCGGGTGCCATGGACTCACACATAGACAACCACAAATTAATATAAATAAATAAATAAATAACGCACACACTCAACATAGCCCCGCACTAGGGAAACCTTGTGTCGCGGGTGCCATGCCAAATTACACCCAAACTCACGAGAGAAATAAATGAAGGCCATACAAATATTTCTCCCGGCCCGGGAATCGAACCTGGGACCTCTGCGTGGCAGTCCGGCATGGTAACCGTTCGGCCACGGAGGCAGTTTATAATAATTTGAATTATAAAATTTTATATTTTGTTATTTCAAATTATTCAACGTTTCGGGCCCTTTACAGGTCCCGTAGTTACGATTGACCTTGATGCCTTTACTCATCAACTTTGATGACTTTACCTAAATCAGCCCGCAACAGTGGTTTGTTTGAAAAAAAAAAAAAAAACAAATATTCGCGATTCAGATCCGAAAAAGTTCCATTTCCATTGTGACAATCAGTCAGTCTTCTGGTAGCTATAAAATGTACCTGGTTGAGTGAAGAAACATTCATAAGTTTCTCACAGGTAACGCCTGCCAACCCGCTGCGCGGTCCGCCGATTAAGTTTCGTATTAATTCATGACAACGTTGGAGGACCGAATTGATGTATCTTGTTGTCAATTGATGTGCAGTAAAATTTATGGAATGTATAATTTTACGACACAACTCGGCGTTTGTTTTTCGAAATTCGCAATTTTTAAAAATGAAATCTAATACGGTCGTCACTTATAGGATCGCAGGCCAGCACAACTTCTACCTCCGGCAAACTCGCGTCAAAGCTCAATGCAAAACAAAGCAACTTCGAATTGACGTTGCTTCGGTTTATAGAAATATAAACATTTTTATTTTCCTTTTCTTAAAGCTTTTTAATAAGTTACCCTTTGCAACACTAGTTATAAATCAAAAAAATTATACATGTGAGAATGAATTGTAATTTCATCTCACTATTGTAAATAAAACGGTAGTAATAACATCATGATTTTCAATAAAATACAACGACGATTGTTACTCACCAATGCAATGACAGCAGCGTCGGGAGCACATCGTCCCAACAGGTCGACTAGGGTACAATAGAAGTTGAGGATGGCCGCTCCAGTATCGATATAGTCTTCGTCGTCATCAGATTCAGGAAGAGGATGGCTGAACTGTAATTTGATAAACGAGTTGACTTTTTCATGTTGTCAAGTGTTGAGAAGAACAAGTCGTGTACCCGACACTCCCATCCATTATAATTGCAGTGTCGCTTAAAAGCTAATATAATATAAAGGATGTTAAACAGGTACGTTTGAAATTCTAAAGGGTTACTCTACCCATGAAACTGGACAGATTTTTTTCAGCGAATTGAACCTGGAATCTTTAGAGAACGGTATTCAGTATCATGGATAGAGTTCACTAAAAAAATTTTAAACGTGCTTTTTGTAACTACCTGTTCAAACAGATACTCTTTATAAAGCATATTGTCAAACCTTCTACACGTGTAGCCTGTGGGTGAAATACAATAAAGTGACCTTAAATACGCAATATAACAACGTGTTTAGGATGTTGCTGGGGTTACCACGATACTGTAGCGCTTCAGGCATGTTCGCTGAGACACGCACAGATGGCTTTCATGCCATTCTGAGGAAGCGGGTTGCTTCACTTTGGCGACGTGTGCGTGGATGCCCCAACAGCATTCCGAAAGTTGTGGCAGATAAAATTGACTGCCCCATCCAGGCTCACTGGATGAAACTTCATATGGCGGTTTAGTTAAAGTTTACATAATGTGTTAGATTAATTTAATTTTATATTTAAACAACCTCAATTTTATATTTAATGTTGTAATTATCCGCGATTGTATGTTTTTTGAATTTTAACTGTATAATTTTAATTTATTTTAATATTATCTTATTTCATTTTAATTCTGGCATTTGAATATTAGCGTCATACTAACGTTATTCCTAAGTTCTTTACTAACAAACTATGTGGATAATTGTTTTTGGTCCGAAAAAAGTATTATTATTATTATTATAAAAAGGTAGCGTTTAGTAGAAGAAGACGTCCCTGTTTTGCAGGGTAAGGGTACTGGTGAAATGCCTTTAGACATATGGGACTTGTTTATGTCTCAGGGTGACGGACGCATTGACAGTGTCCCTCAGATCTTTGTGATTTAAAGTTCATGTCGCTTACTAACAGGTGCACGACTTCTTCGTCCTGTCACTTGGTACCATAAAAGAGAAATTACAGGCACATGACATTTATTAACTTTGTCTTAGGCATAGCGACAATATCCCACAGATCAAAGAACTTATTTAAAGTTCTGAGTGACACTGCAACCGTTATGAGTAGGCATGTCACTTACCACCAGGCGCACGACTTATTCGTCCCGTTATTTCGTATCATAAAAAAAGATCAGCCCGTGGAAATAGCATTATGTAAACCCATCGCCATTGGAAATATAATTTATGTCATAACTTATGATATCCTCTCCTCTAGTCTCAATAAAATACTTACATTAACATCTCCTTCCTGCTCCAGATCTCTCAGCTTACGCCTATCCGCAATACGTTCAGACATTTTATTAGCATCCACTATAGCCTTCAAGAGACCTTCTCCTTCACCACGTAATGCAGGTCCCAAGCATTCAGGTCGACGAATAAGCAGACGAATCACAAGATTCGCGTTTTCTTCTACGCTTTCGCCGTTCACCTGGGGGAAGAATAGACAGGAGACATATAAAATCGTGGGTGATAGAAAGGGACGGAGTGTTGTCTTCGTTGTTGATGGAGTATATTTACTTAACGTATCTACTAGTTATAATTATTAATACAAAGGTTGAACACTAAGAAAAATTCCTTCGATCCGGCTGGATTCGAAACAGTGCCTTCAGCATACCGTGGCTGAGGCTCTCCCAACTGAGCTATGGAACAAAACAGCAGATCTTACGAATTTTTCTGTATGGTTGTTCTTAGTTTTCTGTGAGAAAAATTTTCCTTCTATAGATCTTGATCCTTTCCATCTTCTTGTTATTTAAGAGCCAGACTCTTGTCGGTGAAACAATTGCAAAACATCCCTGTTTGTGATACAACACGACATTAACAACACCCCTTATCTGATCTAAATAAATTCGTCTCGGTCTTTATCTGCCTGTCTTTCCGTCAATCTTCCCTTCTATGATGTTTTTAAGAAAACTGTCTTGACGTATCAGATTACCAAACAACTTAATGTATATTCAATCGAAATTGTTAGTTGTGTTATTTAATAGAACGCAAAAAAATCATTAGCATAACAGCAGTGGGACGAATATACGAATATTTTTACAGGAAAATACTACGTACCCAAACGCAGAATCGTAAGAAGTCCAAATAACGTTCACCCTCAACTGGGTCCCAACCAAGATCAGGGTATCCCTTCTCCACGAGCTCAGAGTTGCTCTGAAGACCACAACGTGACAGGTATACTGCTATCTTTTCAAGGTAGTGTTCTCTGTAATAATAAAATTTTTATTAATGCATTAGTAACATAGCCAGTTAACATTGAGTGATAATTTTAGGTCGATTTGCAAGAGCTAACGGCTTATATATGTGGGAGATCGAGTTTTGATGCATGATTTTATAAAAAAACTAAGATGGTGGACACTCTTTTACCACTTTTAATACTCTAAATGTTTGTGCACGAGTAAATTGTCAGTGTTTTGTAGAACAGGCGAAAACGCCATTTCAAAATTTTTTTCAGACGAGCAGGAGAATTTTTTTCGGTTTTAATAACTGTTTTAAAATAATACGTCCTGTTTTAAAATTTAAATTATGGTTTTATTCTGTTTAAGTTATAAAATTTAATTTAAAACAGGACATAAATATTTTAAAACAGTCGTGAAAAACTAAAACTAAAATGTGCTCCCCTGAAAAATTTTTCGAAATGAAGCTTTCTACAAATATCGACTGTGAACTGGCAACCGGTACTATCTCAAATTTGACAACTTTACAGGATGAAGAAAAAACTTGTTTGTGTCATTTATCTATATAAATATCTCATATTTTTATTTAATAAAGCATCTGGTTTATTAAATAAAAATATGTAGTTTTTAAATATTTTTATTACACATGTTATTAAAAACAATGGAATTTCTTGCAACGCTGCGGAGTACGAAATAGTATAAAATGGTATTAAAAAGTGAAATCTTTAGAAAATTGAGATAGTACCGGTTGCCACTTCACAATCGATATGTATCTGTATGGTCGGACGGTATGCATTACCTGCTTGATTCTGATCAAGCCAACATAATTATATTCAAAGCTCTACACACGTAATCTATAAATATCTCTATATACGCAATGATGACTATGTAATAAACTATGTTTGCTGTGTAAAATACGGTTAACTAAATGAGTATCATGCGTTATATTAATAATAATAATAACGTTCACACTTATAGCCCCGTCACACATATAGTAACTAGGGAAACCCTGTATCGCGGGTGCTATGGACATACACAGAGACAACACAAATTACTATTTGTAATATTTCTCCCGGCCCGGGAATCGAACCCGGAACTTCGGCGTGGCAGTCCAGCATGGTACCCGTTCGGCTACGGAGGCAGTTTGTTAATGAATCCTGCCTTAAATTATGAAATACATTTATATAATATGGCGGTATTATTTTCACTCCTTTAAATACATAATTATAAATTATTGAATGGTATTTAATAGTTGGCGGTTGATAATGACTGCGCCACCGGAGAAAACGTCCAGCTAGTGTCTTTTAATCCATATTATAAGCTAAGTAGCGAGTCTGATAGTGTGGTGGGTATTGACATCGGCGTAGGATACAACTGGGCATTTCCATTATAAGGGAGGTCTACAGAAGACTATAGGTAATACCATGGTACGTGTACAACTTATAATGCATTGATCAGCTCCCCAACAGTTCGAGGTTGAAATATCCAATCCAATTTGTAACAACTATAACATTGACTAATAATAATAATAATGTTTATTTTCTCTTCCACAAAATACATATTATAGCTAGGAACAGTTTACACGTTAAATTTTGGTAAAGATAATTTTGTGGGAGACTGATGCCTAAACTAAGCAAAAAAAAAAAATGCCTGTGCGTCAGGCCACCAGGTTCCCACCTCTCAGAAATACAAGTTCGAAAAATTTACACAAGATATTTTTAACACTACTAGCATCAACGAGAAATATTGAAATGTCGCTTCACAATCCACAGATACAAACATAGTAATGAGTTGAATATTGCAAATTAGAGTCTCAAAAAGAATAAAAGCATTGTACCATTTACAGTCCTATGTACTTCTATGTAGTCCTATGTACTACAAAAAAATTGCGGGTACTTCGAAAGAATAAGACCTCTTAGAAATTGCTCTGTATATTTTAATTTATTTAAATAGTTTAAGTCTACTTACAGTTCTAATTGTATATAAATGTGTTAGTATATATGCCAGTGAGTGTTGGCTATAACAAATTTTCAACTGCACTTTTCTCCATATCACCACAATCACAACCTTAGAACTACCACTTTGCATCACATCATCTGGGTCCTGGAAAACTTGTTTATCGGCCATGGATGCTGTTGAAGTCAATGATACACTTCAGGACCTCACTTCCTTCTTTCACTCTCGCATGGAGGACTTCGAAAAGGCCCTTCAACAGCACACTATCTCATCAGTTCCTGCTGCCCAGTTACAAACAGTTAAGGCTTTATCTGCAGACTACCAGCAGTTCAAAACTTTTATTGTGAATGCAGTCAAGACTTTGAAAATGCAGCTGGATTGTCTCCACACAGGAATGGATCGCCTGGAAACCCATTCTAGGCGTAAAGTTTTGTTGTTTCATGGCTTGCAAGAGGACAACAAGGAGAATGTTACTGCTAGGGTGCTTGAGGTGCTGAGCGGTAGAATGAAGCTGAAGCAAATTGAAACGGACTGCATAGAGACCTGTCACCGACTAGGGACTGCTAAAAAAGAGCGTACTCGCCCTGTGCTAGTCCGTTTTGCGACGTATAAAAGTAGATCCGTCGTATGGAAGGCCAAGACGGCGTTAAAGGGCACGAGAATTTCCATGTCGGAGTTCCTGACAAAGTCTAGGCAGAACATATTTGCTATAGCCCGTAAGCATTTCGGCATTAAAAACTGTTGGTCATCTGATGGTACCATAGTTGTGATATTGCCGGACAAGACCAGAAGAAAAATTACTGAGTTTGGTGAATTGCAAAAGCTCCAGGCCAGTTTTCCATCCACGGCAGGCAGCTAATTTATCGACCATCGTGATTATTGTGAGGTATCTCCACTTTAAACAATTTTCCATTACAAAATTTTAAGGTATTTCATTATTAAGTCAAAATTAAAATTGTATTTTTCATTTGCTCGTTTAATGTTAGCTGTCAATATGACTTTTCGTTCAAAAATTTTTTAACGTTAGGTATTTATTTAAGCCTTTTTTTTGTTTCTTCTTTTTGTTTTCGTAACTTTGGATTTGAGTCTTTCAGTCTAAATATCAATGTGAATGAAGTTTTTTATGTACCTATACCAATCATAATACGTATTATTTTATGCTGACTGTCCTGTACCTAAAATTTCAACATGCAATTTTTTTTATTTTTTTTTGTAACTATGGACTCAAGTCATTCAGTCGAAATATTAAGGATATTTATTCCTTAATTGTCACTTCATGGCTTTGTTGATTTTGTATTCAATGTAATATCATTGTTTTGTACATTTTTATATTGCTTTTACTATTATTGTGTTGCCAACACTCGCTGGTGGTTTCGTTTTTGTTTTTTTGTCTTTAGTTTTGCTTATTTATTTTATTTGTAGGAAGTATTTTAGTCTATACTCATATTGTTTTATTATTTATAAATTACATATTTATTCATTTATATTTATGTCTGTAAACTCTAATTATTTTACTGATAGCTCATCTGATGAGTTTGAAAGTGCTTGTAGTGATATTTCTATTTCTTCTGACTCTGATGGCCCTTCACTAGATGTTAAGCTGCAGTCAATTTTTTATGGAAAATCCAATTTCCTTAACCTGGTGCACATTAACGCGCAGAGTGTTCCTGCACACATTACTGAATTAAATATGTCATTCAACAACGGCATAGTTGATGGAATCTTAATCTCAGAATCTTGGCTCAAACCCTCTCTACCATCCCCCCTTTTTACACTTAATGGGTATAAATTATATCGAAACGATAGAGTTGGAACTGGTGGTGGAGGTGTATGTATTTACATCAAGAGCCACATACCGTGCTCCGTCGTCAGCCAGTCTCCTAGCACTTATACTGGATCTTTAGAGTATCTATTTCTAGACCTCAACTTACATCACACCAATATCTTAGTTGGTGTTACTTATAGCCCTAGTGTTAATGTAAATTATTTTGACTTATTTGAGACTACCCTTGAATCCTTGAGTGCCTCTTACGAACATGTAATATTGATGGGTGATCTTAATACTTGTTTATTAAAGAATAACTTTCGGTCTTCACGTCTTAACTCCATGGTATCTGCTGTGAACTTTGTATTGCTCCCACTTACTGCCACCCATCATTCTCCTAACTGTCAACCTTCACTTTTAGATGTTCAGATAGTCTCTAAACCTCAATCGGTTCTCCTGCATGGACAAACCACTGCCCCGTTCTCATACCATGACCTCATATATTTGTCTTATCGAGTACGCACTCCCAAACCCAAAATTAAAGTCATTTTTCAGCGTAGCTTTGGTAACATTTCTGTGGATCGCTTGAGAGAGGAATTTTCTAATATTGATTGGTCTGCTTTGATTGAAGCTAGCACAGTAAATGAGAAGATCAAAATTTTTAACAAACACTTAATAAAGTTGTATGATTCTCATGCCCCACTCAGACCAGTACGTGTTAAGCATCTGCCTGCGCCTTGGCTTACACCAGCAATAAAGAAAACCATGAAACGTAGGGACAAGGCCAAGTCGATTCTCAAGAGGTTTCCAAGTGAAGACAATTTGTTTTCTTATAAAAGGCTGCGCAATCTCTGCAATAGACTGTGTCGTGACGCAAAGCGGCGTTACTTCCACTCGTCGATGGAAGGCTTGTCTATGGGTCAAACTTGGAGGTTCCTGAGGTCACTTGGTGTGGGTAAAGATCGTGACTGTACTGTTGACTTGCCTGACCTTAACTCACTCAACAAATACTTCACCAACTCACCATTTACTGTTGCTGACTCTATCAAAGCGGACACGCTCACCTCACTGGGCACTGCTACTCATCCTGATTGTGTACCTTTTTCTTTTCGCGAAATCACTGAGGGGGAAGTTAAGAAGAGTATCCTATCCATAACTTCCAAGGCTGTGGGTGAAGATGGTATTTGCCGCGACATGCTGATACCTATCCTGGATGACGTTGCTTCAATTATCACACACATTTTGAATACTTCTCTTGCAACTAGCGTCTTTCCTAGCGATTGGAAATTAGCTCATGTCATTCCCATCCCTAAATCCGCTACTCCCACGGCTTTCTCCCAATTTCGTCCTATCTCCATCCTACCATTCCTGTCCAAGGTCCTTGAAAGCACAGTTCATAAACAACTTCACTCATATGTCTCTCGTCATGAACTTATAAGTCCGTATCAATCTGGTTTTCGTCCTGGTCACAGTACTGTAACTGCTTTGCTTAACGTCACCGATGATATTCGCCACGCCATGGACAACAGGTTGTTTACCATTATTGTTTTGCTGGACTTCAGCTGTGCTTTCAACTCTGTCGACTATGACATCCTCCTTGCCATTCTCTGCTCTCTTAACATCTCCCCTGCTGCAATTGCTTGGTTTTCGGATTACCTCCGCAATCGCTATCAAAGGATCAGGAATGATGACATTTATTCTGATTGGTCTCCTTTGACTTCAGGGGTGCCACAGGGTGGTGTACTTTCACCTCTTCTCTTCTCGCTGTTCATAAACGAGCTCACTAAATTAATTTCTCCTCCATTCCACTTATACGCAGATGACCTGCAAATTTATAGACATTTTGATGGAGCCAATACCCAATCTGCCATTGAATCTATTAATAAGGATCTTCTTGTGGTGAAGTCTTGGGCTGATGCGTTTGGTTTGCTTGTAAACCCTAGGAAATCACAGGCAATAATTGTAGGTAGCAACAGACTTTACTGCAGGTTGGACATTAATAATCTCCCCAAGGTCTCGTATGATGGAGTGAGTCTTACATATGCTGAAAATACAAAGAACCTGGGTCTGATAATCGACCGTACACTGTCCTGGAGACCACAGGTAAATGAGGTTAGTCGACGCATGCACTTTTCCTATCATTCTCTCAAGCGGCTTCAATTCTTCTTACCGTTCAACACCAAGGTTATGCTTGCTCAGTCCCTACTACTCCCTCTTCTCGACTATGCCGATGTTTGTTATTTGGATGTTACTGAGGAGCTGCTTAACAAACTAGAGCGCCTACAAAATCTGGCAATCCGTTTCATATTCGGTTTACGTAAATATGACCATATCTCTGAATTTCGGACTAAATTGAAATGGCTCCCAATCCGACTTCGCCGAGATATGCACGTTCTTTGTCTTCTTTATAAAATTTTAAATTACCCCCAGCTTCCTCATTATCTGTGTTCCCGTTTTTCCCCCTTATCCCCCAATTCCCGCCCAAAACGTACCTGTGACACTAGAACACTTTTATATCCCCAATCCAACTCCAAATTCTTTCACAATTCTTTTACCGTAAGTGCAGCTCGTATGTGGAATAAACTACCTGCTAACATTCGTGATAGTCCATCGGTGGCATCTTTCAAACACAAATTAAAAGAGCACTTCCTGTCGAACGCGTTAGATAGTTTATAGGTAACATATTTGTAAACAAATGATCTGTTATTATAATATATATTCTGCTTATGTATGTATTTATGTATATAAAGTTCGTGTATGTGCATATGTATGTATATTATTATCATTTATATTTTATTCACATTTAAATTTAAATTTTGTTGTACATTAATTAGTCCCGCAGACTTCATTTTTGCACCACGGCTAGGGTTGGCTGGAAGAGATCTCTTATAGAGATAAGCTCACCTTTGTATATGTCCATTGTAACGTGTGTTTCATGTGTCTTTTCTTTGTACAATAAAGAATATTATACTTTAATTTCTAGGGTCTATCATCATTATACCACTGTAAACATTTTAAATATTAATAATAATAATATAATAAGTGTTGTATTCAACAAGTCAGCATTGCCAAAACCGTGAATAGGATTGAACAACATGCATAATAAATATATTATTTATGAGACAACGCTCAAAAGGTTCAAAGGCTTCTGTTTCGTTATAAGACAAAGTTATGAGCCATCTTTTAAGAGCGCTTTTACATTTGTTAGTGTTTAGTTTATATATTCCAATTATCTTGTTTGCTTTGTTATATAAATGTGGTCCCAGAAAGGCATATGATTCTTGTGCAAATGTGGTACGAAATCGGTGAAATTGTGTACAAAAGTAAAAAAAAAGTATTTAGTTAATGCACGTAGTTCCATCGCACTGCGTTACATGGCATTAGTTGTACTCTGAAATTAGCTGGTTTTGTTCAATTCTAGTAACAGCATATCTATTTGGCACTGACCGGCACTCAAGCTGCCTTCTAACTTCGGTATTAGACGCTGTGCTCTCACGCCAGTGCGACACAGTATTGGGTCCTCAGTACTGTCTGCTTTATCTGTATTTCTGTTATATTGTACGAATCGTCGAAATATATCACATAGTACAATTCGGCGTTGGTTTTGAAAGTCAGGTTGAATTGCTAGTTAAATTGCCCCAGATCTCCAGCGTGACGTCATTAGATATCATGTATGCATTTGATCCTATACATTAGCCCACATAGCTTATCTCATTTTGAAGTCGGTTTATGAGGTTCACTTCAAAGATGATAAAAATATCTACCTGTGCTTATTACACACGTACTATGTATAATAGCAGTGGATACATACCTCAACGCCAAAGCAAGCTCGGTATTCTCCATCAAACTCGAGTAAGCAACGTCGAGAGGCGTGGATCCTCTTAGCGAAGGTCTGGACAGCAGGATATTGGAGTTCTCCAACAGGAAGTCGAAGTGGTCGAACATGGCTTTTTGGTTCTGACGACCAGTGCGGCAGAAGTAGCACAGGAACCGGCAGCAGGCTACCACCATTTCGTGGGAGGTATCCTGATGAAAGAAAGAGAATATAAAGGCTTGGTATAAGAAAGAACATCGGGCAGAATTTCTTAACCTGTGGTCCATGGACCCGTAAATTTGCGTGTAATGAACGCCGGGAGTCAATGACGAGTCTACTTAGCTTAATGGGACAGCAACCGTCACACTAACTATTCATTAAGTGAAGTTTAATATGTAAAATATATACTAAGTAAAATATCTACACAGAAAACGGTATAGGTAATAAAAGCTCCGAAAGACTTGGCTTGCGCATTTAAAGAATCTAAGCTACATGAAAGCGCTAATCGATGGAATGAGCTATATGGTAAAGCCGACCTTAAGTGTGAGGCTAGACGAGCGTAATTTTGTGAGTTGTGAGTTGCGCAGTTTGCGTTGCATTCGGTTTCATACAAAAGTATGGTTTGTTATTTTTTCGTATAAAAGTTACGCCGACTCACGGGCGTAATGACGACTGACTTTCGGTCGCATCGTGCGTCAACTTGGCACGAGTGGAGGTAGGGGTGAGGGAAGGGGTCACTTTGGTATAGGATGCGCGTGATTATAGACAATTCTTGCGAAAATATTCGATACGGAAAAATTTATCGCCGAGGTTGAACAACGACCATGTTTATGGAATTTATCACAAAATGTCTCATATTTGTATCTGACTTAGCAATGAAAGGATTTACTAGGCTTAATAATTCTTGAAAAACATTTATTGGCACGTGGTAGTACTTAACAAATTGATGTTCTCTCTCTGGCTGTTCATATAAACGTGTATATGATATATGAAATTGCCCACACTTTAATCGTTTCATATTGAGTGGATGTACCCAGCTTTTTTTTCTTTTCGAATATCATCTTCTAATGTTTCTTAAACACATACTATTTTTAATGGATCCATTACACTATTACGATACAAACACCCCGTATAAACGCTTAAAAGCAACGGAATAAAATACGTTCGTCTGGCGCTCCAACCGAATTTCGGTCGAGCGCAAAAAAAACTCAACTCACACTAACATTAACGTCACTGTACATTTATGAAAATGATGAAATGAAAATATTATTTATGAGAAGAATATTAGATATTTAGAAGAATATTAATTTTTTTAAGAAAAATAGTGACGGACATAACGTTATTGCGAGGAATGAAAATAAACTAGCTGTTCTTGACACTTGTCGTCACAAAGTCACAAATTCATTTAAGTGGCAATGTGTACGCTTCTATAATAATCCGGGTGACATTCAAAATTTGCGATTAACGAGATCAAAACAATAGCGAGACAAAAACTTTATTCTTAAGGTTATTACGTAGATTCTGCGTACTTTAAATCCTTTTGAGGGGTCTGGATGTTGCCTGACTGATCAGCAATCAATCAATACGTAATAATTACTGTATTATTTCTGTACTATTCGTAATGGCTATCAATAAAGTTAGTATTATATTATTACATATTAGTACTTGGAACACAAATATCCGTGATAGTGACTGGTGTAGCTCTTGCAGGTATCTCGATCTAAGATGTTTGAAATAATTATTGTAATTGTGTGCAAATGTTTAATTATAAAGAGCAAACTCTAGAGTTTCTTGCTCATTCAGTAGGGTTTAATCGTTATGGCGGGTTCAAGTGTAATTTGCTTACCTATGAAATAAAGATGATCTGAGTTTGAATTTAACGTGAACAAAATAACACTCATGGTCAAGTAATATTTTTGGTTTTCTTGCCTAGTTTACCAATTGCAGACCAAAATTTAAAATGTATTTGCGTAGTGTAAGTATCAATACCTAAGAACATAGTTACCCGATATCTGGAACACTGAATTGCAGATTAAAATTGGCATTCAGGTGGTATCTTTCTTTGTCATATGCTGACAGTGACAACGCACCCACGAAACGTGGTCTCCTGTTGCTATATTCTCTGGTCGCTGGGATCCAGTATGCTGATATCTTTTACGATAGCATTACAGGCCTACCACTTAACTGAGTCGGTTCCTGAGGTAGCTGCACGGTGCGGGAGGAGTGACAGTTTACGTAATAGTTGTGTCGCGCTGCACGCGGGACAATTTCTACAAGATTTTTCTGGCGATATTCAATAACAAATTTGTGACGGTGTGACCTCTTTACATCGTCATCCCACCTTTTTATCGCCTTTCACCCGGTTCCTGGCCACTCGTATTTAAATTAAAATTTTGAATTTCCATAGTTCTTTAGCTTCGCATTCCGATTTTGTTTCGTTCCTGCCCGGTTGCGGCAGCGAACACGTCTTCTCTTCTTATTTTGTCGAGCCGTATACTAGTTACTAGAAATCTCATGTACGATAAACATTTTAAAGATCATAAATGTTGTTAAAACTGGATTTATTACCACTAGTTCTTTACCCTTTTGAACTATAAACTTACTAAGAGGCTGCGGAGGCAACTACTACTCTCCTGGCTACATTACAATCCTACTGAACAGTCAATCAGCGCCAGCAGCGCTCTTACAAGTTGATTGAAAAAAGTGCCCAAATGGCTAGTCTATTCATTTCAATTATCAATGAAATAATATTTTTTTATTTTCTTTTTGTATAACAATAATAGACTAATTCGGTACGCACTTTGTATATCCGTAGACAGACGAAGTGATACGCATGAAGACTCACTTTTTCCTTGCCGCCCTCCTCAGCGGGTTGGCCTGAGGGCTGCGCGTCGGACTGCGCCTGCGCGCGACGACCCAAAGTATTCATCATGACCGCCATCACGTTCTCGTGCACGCGGAGTACTCTGTTAGAATAATACAAGTGTAATTGAGATTAAAGATTCTCGAATTGCGTATTGTGGAATATCGCGCTGACAACCGAACAATTTGTGGAATGACATTCCTGATAAGTTTTATTCTTCAGTAATTTCAAAATATTTTTTTTGAAAAACTTTTGTATGAAAAAATATAAATTTTCTTTTCTCAAAATGTAGTGTTAAGTGTGTAACTCGGTTAGAGTAAGGTTTCAATCATTCTTTACCAAGAAAAAATACGCCATTTAGGCACATGTACTGGCAAATCTCCGATTAAAGAGGCGAGAAAGGGTTGTCAATATTTTTTCATACAAAAAATCAGATCAGTATTCCACAAATTGTTATTAATTGCAATGTGCGGTGATAAAATGGGAAATCCGATGCACGATCCCCTACTTGTATAAAATCAAAACATAAGTGGGATAGGCGTTGATATACCTTTAGAGTTATTACCAAAATAGGCTACATGACAGTAGAAAGAAAATAAGATAATTTATGTTTCATAGGACAGAATAAGACAATAGGATAATAGAAATCAAGTTTTTTTTCCATATAATAAGCGGGTTATTTTTATTTTAGCCAAATAAAAATTGGAAATTAGAGCCGTTGGGCACGTGATGGCGAACGCCAATCAGAACGCGTGATGTCACACCACGTTAACAATTTCGCTTCTGTAGAGGCACTTACCTTATTAAATCTGGATGTTGGAAGAAAGTGTGATTGTTCACGAGTTTCCTGTGAATGATATTCAATTTAATACATATATAAAACAGAGCACAATAAGACATTATGATAAGTAACAATTTCCGGTATACAATCGTCATGACATTAAATTTTAAATCCAATATGATTTGGTAAATCATATAATAATATGTTAATTCTTATTTAATAGCCCTGTTGTTGCAGGTCATCCTCCAATCAATACGATCCATAGCCAACGCCGTGACATCTTTATAGCTGCTATTTTTTTTAAGATATCAGGTCATGGGACGAACAAATCGTGCACCACGTGATAAGCGACACGTCTACTCATACCAGTTGTAGTTACAGGGTAGGGGCGCCATCTCTGCGCCCGTCACATAAAGTTGGCAATTCCCATGTGCCTGTAGTTTGACCAGGACCGTTACTCGCTAATCCAACAATAACCAATGCTCACATTTACTGCTTGGTGGCAGAAATAGGTATGGCCGCAGTGCGTCTCTGGATGAGTTCTATTGCCACTATAATTATTAACACGAAAGAAAAATCCCTTCGATCCGTCTGGACTCGAACCTGCGACCTCGTCACATTGTGCCTGATGCTCTTTCAAATGAGATACAAGTTACAGTAATCTACTTTTTATGGCGTAGCGCCATCTGTGAGTAAACTATGAAAGTTTTTCTACACTCAGTCAAGTATCCAGCCGCTGACTAGAGATTTTATGTGCAGTAGAGCTCCTTGTGAAAGAGTTCATCCAGAGAAGTACTGCCACCTTACTGCCGCCAATTACTGCGTTCCGGTTATGAAGGGCAAGGGTACTGATGAAATTACAGGCACATAAGACTTGTTATGTCTCAGGGTGACGAGCAGTGCCCCTAAGATCTGTAAATTAAAAAGCATTGTGTGGTAATGTAACTGTTATGGATAGGCGTGTCACTTACCACCAGGTGCGCGACTTGTTCGTCCCGTCACTTGGTTTCATAGAAAAAAAAGATGCTGGTAGAATATTTGTAATATTAAGTTTATTGAATATCACAATGTTTTCTCTCTTTTCTTTTCTTCTTTTCTGGATCCAAACTAATATTATAAATGCGAACAGGATTGTGTCAGTTACGTATTCACGCCTAAAACGCTGAGCCAATTTCGACGAATTTTGGTATAGAGATAGATGGAACCTAAGATAAGGACATAGTCTACTTTTTGTCACAAAAATAAATCTTAAAGAGAACCAATAAAACTATGAAAGTTAGTATACTACAGTAGGTTATTCGAAGTAATTATTCTACGTAGATAAAGTCGTGAACTTGGTGAATCACCAAATGGAAGTACGTGTAATTCACTAACCAAAGCCTCTTTCTCATAAGTTCTTCTTCTTCCTGGCTCATCTGCACGGGTAATAACGCTCTTATCTGGCTTAATCCAACCCACATCTCGGCCACGTCCAGCTTGGTCTTCGCGTTGATGACGTATGTCTTTTCTAGTGCACGGACGAGTTCGCCAACTGCGTCGTATTGCCGGACTAGAAGGCTGTGAAAAACAAAAGCTTACAAGTTATAGTGTCATATTTTTATGTCGCCTTGTGGTTAGATTGAAAACATAATTGTTGAAATATAATGAATCCATTGACTAAAACTATTGACAGACAGACCAATTAATACAGTAGAAGCGGTTAGTTAGCGTAAGCACGCGTGCCAACTGTAGGTGTAGTGCCGCCTACTTGAGCTCAGTCCGCTTTGTGCGTTATGGTCGTGTCATCGCGCAAATTCTCTAAAATCATAGAAAAATGCTGTTTTGGTGTGCAAAAATGATAGCAGCACCAAAAATATTACCGGTGGTAGTTTCATATCAGTGGTAGGTCAAATTTCCAATTTTCTGTTAATCGAATTGATTTTGTGTGTGTAATAAACGAAAGTAAACATTATCCCAGTGCAATATGGTCAAGTTTTATCTTTTCGAGCACTAAGTAAACATCTCGAATTTGCCACGCTAGTAGCGAACGAAATCGTAGCGAAAAAATGTTTTATGTGTCTTTTGTTAATTTTAAAAGTAATCGATAAAATTAACGTTTATAATGCAATATGTGCTTTAAAGAAGACATCATCTGCAGCTTGATTTTGATTGCCTCTTCCGATAGGAAACTGCGACTTTTCCGAGTCGAGGTGCATAATTGCGATTCACAACTGGGCGATCGGAAACTTTTGACATTTCTAATCGAAAAAATAGTTGATTTAACTCACAAATTAGAAAGATCTAGTAGGAAACAGGTTCATCTTCTCGCTTTGAAACCCATCTGATTTCGAGACTACCCGATCGGATCAATTCCCATTTGAATCAAAATCTGGCCGTTGTTGTCGAGAACATACTACTTTCTATTCCTTCAGATGTTAGTCATTCGTCGTAGTTCAGCTACACCCCGGAAACTCCATACAACGATCGAAAATTATTTACCTACTACTACTACATACAGCAAGGCGTTATCTGCACACGCGCAAATGTGTGCGTGAAGTGGCAGGGTTACCCATCACTTGCTCGTATACGTGATCAGAGCGGCAACATAGCGAAAGTTCTAACGCGAATCTATTATCTATAATTCTATTATAGAATCCTAATAAATACACATGTTCATTACGTATTTATATCGATATAATATTATATTTTTCATTAATTCACTAACTAGAATAATATTGACCATTTATTTAAAAAATATATTATAAGCACTTTGGACAGGTACCTTTAAAAAGGTAACCAAAGTATTTGAAATTGCGTGTCCAACCTTATCATTATCTAGTTAATAATTAGTTATATTCACTACGTAATATTTATTGGCAATAAAAATTGAAAAATTCGAGAACCCTTGTCTAGCTCACGAAGTTATGGCGTCTTATTATATTGATACAATAAAACTGTATTATATATTACTCTGCACTAAAGAAAACAATAACTGAATGAGTCTCAGACACAAGTTTATTGACTTACTACGTTTCATCTTTCAAAAAACACCTCTCTTTATCCCGTTTAGACGATTATAAACAGCCGTACACAGCACAATTCACGACCATTATAAATAGTAACGTAAAATGATTTTATATATTAACGTATAAATTTCATTATGAATAAATGAAAACTATATTCAAATATCAAAGCCGTCTTAGTGCATAACGGCTCGCAGACAGTCTTGTTCTCGTTCAGTCAATGTGACCGTCAATGTGCGGGGCGTGGTGCGGTATCTAAAGCTAGGGAGGGGCGGAGAGTGTCCGTTCTCATTACTTGTTTGTTCTCTGGTTCAGCTACTGACCGCGAGATAGCAAAACACGTTGAATAATATTTCAATATAAAATCATAACGCCGTAACTTGCAATAAAAGCATTTAACTTTCAACGACATAGCGACGGGATAAAGTTTGAATTATATTAACAATCCAGAATTCGTTTCATCTTTTTAAATAACAAATTACGACCAATCATTATCAAGATTTTATAGTGTTTATCATTTGTTAGAGTGCGCTTGGCGACAGCGGTTCTGATAGTAGTCGAGGATCAAGGCACTTCCATTGTTTTTTTTCTTACGTGACTAAAACATACCTAAACATCTCTCGAACCAACTTGGGTGTTTCAATCTGCGATTCCTCTGCCCAGCTAACGATGGTCTGGATCAGTACTTTACGGAATTTCTCTTCAGGTGTCTTCTTTGGTGGTTCTTCAATTGCCTGGTGAAGAAACAAGTATTAACAAGTTACGCCAAATGTAATTCGATCCCATCGGAAAGGCTTTCCAGTGTGGAAAATGCCATCTAGATTGGTACCAACATAGATATGGTACCACCATCTTATTTATTTCCACCAGAAAACAACTTTACAATTAGACAAAATCATAATATAATAATAATAACTATAGGGTCCAATACTACGCTATAGTATTGACGCCTAATTGTTTAAATAAATAGATAATTTGTAAAAAGTTTATTGGTAAAGATACAAACTCGATGAGGCTGTGTATCTCTTACGTTGTAGTTAAATGTCTAAATTGACTGAAGGTTCGTTAAACACTAATTTAATTACCTACTTATGCGTACAGATAAACAAACGGCCGCGTAAAGTAGGACGCAAACAGAATAAGAATGCCGCCTCTTACATTTAAAAATTCAAATTAGTCTTTTAGGACCTAGGAACGGCCAGAGTCTAAAATAGATATACAAAATAATAATAATACTAACAACAGTGTGCCAGATACCAATTACCTCCCATACTAAGGAATTCGATGTACCATGAATACCAGAGTAGAAGAATTCACTCCGTGCACTACCCGGAATTAATTCACCAGATCTGACATCTACTCATCTCGTGCTCAAAGTGCAAACCGATGGGCTACTGAGTTCAGGTGAGCTCATGTCGAAGAAGGCCCATAACTCTCGGAAAACGTGAGAAATCCCCAACTCGCAGTGAGTCAGCGTGGCAGACTATGGCCTAAAGCATAAACCCTCGCATATGAGAAGACCCATGCTCAGCAATGGGACGTATAAATGGGTTGATGATGATGATGTCTCAAGGCCGGTTACTAAAAAGTTCATTGCCTTCCTGTAGTTCACTGACCATCGGGTAGACAATTTATTTGTCGTTTTATGTATCCAATTTTTTTATAGTTACATGTTACATGTTATTACATGTTAACATGTTAGCCAAAACATTTTGGTACACAGGTCTGAGCATAGTGTTGGAACTCCTTAATGTAATAAAAAATGAGTCCAATAAAGTGAAATTCTAAAGATTACCGAACGGCTAAATCACAAGTACATACCTACACTAACTCGCTGGTGCTAAAATCTATGTGCAATATAAAATGCTGACTGGTAAACTTACCTTTGGCTCTTCTTCTAACTCTTTGACGGTATTGATAATGTTGTACAGTTTACCAATAGCGCCTGCTTTAGTTTCGGGCTCGGCCGCTTCCTAAAAATTTAAAACGATCTGATATGGCGAGGTATTAAAAAGTTTGGTGTATAACCTTATCTAAAAATAGACCACACTCAAAAACAAAAATCAAAAGTGCAGAATCGATATTGTGATTTTAATTTAAACAACTGTCTTTATTAATAAACATCACTTGAGCTAAACATTATAATTAATAAAGCGACATCTCTTGTCAGTCTCTGGTAGCTGTAAAGGTTGGCTGGCTGTCTGAAGAAACTTTCATAAGTTTCTCACAGGTGGTGCTACACCAAAGACATCTTAAATCCGATACGAATATGTGCAACAAGCGTATAGAGAAATTCGTAAGATCTGCTGTATCGGTCTGTAGCTCAGTTGGTAAAAGCGGTAGCCAGGGTCAGACAACAGTCGCAGGTTCAAGTCTAGTCAGATCTAAGGCATTTTTCTTTATGTTTGTTGGACCTTTGTATCAATAATAATATAATTATTGTATGTCAATGTAATTATTAAACAATGATCGAACACTTAGAAAAAATTCACTTCGATCCGGTTAGTTTCGAACCAATGTCTCCCAGCAAACCGTGCCAGACGCTATGCCAACTAAGTCACGGAAGAAAGCAACGGATCTCACCAATTTTTCATGTATTTGTTGCAGATCTTAATAATAATAATAATAAAATTTCAACTCTTGTTACTAACCTCGCTTTCGGGCTCCTGAAGAGCACTTAACGACACGTGTGACATTAAACTTTCGTGGAACTCATTCATGCGAGCGATCAGGTCTTCACCGCAAGGTACGTTCTCTTTATCATCTTCTTCTAGGTGCTTGAAATCTGAAATATTGAAAAGTTGATGCTATATATTTCGTAGTTTTTTTTCTTAATTTTTAAAGAGGGTTTTATATTTATAGATATGCCACCATCATATGTATTTCGTAGTTAATTTTGATTACTTTGTAGTTGAATTTCTTGTATGCCTTCAAAAAAAAAAATTGTTTTCTTTATTTTTTTATGACACCAAGAGACGGGACTAATTAGACGTGTGCGGTTACAGTGCCGCACAGAACTTTAAATCGCAAAGATCTGAGGGGTACTGCCACTTAGCCCGTCGCCCTGAGAAAACGTTGAAAAGATCCGTGTGTCTGTAATTTAACTATATGTTATTTAAATAAAACCAACGTTACAGGTGGTCTTTACAGGTAGCATGTACCGCCGGTTTTGTTTAATATTAACGCAAACCACCTTATCCTGAACTATATTTATTTTATTGCATAGGTTTTTAGATTTTCGCGATCGATACAAAGAAATTGTTCATTTTTTTCGGATCTAAATGTCGTATACATATATTTTTTTCAGAAACCAACCAACGTTTCTGGTCCCATGTTACTTGCGAATTAGGTCCGAATAAAAAATACATAAGTGTGATTTCCATATTGACGTTCTATAATAAAATGACATAATTCTCAAAAGTAATTTTTGGGAAAAAAAAGTACATATCGAGCGCTTAGGTTTTCACGATTGTTATATCTAAATTACAAATGAAATATTCGCGATGTAGATTCGAAAAATACTTTCGCTTTGTATGACAAAATATATTTTAAAAAACTACGTGATACAAGCTACATACGCTAATTGCCAGGTGCTAAATATGACAAAACACTATTTGATATGAAAAGTGATTTATTATAATACATTGACTTACAAATAAATGGACGACGGGTCTAATACAAAAACCACGAAAAAAATGTCCCAAGTCAACCTATTTAAACGTAGTGACATGTAAAGGAATATGAAAAAGCTAAAACGTTGAATTTAAATTGTAATGTCATCGCAGTACTGTCTAATTCTGCTTGCTTCGCTGTCAGTCGAACAAACGAAGACTAAAGCGTGAATGACGCTCTGTATACGATTTTAACGCCCTATAAGTTCGGACACTTTTTAGCGCGGACCCGACGTCCATATAATTGTAAGTCAATGTTATAATAGTTTAATTTCGTCAGTTATTTTCTTTTCTTACTTTAAAAAAAAAAAGGAGGTTCTCAACTCGACTGCTTTTTTGTTGTGTGTGTGTTACGCGATTACTCCAGCGTTTGTGAACTGGTTTAGATGATCCTTTTTTGTTGGAAAAAGGGCACCTCAGTAATGGTCCCATTTAAATTTGAAGAAAATTTTCCACCTCAAACTAGGAGATGAATCAGGTTTTGCGCACTTTCCGGTAACTGATTTCAATAAAACTTGGCAAAAAGATGTGTTCCACGAACTTTTGAGGTTGGTTTTTTTTTGTGAAATAGTTATAAAATCTATCTTGTCTCTTTCTGAAATATTTTACTTTTCGAATTGTATTATTTTATAATTGAGAGTGAGATACATGCTAGCAAATATTGCTGAATGAAGTTATTATGTGTACGCCACAATCGCACAAATGACAGTACAAAATCTGTCGTTATATTTAGTGTCGTTTTTTTGCTTTTTGTCAGTTTTGTCTCATTTTATTTATTTTATATATTTGTCCCCTTTTTATGTCATTGACTTACAAATAAATGGACGACGGGTCTAATACAAAAACCACGAAAAAAATGTCCCAAGTCAACCTATTTAAACGTAGTGACATACATGTAAAGGAATATGAAAAGGCTAAACCGTTGAATTTAAATTGTAATGTCATCGCAGTACTGTCTAATTTTGCTTGCTTCGCTGTTAGTCGAACAAACGAAGACTAAAGCGTGAATGACGCTCTCTGTATACGATTTTAACGCCCTATAAGTTTGGACACTTTTTAGCGCGGACCCGACGTCCATATAATTGTAAGTCAATGTTTTATGTAGTTTTTTTCGCTTTATTGGTATTTTATTTTGTTTATTAATTCTTTCTATTTTGTTTTGCTTGTCTGTGTTATCAATGTCTATTCTATTCTATTAAATGGGAAAATTCAAGTAATTGCATAAGTACCATCAATGTTTAAACAGCTCGAATAATTTTCAGCTTTCAAAATATATGTACAGAAGTCAGTGTTCAACTGAGATTCATTTTGGATCCTGTTGTCAGCCTGTATATACAGTTTTGCACGACTATTTTCAAGCTAAGAAAGTGGTACCCCTTTTTTAATTCTAAAATAAAAAATGTCTTACTCAATATGGCATTCATTTGTTCTCTGGGAGGGCAACGATACTCTCTCGTCTTCTTGGCGGCGACAGCGCTGGGTAAGTCCGATGCCTTGATTTCAACATAACGCCTGAAACAAATTATTGCTTTATAAAATTTATAAAAGAGTTAACACTGAAAATAATATAACATCGCGGTTGGGGTATTTACGCAGATATATCATAAATGTACACAAGTAGTGAAATTATAAAAAAATAATTTCCGAAAATTGTATAATACATAGGCTTGGTACAAAAAGTGCGTAAGGGTGCGTTTCCATTATGTCGTGACGACAGATAGCGCAGTGCAGTTTAAAGTGTCGTGGTTTGTATATTTAAAAGAAATGGTTCACACATAGAACAACACGATTAACTTTTTTGACGTTACGACAGACTGTCGTGACAATGCGAAGAGCTAATATGACCGACGATAAATAAAACGTCACGATAAAAATGTGACGACAGATAATCGCTTCAAACTCTCGAGTAAACGAAAAGGCGGCTGCCGTGAACCGATAAATTGTCGTCACGATCTAGTGGAAACAGCTAGACACGACAGTCGTTCAACGATAAAATAAACATCCACGACACAGTCACGATATGAGTCGTGATATGGAAACAGGCTAGACGCAACAGTCGTCCAACGATAAATAAAGCGTTACGACATAATGGGAACGCGCCCTAAGTAATATGGATTTAGGCACTCCTTGTATTGGCCATAGATATAATCATGTTATCAACGTCATAATATAACAAGTTAGTGCCAATGAAAAAAAAAAAACCTACCACAAAACAAGAAAACTTTTCTTTAAATAAAAAATATATGTAACAAAAGGCGCTGAGCGCACTTTCCAAAATGCGACATGTCGCATAAAATGTATTCTCTACAAAATAAAGCAGGTATGAATTTCTTTGAATGTAACATAGCTTCTCCACAATAATATATACAATGCTTTGAAATATAGTAAATAAAATAAATATAGTAATAAGGAAATGTGGATTCAAATAATAATATCCTACTTAATTAGTTGTGATAAAGTGCGTATACGCCCAAAACCTATAACGTTAAAAACATCGTGTCTAATAAGTACGCCTTTCTATTTTCTTTTTAATTTCATGTCCTTTGATTCTAGTCCTTCAGTCAAAATATTAGAGGTTACGCAAAAGCATAGTCAACAAAAAACAATCTTGGCTGGTAATCATAGTATATTGTTCTATAGAACAACGTACCTCAATTGATCAACTTGCAAGTCACCAACGAAGTCATGCGCAAAAGCAATAATAGACTCCACTCGATGTCGCAACTGCATATCGTTTAGATGTTGAAGCAAATAACACATTTGCAACTTCGCGCCTTCTGCCATCTTCATGTGTAAGAGACCTTTGCGGTGCTCGTCTTTGCCTTCTGTTGAAAAAAAAAAAAGAAAAACGTCAAGAGCTAATTACCGTCCTTTGCGAGATTCGCTCTGGACCTTTTGGAGGGAAAAGTGTCGTTTTTATTTTGACTTTCAATTATTTTGTGAAATCTAGTTTAAAGTGGAATAGGATAGTGCTATTGTGCCTTAATCGAAGATTAAAACGCGAAATTATACGAATCTCGAACTAAAATACCCATATCGGCCCGTTTTAAGGAATCCCGAGTCAATCCAAGCACGCCGCCTCAATTTGCCTATCCTCTTTGTGGCGGCCATATTTACAGAAACATAATTAAACTTCATGTCCAAAAAAGAATAATGTACTAAGACTTGGCTGTATGGTGTAAAACCTCTGCCTTTTCCTTTATAGAAAGAAGAAAAAAAAATTACCGTCCTTTGCCTTTGTCCAAAACATCGGGTGAAAAAAAAAACTAATTATCTGTTAACCTATGGTACGTAAACATCGCTAGTTGTTTCATAACAAAGTGCGTTGTTGTTGATTACAAGTGTCATCGTTTTTATGGACTGAAAATGGCGGGTTTTAGTAGTTATTATATTTATACGAATTAATTTTTAATTAGGGTACTGTACACAGACCTATGAGATACAAAAAAAGAACGTCGTATTTTTACTAATTAAAATATCATTTAGGACGCTACTCAAACGTTACGTACTGCCTCCTCATTGGTTTAATTGGTCTGAAAGTCTTACAACCGGGCCATAAATCTTTATAAAAAAAATGATTGATTATATATGCGGTACTTGGCCAGTTCTATTCTATTTCTTTACTTTTTTATTTTGTAGCGTATATTTAACTTTAGTCTAAATATGTAAAGAGGCTGTATGGTGGTACCTTTGCCTACCCTAACAAATGGGTTAAAATTTATTTAAAAATTTGCTTTGTTATCATGGATTGTTAACAAAATATATATTAAGTATTGGTGCTGTTTCATAATTTTATTTACTCCAAGAAAAGGTATTGTATGCAATCGTTACATAATTAGGTAATAAAATCTCATATCTATTACTTAAACACGGTACTCGACTTTAAGAGCCCTCATTATGCAACGATTGCATAAAATACTATGAACCATTTAAGCTGATGGCTATAAAGTCAATGCTCACCTTAGAATAATAACGCATAGAATGATAGTTTCATATCAAACGAACTGTCACAAGTGAGGCAAAAATCAAATTCATGTAGGCTAGTTTTAGTAGTAGGTTAATTTTAGGTTTTAGTGAATATTTATATAAAAATACAAATTCAAACGCGTTACTTCCTTGTGGAATGTGATGTTAGTATCTATTTTATGTTTGTCTGACGTATTTTTACACTCATTTACCGCACATTTCGTCATTTGTAGCTAAAATTCTTGATCTGTTCGCGATGCAAGTTGACCTTGAGCACTGAAGGCCCGCCCGCTCGTGTAGGCTCTTTTGGCGCGCTTCAATTTGCCTCACTTAGCGTGTGCGGACTAGGTTTCTATGCGTTATTATTCTAAGATGCTCACTAAATAATATAATTATTTCATAAAAAATACCAGACGAAAATCGATGAAGCAAATTATTATTGTTTTAAGATAGCTTCAGAATAGGATTCTCACGAGAATATGGCGCTGTACAGAGCAAGATACACTTCATGTTGCTATAATGAATATGTATACCCTTGGCATAATCAAGTTAGATATGATTATGCGTCAAAATTGCTTTTATGACACGATAGTCATAAAACTAATACGAAATACATGAAGCAAAGTGGGCTTCCTGCTGTGGCCAAGCGTTACCATGCTAGACTGCCACGCAGAGGTTCTGGGTTCATTCCCAGGCCGGGAGAAACATGTGTAAGACCTACATTTATTTCTCTCGCGAGTTTGGGTGTAGTTTGTGGTTGTCGGTGTGTGTGTCCATGGCACCCGCGACTCAGGGTTTCCCTAGTGCGGGGCTATGAGTGTGCTGCGTTATAATTATTAAAATTATTAAAGTATGTATTATGTCAAATTTCATAATTCTCCTGTTAAGGCATAAAAATGTTTTTAACTTAATGAGTGTCACGATGTTTGACTTTAAATGTTTTAATTTTTATTATATCAAGTGACGGGACGAACAAGTCGTACGCCTGGTGATAAGCGACACGCCTGTCCATAACAATTGCAGTGCCGCTCAAAGTTTTAAATAGCAAAGGTCTGAGGGGCATTGCCACTCCTTTCGTCACCTTGAGACATAAGTTGACAAGTCCCATGTGTTTATAATTTCACCAGCACCCATACTTACCCTTCAAAACCGGAAGGCTATAATGTTCATAATATTTTTTTTTTTTTTTTTTTATAATAACGCACACACTCAACATAGCCCCGCACTAGGGAAACCCTGTGTCGCGGGTGCCATGGACACACATAGACAACCACAAATTACACCCAAACTCACGAGAGAAATAAATGTAGGCCATACAAATATTTCTCCCGGCCCGGGAATCGAACCTGGGACCCCTGCGTGGCAGTCCGGCATGGTAACCGTTCGGCCACAGAGGCAGTTAAGGAATATGTTTAAGGAAATTAATATTCTTACACTAGCGTCACAGTACATCTATGAAAATGTAATTTATGTTAAGAGCAATAGTAATCTCTTTATGAAAAATAGTGACAGATATAACACTAATACGAGGAATAAAAATAAACTAGCTGTTCTTGATAGTCTTCTTCACAAAGTCAGAAATTCATTTAAGGGGCAATGTATACGCTTCTAAAACTAGATTTCGTTTGATATACAAAATTTGCCATTCACGAGGTTTAAAACTATAGTGAAATAAAAACTATATACTAAATGTTATTATACAACTTCTGCGTACTTGGATGACAAAAATCCGTGGTAGTAACCAAAGTCAAAGTCAAAGTCAAAGATGATTTATTCCATAGGTAAAATAAATTTACACTTGAAAACGTCACATTTAAGGTACTGCTCGTTCACTACGCTGACCTCCCTGAGAAGAACGAGCAAGAAACTCTAGGGATTGCTCTTTTCTAATAAACTTAAATGCTATGGAATACATTTTGAATCAAATTTGTGTGGATTCAGGAGCCATGTCGTCTTCCATACATCTTTATCTAACACGTAGTCTTCAATTTTGTAATATGATTTTTCGATCAAAATATTTTTAATGTAGTTTTTAAACTTAGGAAATGATAAACTTAATATATGCTCCGGAATCTTATTGTAAAAACGTATACAGTTCCCCATTAAAGAGTTGTTTACCTTGGTTAAACGAAATCGTGGTACCATGAGTTTGGACTTAGCTCTAAGGTTAATATTATGGATATCTTCTTTCTTATTGAAATTATGTATATTTTTACGGGCATATAAAATATTTGAGTAAATGTACTGTGATGCCACAGTCATGATACCAGTCTCCTTAAACTTTTCTCTGAGAGATACCCGAGAGCCTAGACGGTACACAGAACGAATCGCTCGTTTTTGCAATACAAATATGGTTTGAATATCTGCCGCTTTACCCCACATGAGAATCCCGTAGGACATTATACTATGGAAGTAACTAAAGTAAACTAGTCTAGCAGTACTAACATCGGTAAGCTCACGTATTCTGCGGACTGCGTATGCAGCGGAGCTTAATCTGCTGGCCAGGGACGATATATGTGGAAACCACTGAAGTTTACTATCTAAGGTCACTCCCAAGAAGACTGCTTTATTAACAAGGTCTAACTTTTCTCCGTTTATTTCTATGCTTGGACTAGTCGATTTTACGTTAGGTAATTCAAATTTAACACATTTTGTCTTCTTGGCATTAAGCAACAAATTGTTAGCATTAAACCAATAAACTACTTTAGAGAGGGTATCATTATTACGGTCATAGTTAATGTCATGTCTGTCAGTTTTAAAAATCAAGGATGTGTCATCAGCAAACAACACTATTTCGCAATGGTCCTTAACAAAGAATGGCAGATCATTAATATAAATCAGAAATAAGAAAGGTCCAAGTATTGAGCCCTGCGGAACACCCATTTTTACTGGAGAACCCAAAGAAGTCGCTCCATTTATGCCTACTTTCTGAATTCTACCGTTGAGATATGACGAGACAAGTTTCGACGCCTTGCCATTTACACCGTAATGTTCCAGCCTACTAATAAGAGTATTATGATCAACGCAATCAAATGCCTTTGAGAGGTCACAGAAAACACCAATAGCGTTCTGGGACCTTTCCCAAGCATCAAAGATGTGTTTTAGTAACGCTACCCCCGCATCGCTAGTCGATCTACCACTAGTAAACCCGTATTGTTCACTATGAAAAATATGATTCCTACCGAAATAGGACAGTAATTGAGTTAGCATAACCTTTTCGAATATTTTACTTAAAGCTGGTAAAATTGAAATGGGCCTATAGTTGCTAGGATCAACTTTCCTACCGCTTTTGAATAAGGGAATAACCTTGCTGTATTTCATTAAATCGGGAAAAACACCTTCGTCAACGCACCTATTGAAAGCTACCGCTAACTGTGGGGAAATGAGATTAATAACTGAGTCTATAACTTTAGTTGATATGCCCCAGAGATCTTCAGTTTTTTTAACATGTATTAACCTGTTTAGCTCTTGGAGGTAGTCTCGATCTCTGATGTTTGAGAGCAAAACAAAAAATATATTGTAAATGTTGAATGCGTACAAATGTTATTTACAAAGAGCAACCCCTAGAGATTCTTGCTCATTCTTCTCAAGGGAATCTGCCTTACGAATGAGCGGTAGGGTTTAACCAATGTGACGATTTCAAGTGTAACAATGCTTACCTATGAAATAAAGATTTGATATGATTTGATCATAGATTACTGCTTGGCGGCAGAAATAGGGAAGGAGGCAATACTTTCCTGGACGAACTCTTACAAGGAGTTCTACTGCTACTTAAAGTGTTTAAACTTAAAAGGTTTTGTTACGTTTTCCTTCACCTTTGAAGCAAGTAATGTCAGGACGGCGTCACTTGGTATCTATTACAATAAAAAGTAATTATTAATAAATTAATCTGCAGTAATACAAGCTAGCTCGGCATTTCTTTACGTGATCGAATTAGAAATGAGGAGATCCGTAGAAGAACGAAAGTCACCGACAAAGCTCGAAGGATAAGCAAGTTGAAGTGGCAGTGGGCAGGGCACTTAGCTCGTAGAACCGACGGCCGTTGGGGCAAAAAGGTTCTTGAATGGAGACCACGAACCGGAAGTCGTTCAGTGGGACGGCCCCCTACTAGATGGACGGATGACCCGGTAAGGGCAGCGGGTAACCGAGGGATGCACGTTGCGTCCGACCGGCTGGTCTGGAAATCTTTGGGGGTGGCCTATATTCAGCTGTGGACGACTTCCGGCTGACATGATGATGATGATGATGATGAATACAAGCTAGTAGCAGTAGAGCTCCATGTGAAAGAGTTCGTCCAGGGAAGTACTGCCACCTTACTTATTTCAGCCGCAAAGCAGTAATGTGACCATTATTGCGTTCCGGTTTCCGGTTAAGAAGGGCAAGGGTACTGGTGAAATTACAGGCAGATAAGACTTGTTATGTCTCAGGGTGACGAGCAGTGCCTCTAAGATATGTATGTTAAAAAGCACTGAGTGGTATTGTAACTGTACTGTAAATATAAGCAATATACTGTGTACCTGATTGTTCATAATTATCTTCATAATTAACACTGACCTAACCTCTCACGATTTTCACACATTATTTGACACATATATTAGCAGTAGAGGTAGAGCTCCTTGTGAAAGGTTTTGAAGGGTAAGGGTGCTGGTGAAATTACAGGCATATGGGACTTGTCAGCATATGTCTCAGGGTGAGTGCCCCTCAGATCTTTGCGATTGACAGTTTTGAGTGGCACTGAAACTGTTATGGATATGCGTGTCGCTTACCATCAGGTGCATGATTTGTTCGTTCCGTCACATGGTATTATAAAAAAAAGCTTAAGAAGAAGGCAAACGTTCTTCCGATTAGGCTATCACTGCTGAAAGCAGCAGAAGAAATATTCTTTTAAATATACCCAATATGACAAAGATCCAAAAGCTAATTTGCCAACCAACTTCATTTCTGTAAAGTGAATATACCTTTATCGAAAGTAGGATCCCAGGTCTCAGGGTTGACCATGATCAGTAGCTTCTCCACGTCTTCGTCCCTCATCATGCCGACCAACAGCAACCTGTCTACCAACTTGATGAGAGGTCTGTAAAATAGGCATTTTATTAAAAAAAATATTATGACTTTAGTTTTTGCAAACTTTAACAGTTGCCAATTGAAAACCATATAGTAAGGTGGTGACGTATTCGGTGGGGTATGCAGAGTAGCGTACAATGATTATTTTTTATCAAGCCTAATTTTTTTCTCTGTTTTTCCCTTTTTTTTTCATGTTTATCTTTTCTTTTATGTATTTTTGCCTTTGTCGAATAAATGATTTTCTATTTCTATTTCTTATTGAAACAGAGTGCGGCGACGGAACGCGTACGCATTAAGGAGTCAGCCTGTGTGGCACAGCTTTTCTCTTAGTCGACTTTTCGATTGTCGAAGTAAGTGACGGTATTATAATGGAGTTGAGTAATTTCAAAATAAATCAAGTAATATCAGTTTCATTACACAAGGCAATTAATTTTGTTTTAAATTAAAATCAAATAAAAAATAAAAATACGTGTGTGATTTTTCAAATACATATGTGGTCATTTTAGTATTTCAATTAGCCTTCTTGGAATACAATTAAAGAAGTCACCGCATCTGGGCCATGAAAAATGACATTGTGCGTTTTTGTCGCTCTTATTGCATAGAAATAAAGCTTTTCTTAACCGATTCAAGCCGATTCCGCTTCGGTACGGTTACACCCTAAGATAAAACCGGTGGTGACAAATGTACGAAGCTAGAAAAATACTTACAGGAAAAGGTTCTCATTGCTACCACCCACAGGATCCCTGTTGTGCACCTGGTTAGTCTCAACGGCTTCTGCAAGCGCTTGCATTACGAATTCCCGAACTACCTCCAGGGGGAAGTACGGAGAATACAGATTGCTGATTTCTGATATGCTGTCACTGCGAAAATCAATGAGAGAAAACTCATTGTCTACACATGCAGCAAAATAAGGAGTTAAAATAATGAGTATGACCATAGTGTGGGCAGATTACTTGCGAATTTAATGACGTCTTTAATGGCATCGAAAAACCGACAAGCATGTGGTAACGCATTTGGTATTTGCTGTTTTTGTCGAATAGGCAAATAAGGTAAGTACTTTATCATACATACCATCTACATATGGTGATTATTTGCCAAATATATCAAATATACAAATATAAACAGGTATAATTATAAAGTGTCATCATAACAGTATTTTTTTATAATACTAAGTGACGAGCCTAACAAGTTTGCACCTGGTGGTAAGCGACACGCGTGTGTCCACCATGATACTATTTTTCTGGGCAACTCCTCGCCTGATTGTTTATATGAGGAAATTAGACAAGAGACAAAACTCAATGGAAACCTTGCAATACGTGTGTGACTTTTATTATTGAACGAAGTTTGATAGAAAATACAGTAATAACGAATACCTACATTAATGTTCTGTAATTTATGGCGATTGTAATTATATCGAAATATACAATTTTTTACAATTACTAATACAAAGATCGAATAATTAGAAAAAAATCGTATATATACATATACAGATGTCACAATCCGCTCACATTCACGATTATTTAAAAAATCGAATCAGAAACGCATTAGGACATCACTAGTTGAATAGAATTCGAGCTGTCAAAAGTTAAATGAATGGTTGGACGGAGTATAATCGTTAGGAAACTTGGCTGCACATCATTTGAAAAGCCTCAGCATCGCAGGGTTATCGGTGGGATCGAACTTACCGACATATATACAGACTGCAAGTGTTCTCCCAACTAGGTTATTACATAATCGATTGTGAACTGGCAACCGGTAATATCTCAATTTTGACAACTTTACAGGATGAAGAAAAAATCATTTACATAGCATCTGGTTTATTAAATAAAAATACGTAGTTTTTATATATTTTTATTACGCATGAATAGATGTATTTAAATGACGCAAACAATTTTTTTCTTCATCCTGTAAAGTTGTCATAATTGAGATAGTACCGATTGCCAGTTCACAGTCGAATTCATTATTGTCATTTTTGCAAATCAATGACTCCACAATTAGTTATTGATTCTCTGAAGTTCCATCTTTAAACCACGACCAGAATAGATAGAACCATTTCAAACTTACGCGATGTCCGTCATCTTCATTTGCGGGCGAACACTCTCGGTCTGTAATGATCGCAGGCTGTGGCACATCTCAGGATCTTCGTATAATGCTTTCAGCTCTGGCCCCAGAGGTATCACGAACTCATTCTTACAGACTTCCCTGTGAAAAAAAAATACATCGCAGGAGACTTCCTTACACGTAAACTATTGCAATAAAAATTTCTGCGTTATCATTTTCAAAAGAGTGAACAACGGAAAATCTTGACTTGTTCACTAGACACACACCGGGTTAAAAAGTTTAGCACTATAGTCTCTCAATCGATAAAACAGATAAACAAGTTAATTTAACGATTTTAAAGAGATGTCTACTTCACAACCCTTATAAGACTTTATTTGGTGTTCCTAGCGTTTCCTCTTATAAATAAACAAATAACGACATACTCATAACCCCGTCCTAAGAATATAATATATAATTGTTGTGTTATGAACCATATACATTGTATTTAACGTATCACGGATGGTAAAAAATACGAAACTCGAATTGTTAAAGCCCTTAGCCTTTGGCTTCGGGCTTCTAATGTCCTCGTTAGTAATTTCTTATTTACCGTCCTTAACAGACAATGTATTAATATTATAAATTAATTGAAGCATTCAATGTACGAAATAAGAACATCAGATTACAACTTACATTGTAGTGGCATGAGACTCTAGATGCAAGGCTATGAGTAGATCGTAAAAGCCCTGCCGCAGAGGGCCCGACATGTACTGCGATTGGATCGCGTAAAGAAGTTGTTTCTGGTCTACGTGTTGGCATAGTGCATGGGCAGCCCTGAAAACAGAGAAAATAGTGTTTAGTAACACCGAGATTTGTACAGTTGTTACTAGCAAGCGTCTAAAATATTTTTAATTACTCTTGCTTGTAGGTAGTAGTAAAATGTGCAGTACAAGTGGGCGGTACTTTTATCATACGGGCTTAGGGTGGTAATCTTATTTTGCGCTCCCACTGTCTGCTAGGAGCGCAAACAAACTGCCCCGACTCCATCACTGCCACCGCCACGCGCTAAATTCGCCCCACGACCCCAAAGAGACCACTCCTTTTTATTTGCTAAACGTAGTGTAAATACAGTCGGCATTATATGATTTACAACTTGTAAAAAGTACACACTTGTAGATTCCATGGCACACAAATTTAAAAGATTTTTTATTTCAGTCTAAGAGAAAAGGTAAGTATGTTACTTAAAAATAAATTATTATTCTTTGTACATGTTTTTTTCAGAGACACTCGAAATTGTGTGAAAATATAATATTGTAATAATTATAATAACGCACACACTTAACATAGCCCCGCACTAGGGAAACTCCTGTGTCACGGGTGCTATAGACACACACATAGACAACCACAAATTACACACAAAGTCACGAGAGAAATAAATGTAGGTCACACAAATATTTCTCCCGGCCCGGGAATCGAACCAGAGACGTCTGCGTGGCAGTCCAACATGGTAACCATTCGACCACGGAGGCAGTTGATATGATAATGATAATAAGAATAAACTATAGCGTTTTTAAGTCTAATTTTCCTTTTTTTACTTCCTCGTGACGTTAACGACGAAGTGACATAAAAACACTGTAAGTAACACAGGCGGAACAGCTATCATAAACATTCGGGAGATTACAATGTACTATTTCATCACACCTTTACGAGTACATCATACAGCCCCAGAGCGGTTATGGTTTATTTTTTTGAGTTTCTACGCTCTCGCCGCTCGCATAAATATTTAATGGAAATTGTGTAAATATGAATAACTTAGTTTAATTTTCCTTTTTGTCACTTCCCCGGAACAGCAATCACAAACGTTTGGAACATTATAGAATTGTTGTTACAAAGGCCGTAAGTACGCAATTACAAACATATTTTTTTTAAATTGCCTCGCACTAGGGAAACTCTGTGTCGCGGGTGCCATGGATGCACACATAGACAACCACAAATTACCGAGAGAAATAAATGTAGGCCATACAACTATTTCTCCCGGCCCGGGAGTCGAACCTAGGGATCTCTGCGTGGCAGTCCGGCATGGTAACCGTTCGGCCACGGTGGCAGTTAAATAAATTGTAATTAAGACCGGTAAAATTTTCTCTAAAATGTTATTGCTAGCAATGTGTTTGTATCCAAACGTCTCAAGTGTCAATCTTAAAAAGTTTGAAACCAAATCGTTTACGGTTCTCTGTCCTTGTAAATTTGTAGATTCTCCTCTCAGTGAATTCTGTCGAAATTCACAGGTCAATTTTTGAGTAAAACGCGTGTGTTCCTCAAGTTGACATTAGCGAAATCATCGATTACTTCGATGGGGCCATAACATTTAAAAGAAGAAGATTTTTCTTCGTGTTTATTTACTTTTCCCATTGTTTGTTATATTTAGTCAAAAATTCAAGACCCAAAACTATAAATTAGCATGGATAATTATCAAATAATAATTATTATTTATTCTATTACCTGTAGTTACTCTGGTAGCACAACGCCGCATACAAAGTGAGCGTGTGAGAATGGAAACTCAGAAGTTTGTCCATTTCTATCAACTCCAAAATGTCTATGCAACGGTCTTCCTCTGAAAAGAAATCAATTATACTAATTTAATACTTTGTGTTAAGGTATTGCTTAAGATGTGATCGATTCCCGGATTAGTACTATTCCCTAAAGTTCAAGCTTACATTTTTTACGGATGACAAATTTTTTGGGGTGCATGAAAGGAGTCTCCCCCCACGGCGTACCAATTCCCTTTCTGTATGTCTGGTGCACGCTGAGTATCGGGTATATAACCAGAAATAAAGACGAAATAAGGACCATCCATCCCTGGCAACTCATCAGGCAAATGGGCCTGATATCACTTATAAATATCAATTCTCGTTTGCGCTGAAATCACAAATTAGAAAGCTGAAATAATACCGCGCCAACAACTAACTTGTGTGTACATCTCCGTATATTCCAAAAACATTCTGTATTTATTGTAATAAAGATAATACCTCTAACAATGGCAGCTCCATTCGGTGGTGTTGGGAAAAACAGCAAAACATCTAATTACAAAACAAACGGAATCAAATTTCATCGGTAATGAAATATTAAATACGTAATTTTCATTAATTGTCGACACCCGTGAAATGTTTCGAATTCGGGCTGTCCAATCGGAGCGCAGTTGTCACCGTAATGATTTGGCAGAATAGTTTCCAAACAAATTAAATGTCATTTCGTCTTTGTTTCTGGTTATATACTCGATGATCATGAGCAACAATCGGCGAGAACGTTATCCCGATAGGCAAATCCTTTTACCACGATGGCAAGCATTTTAGTGTATGCCATCGATACGATAAGAACATTAAAAAAAAGTATAAACAATGTAATAACGACAATAGATAGGACATTGAAAAATTAAATTTTACCATCGTGTACTTTTTTATAGCATCGGTTGATTAATTAAACAAAAATATGAGACTAACAATTATATTTCATAATATAAGAATATATTATGAAATATAGGTAATCTGAACACAAAAACAGCGATTTCTATTTGGTTTTAATTTTTTTTATTATATAATTATGTTATTTCCTATTATTGCTTGTTATTAGTTTATGTTTCTTTTGCATATCAAATAATGGCGAATTTTATTATATAAAATATTGACAGATGCAAATAACGTACCCGGTATATGCAAAGCTAGCATGGAGATGGCGTCTTCACACAACATGGACCAACCGCGGATGTCGGACAATTTCAGAGCGTGCACTTGAAGCGACAGATTTGGCACCTGAAAATATTAATGAATTAATTTGACAAGGATGTTCACGATCAGAACGTCTAGAATTTCATGAAGTGGGTATGTACACCCATAATAATTAACAGAACTACTTTAAGACTCATCATTACCTTTTATGAAAGCCACGCACTAGGGAAAAAGGTAGCAAACTAGGGGATGAATCCGGTTTGGCGCACTTTTCAGTAACCGATTTCAATAAAAGTTGGCAAATATATGTAACTCCACCAACTTTTAAGGTCGGTTTTTTTTAATACGCTGTACTGAGATTATATTTAATTTGCAAGGGTTTCAGGAAGTTATACGTACTCGAGCCCATTGATGCGGTTTCAAGCATTGGATTTTTAATCTAGGCGGGAACTGTGGTATCACATGTTTGTCGCTAGTCGGAAGCACTGCGGCGCTCAAAGGTAGACTGGTCGCCGAACGGCCTAGTTCGATCTGCAGGATTTCTTTAGAAGTTGCTTCCACGAAGATTGCGGGGAATAATTTTGTTTCCGGTTCCATCTGAAATAACACACTTGATTTAATATGTACTAGGGCTTTCACCTCGAGAATTTAAAATCAGAACTCAGTACTTCCCTGGTCAAACTCGGTTACAAGAAGCTTTACTGCTGCCAAAATTATGTATAATTTTCTCAAAAGCTCAGGTATTTTTTAATGTTCAGACAATTTTGACGTATACTGTACAGTCGATGCCCTAAGATACCTAACTCCCCAATCGTCTATTTGGTTCTGAGTAGATTAGTGTGAAGAAGGGTGTTAAACAAACTTAACCTTTAATATGTGAACAGTAAAGTTAATTTTGGAATGGCTTTCTAATTGCGACACTCGTGTACGACGTTCTAAGAGAGTGTTTAAGCCAATTTGATTTTAAATTATATTACATAAATGCTTTCATTCAAAAAGCTGGAACTCCTTAGCATTTTTCTATTCAATGCTTTTAAGAATGCCCGTCTCAACTCAGCCAGAGGGCGTCGATTGTACATAGTGCAAAGATGAGTAACAATACCTTAAACTTAATGCTAGTGTCCTTTCCCTCGCAAGTAAAGGAGACAGTGCCCGTAGAAGTATCGACAGAGCATCCAATAAACATGCCCTGAGAGGCTCCTTTCGCCGTTGCCTCGGCCATCACTTCATTGTATAATTCGTCTGCGCGTACCATGTAGCATGACTGGCGGTTTACACTACAAACAAATAAATAGCTAAGTTTTATTGTATGCACGATGTTTCATTTATTTTTTGTGAAATTACTGCATTAGTTTGTTATAATTATTTAACAAAAATCTTACACTTTTACTTAGAAAAAAAACGCTTCGGTCCGGCTGGATTCGAACCAACGTCTCCAAGCAAACTGTGGCAGGCGTTATGTCACTGAACGAACCAATGAACCTCTTGAAATTTTTCATGTGTTGGTTGCAGATCTGTGTTTTGGTTTTTAACGACTTCTTTGCTGTAGCGCCATCTGTGAGATATCTATGAGAGTTTTTCTTCACTACCTACTACCTTAACAGCTACCAGTCAGTACAAATGTCTATATTGCAGCGTTACTCTACATCAGTGTCGGGTCCGCCAACGTCCCTTCTAATGATTGTATGATGACGCGGCCTCGTCGATATCGACACACAAAATAACATAACACTACACAATAATATTAAAAATATTTGAAAAGAAAATGTTTTTTGAATTCTGACCCCCTGGTGAAATTTGTTATGTGTTTCTGGCCCCTAATGAAAAAGTTTGCTCTATATCAAGTGGACGATTTATCGGCTCGTGCATCACAAAAACATTGTTACCTCTAAAACCAGTCTTAATAACTAAGCCGCAAAGTCGTACCTCTCAATAACACGATCGTAGTCATCAGTAATAATAACCGACGACTTCATCACTTTGTTCTGGTTGAAGTCCTTTGAGTGCAGGTGGTACTGCGTCGTCACCCAGCCTATATACACATGTGTCGGGTCTTGACCGGGGAAGATTCTGGAAAAGATCATGGCGCAGATGTACTGTTTGTGGTATTATATTTTGAAAGGAGTTTAAAAGGGAGAAACCTCTATATGTAGATCATGCTTTTGCAGAGCTTACTCTAGTCTATGCTTTATTGACTCCTCATAAATGAATTTATAGTGAGTCAATAAAGTTTGGGGTCCACGAAAGGAGCCTCCTCGCACGACGGATGTGTCATTTATTTCATTTGGGCATTAATTGACAAGTGCCTTAAGTCGATTCGCATATCCTTACACTACGATGGCCAGCATTACAGTGCATCCCATAGATACGAAAAGAAGAAGAATAAATTTAAACTTTTGTGGTTATTCGCTAAGGTTTAAACATTGATTTACAATTATATGGACGTCGGGTCCGCGCTAAAAAGTGTCCGCACTTGTAAGGCGCTAAAATCGTATACAGAGCGCGACTCTCCGCTTTAGTCTTCATTTGTTCTACGGACAGCGCGATACTGCGATGACATAACAATTTAAATTTCGAATAGGTTGACTTGGGACATTTTTTTCGTGGTTTTTGTATTAGACCCGTCGTCCATTTATTTGTAAGTCAATGGGTTTAAATAAGGTTTCTACCGCGGAAAGACTAATTCATTTTTTGATTAGTCTTATGCTTTTATGATTTTTTCTTGATATCTTTTTTGTCATAGCATAATTAATATAAAACCGGTATTTTTTTTAAATAGCTCCGCAGTATGGAAACACCATGGTCCCTTGGGCACACATATAGATAACCACAATTACACCCAAACTCACGAGAGAAATAAATGTAGGCCATACAAATATTTTTCAAGGCCCGGGAATCGAACCCGAAACTTCTGTGTCGTAGTCCGGGCGGCGTGGTAACCGTTCGGTCCCGGAGGCCGTAAGGTGAGGTATGGTAACCCACTGCAGTATTATAACACATATTATTGTTATAATGAGGTAAGTACCTACTTACCGCGCCTGCACCTTAGCACCTGCTTACTGTAGCTACAATAAATACTCTAACAAATCTGTTAAATGCAATGCTATACTAAAAACATAGATATAAAAACCATTATGAGTATTTTGTAGTTTCCTCTAAACACGCTAGATGGTGCTGATTGATTTTACGTTAAACCTTAATTTTCATTTGGAGAAGCTCCTGCCCAGCAACAGTAAGAACAGAAATATACAGAGTAACCATGATTGGGCATTACCTGACACCGTAGAAGTATTCATTAATGAGCTTCAGGCATTCTGCGTCAAAAATCTCATTGCCGACAGTTTCCGTGGCGGATGCAGACAAGGTGCTGGTCGTCATTTGTTTCCGTTCTTGCTGCGGAGTTGTCATGGTAGTCGGTACTGCTAGGTTAGTCTGGAAATAACAGAATTATCGTCAGTGCACAAAAATAATGATAACAGATTTTCTGCCTTTCGTCAACTTTAAAGATTATTTATTCACTTTTGATCAACATATTTACTAGTAATCGGTAAAGTAATATCGTAGAAACTATTATAAATATCAAAACGAAGTTGTTTAGTAAGATAGTGGTTAAAATTACCCAGTTTTTGCAAATAATTTGCCATACATATACGTCAGTAACTCATTTTCTAAAAAATATCGACTCTCGCGCTGCATTTTCTAGACTGCACGCGCTTGCTTCTACGAACTTATGCCTGTGATTAAGTTTGGTTTTGTGGATTTGGAACACCCCAATTTGGTGTTTCTTGTTATTTTTCTAGGAAATTGATGTCAGGTTGGATGATTTTTGTAAAACAGGTTCATCTCTCCTCAAAATCTATGCAAATGAACAATGCTAGATTTAATAAGATAAATATTTACGAGTAGCAATTAATTGGCATAGACATTAGCAACGGGCTGGAGTGGTGGCTCACCTGTTGCCAGCGGACAGAAAGTACGAGTTTTTATTTCAATTTATCAATGTAAATATGTACACTGAAAAACACTGATTTTAATCAAGTTAACCTACCAAGTACCTGATGGTATAAATGTTCCGCTATCTTGCAGTATGAGATTTCAGAGTCCGGTCAGACAGACGCCAAGCGCCATGCGCAGTAAAATTTAGCGCGCTTCGAGCGCGGGTGTTCATTACAACGTTATAGTAGTTTTATTCTTTCAATTTGCAGAAGTCTGTATCCATTGTGGTGTCAGTAGACTCGTAGACTAGTATTGTTTGATTAATTATTTTTTTGTGAAATTATTCCACTAATAATAATTATGAAGAAATACTTTCATAGATTACAGATAGCTAGATAGAGCTACTCGCTCTCGCTACGAGCTCAGTTGGGAGAGCGTTAGGCATGGTATGCTGAAGGCGCTGGTTCAAATCCAGCCGTATTTAAGGAATTTTTCATAGTGTTTCTTTGCATTAATAAGTTTACATAAATTGACCACGTTATACAGGAAAATAGATGTTAGTAGAGTGCACAACATTCATTTTAGTAACTCACAGGGTTCTGAACGTCGTACATATGCGGACGACTCGATCTAGTGTGTCCATATCGCTCGTTGAATCTCTGATTCGCCTTGGGAAATAAACAAGTAAAAACCAAAAACAAACAAAACACATGGGAATAAAACCAATTGATGAACATTGACAAAATGTTTCTTTTTAATATTCTGTATATTCATGGCTGGGCAGTATTTGAATTACTTTTTAACTATTTTTTTTTTTATTTATTTATTACATTTAAATCACTTAAAAACAAAACATTCCAGTATAACATAAACTTAACTAAGTTTTTCCGTATACCGCTCATTTGTCGTAAAAATAAATTTCTTTATGTAGTGTACTTGTGATTGAAATAGGTATTTTGTACTTGTATTTCGATTAGTACCTAAAATGCATTTTTTAATTGGTATTTCACAATTACAAAATACGTTTTAGCTTGTTTGATATTTTTAAAACATCTTGTGAGAGTATTTTGTATTACGTATTTTGAATATACATCGAAAGTTTTTATAGTTTACATTTTAATAAAACATACCACGTATTTTGCCCAGCCCTATGGATGGATATTAATAGTCACAGTCAGGCACAGGTTCAACTGTACAATCTATTTTTTTGAAACAGCGCATAACATTTTTAAGTAATGAAATAAAATTAAGGTATATACCGTACTTCAACATATCGATACCTCCAATGAACACAACTTAATTTTTGAACTTGTTCTGGTTTTATTGTTTTATGTTTCTTTTTTTTTCACAAAATTGGTTTTTTCGTTTTTTTTTTTCGAATTTCGTTTTTTGTTACTTTAGTTTTTTTAAATAAAATTCGAGGAGCATAATATTAGTAAATAAATATGGCTGTTTACAAAAATAACAGAAACTATCAAAAAATAAAAGCGTAGTGTTAGTGGAGGTGTCGAAATGTATTCTTGGTATAACAAAGCCACATGCGATCATTACTTAAAACTTAAAAATGCTTTTATCACATGAATATCATCGAATCATAGAATCGACATTGACTAAAAAGTTGTCATTTTGCAGATGTGACTTTATTACACTAATGGTGTGAAATAATGTTGACATAAAGTACTTCTCCAGGTCTGCTACCGTATGATGAAAAACTCACTCAAAATGATAATTAAAACAACAAATTCAAAACAAACAAAAACCACTCCCAAGCTGTTTGACACTTATAAAAGCTGAAAATATTTTGACTGCCACCATGTTGCGGAACATGGCTGCATTGTTCACATGGAAGCATTGTTCTAAAGACAATACTTGTCATATTTGGTATTGAAGTAAATTTTATCATAATCTTTTCTGGGGCATACTTCAAATGAAATGAAATTCAATCAAAAATCTTTGAAAGGTTTACTGGGGGCCTTACTTCCGGGTGTAATTCCAGTATTGCGACCTCATTCCCGCTAAATTAAAAATAGAAAATCGTATCGAATATATGTCTATGCAAAAATGATGCCAAATTTTATTAGGCCATTTCGTTAAAAAAATTATACTTATTCAATCAACGTACGTATGTCGAAAGTGAAAATGCTGAAAGTGAATTTCAAATTAGTTTTTGATATCAGCTAACAGCATGGATATTAATGGTTATGGTCAGCGTTGAGTATGCTCCGTCTCTTTTCAGGACAACGTGCCTTAGTACTTATTTGTACGGCGCCATTTTGGTGTGACGTCACAAACAGCTATTGCTGGTTCTTCCAAACTCTTGACTTCCAAATTAATTCTCAAAAAATTTTAATTCTGTTTTCACATTTACGCACGCGTATTCCCAGTCGTCACCACTAGCGACAAATGGGGAAAACACCGTATGTTACCAGGTGGTGACAAACGGGATTAAAAAATCTCAGTTATGCCAGTGGTGATTTCTACTGGCGTCAAATGGGAAAAAAACCCATATGTTACGAAAATAGCAGTTGTTGGCAGTGCAGTGGTGATTTCCACCGACGACAAATGGAGAAAAAATCCGAGGGTGTGCAATGGCGAAGGGCTCATCTATTACAGTAAGAATCAAAGATTTCTGAATTAAATTCATTCGATTTGGTAAATGCTTATTTTCTAGACCTAAGGTAACTTTAAGAAAACCTGTCAAACGTATATTTTCGCCTCCTGTACTTTCAAATTAATACCATAAATATTTGTATAGCGTTTCAGCAAAAATTGGTACTGGATTAGCATTTTACCTGGGACACTCTTATCTGTGGGTTGGGTCGTCGAACAGTGCCCCTTTCGGGCGAGGTCTCAATGTCGCTGAACGGGTCTGGTGTCTTCGACTTGCGCGATTTCGAGCGGTCTCCACTCTCACCACGACGACTTTTGAAGAACCTGTAGGTTTAATGCGTTGCAAGAAGGTGTGAATCATTTGTTCTATTTATAGAACTGACTTTTTTTTTAAGTCTAGTCTTGAATTTGTAGATTTATATTCTGTAGGTGACAGTGTTGAGGCGTGAAAATATTCGTTAGTAAAGCCGGTCCAACATAAAAAATCTACCTTAACGAAAACTTCTTTTTCCGTTAAAAAGGCGCCTTGTGACACTTATGAGCACACAAGATACTATACAACCCGATGGTTTTTGAGTTTTCAGCCGCCATTATTAGGTCTTATTATATTATGGTTTTGCTTTTACAGCGGACTTTTGCAAGTGGGTGTATTTTGATATGAGTGCCTAGGTATCATGAATGTAATAGAAGCCGGGACCGGACCGGCTTGCATGGTAGATCGTGCCCTGTGATTGGCAGAGGTCCATCATTCTACGTATTATCGAATATTTCGAACATAAGTTTTTTAAAAGGCGGTGTACACGGGCGGTTTACTACAATCTATTCAAATACGTGGAAAATTTTAGGCAAGCCGGTGGAAATCGAGTTATATGGATGCCTTGTCACTGGTAGGTGAGAGATAAAGGACCTTATGTCCTTATTTTGGAATTTCGATGCTTTGTTTGTGTATTGCTTTAGAATGCTAAAAATCACGCAATGGAAGTATTGTTTTATTTATGCAATTCTTGCACAATGAGGTTTCTTAAAATCGAGTACCGATGCCTAAGTAATACGAGATTTTAAGACCTAATTACACTATAATGATTGCATGCAATTCTCTTTCTACGGGTAAATAAAATAATGAAACACAACAAATGTTGAATGCATATTTTGGTAACATTACATGACAACAAACTCACATGAAAATAAGTAAAAAAGTAAGCCGCTTGTGATATGGTTTATGAAATTATAATTGACAAAAGTCGTTTGTTTTTTTATTTAACGTACTTTATTTGACCTTAAGATTGATTTTTAAATGCCTGATAAAATTAAGAGGAGGCTCTAAAGAATTAAAATGAAAAGTAAATAACTTTAAGAATGAGGTTCTTAAAGTTATTTACCTTTCATGTACATTATTGTGAGTCAAATGATTTTTATTTCCATGTGCAGCTTTGGGAAAGAATGCGTAGAGCAGAGATACTCGAAAAGCGCGAAAACGATATGTGTGCTGGTCTTTTGAGATGGAATAACATTTGTTTATATTAACCGCGTAGCCTCAGGTGTTCTTATTAAAAGAGGATTACATAACTTTGTGTTTAAGTTGTGTATGGCAACAAACGTTATAAGTAATTCGGCTGCGCCCTATTCTACCAGGTATTAAGCGATTTGCAAGCACAAATGGCAACTATTTACATACGATATCCGGCGACTTGTCGGGCGATACTTGAAGTCGTTTACATATCATATAAACTAATGTATATTATGTTTTTATACACGATTAAATCAAGAATTTAAAATCTTTTTTTTTATAATATCAAGTTACGGGACGAACAAGTCGCGCACCTGACGGTAAGCTACACGCATGTCCATAATAGTTGCAGTGCCACTCAGAGCTTTAAATCGCAAATATCTAAGAAGCTGCCAACGTGCCCGTCACCCTGTGACATATGTTGACATGTCCCATGTGCCTGTAATTTCACCAGCACCCTTACCCTTGAAAACCTTCTTTCACAAGGAGCTCTACATCTACTGCTAATATGTGTCAAATAATTTGTGAAAATCGTGAGAGTTTAAATCAGTGTTAATTATGAAGATAATTATGAACGATCAGGTACATAGCATATTGCTTACATTTCGTCAGTCACTGAAGTTTCATCAGTCCTTGTAAAGCAAAAGAAAAAGCAAAAACATAATTATGTTAGTTGTTACCTAAGCTTAATCTGTGTTAAATAGAGCCAAAGGAGAAAGAGTTAATACGAGAAGACCAAGCTTGTTTGGAGATGTTAAAATAGATATGTATTAGAAAAACATTAGCAAAAACCATCAACCAACCAGAAATAGAGATGAAATGTAATTTAATTTGTTTGAAAACTATTCTGCCAAATCATTACTGTGACAACTGCGATCCGATTGGCCAGCCCGAATTCGAAACAATGTCAATGTCATTGTGTGTCGTCAATTGTTTCACTTCAAATCCCCCAGTTTAACTTAATACAGAATATTTTTGGAGTATATTCCAACACACGACACACACGACACGTACACACACGTCAGTTCTTGGCGCTGTACTATTACTGTTTTCTAATTTGTGATTTCAGCGCAAACGAGAGTTGATATTCAAAAGTGATATGAGGCCTATTTGCCTGATGAGTTGCCAGGGATGGATGGCCCTTATTTCGACTATATCTCTGATTATACTCGATATTTTATATACGATTTAAGAAATATTTATTTTCTCATAAGAATTATTACAAAATTCACTTACATGAGAAATTTCACATTCATATTAGCCAGAAATTCGGGCTTTATAGCGTATCCATCACAAACACTTAGCTTATTTTGTAATGTAACTCACTTATAAATTACAAAGACACAAATTAGTAACAAAAACAAAAATTAAATTCACTAAGACTGCAATTTTGTATACTATCATATAAGAAGGTAGTGTGATGATCAATTCTAATTTTTAAAATGTAGGGTAGAAATTTATTGTTTCCAAACTTAACAGCTATATGACTGAGTGCATCTGGAAGCGACATTGATGTTTTTTGTTGTTTGAAGTATGTTATTATATATACGATATATACGACGGTTATATACGATATTGTATCGTTACTTAGATTTTTTAAATATCAAGTGACGGGACGAGCAAGTCGTGTGCTTTGTGGTAAGTTACATGCTTGTCCATAACAGTTGCAGTGCCAATCAGATATTCAAATTGCTAAGATCTAAGGGGCACTGCCACTGCGCCTGTCACCCTGAGACATAAATTGACAAGGCCCATGTGGCTATAATTTCCAGACTGCCTCCGTGGCCGCACGGTTACCATGACACAAAGCAAAAGCATGGCAAAGCTCCCAGGTTCGATTCCCGGGCCGGGAGAAATATTTGTGTGGCCTACATTTATTTGTCTCGTAACTTTGGGTGTTGTTTGTGGTTGTCTATGTGTGTGTCCATGACACCTGCGACATAGGGTATCCCTAGTGGGGGGCTATGTTGAGTTTGTGCGTTATTATTATTATAATTAAGAATTTCACCAGCTTTCTTTTTATCACACTTTTCATTTTTTTAAATTCATTTTATAAGTTTTTTACTCGACTCGGCCGGGGAACCCGGGACCAGAGATGGTGACACCATGAAAACCGGTGTGCAAGCCGCGGATGTAGTCGCAAACAAAACATCTTACTTATAGGTACGGATTATAATGATGGAAGCTTACTTAAAAGGCGATCGTCCTCTCTTTTCTTTTTTATCGTCCGATGTAACGCTTTGAGCCCCCGACTCGTACTTAGCCATCTCTGCTTCGCTGGTAGACCGATGCATCCCGTTCACTTGACCTGCATTAAAAAAAATACTTTAACACTGTTCTTACGACGGGTAAGATAGAGACTATGAATCGTCAAGTGATACAACGCTAGTATACTAAGTACGGTTTCTTTGTAAAGTTTAACAGACAGTAAAATTACTGTAGACATCCTCAGAAAATAAATAATGACTTTAATATAAATTAAAACGAAACGATTCCCTAAAGTCTACGTATACACAGTAAACTTTTTCGACCGGATGGGACTTGAACCCACGACCTTACTGCACCGTAGTATTGCTCCTACCAACCGAGCTACGGATCAAGTTATCGAGTTGTCGAAATTATCCTATGTGTTTTTGTTAAAGATATTTTTATTGGATTTTTGGCATTCAGAACCGCTAGCGACATCTAGTGAGAGATTTTAAAACCTTCTTCACCGCAGCCAACAACTTTACAAGTGCTTCAACAGACGTAGATGTTGCTTTTTGATCAAAAGTATTATTGAGATTTTTCGTGAGATATAACTCCACTTTGATGGGGTTATTATTGATACAAAGATCAAACAACAAAAAGAAAATCCTTCGATGTGACTGGATTCGAACCAGCGTCTGTTGCTGGGGCCACGACTTTTACCAACTGAGCGACCGAGTCAGTAGATCTTACGAATTTCTCTATGTGCTTGTTGCAGATCTTAATATTGGGTTTAAAAGACTTTTTGCCTTCAGGGCCACCTGTGACAAATTTATTAAATTTGCGGTCTGTGGTACCTATCATCTCGTGCATCATAAAAAAAAACATACATGATTTGATTGAACCAAACGTATTCAGAATCAAAATAATGTTTTTTCTGATTTTTATCAAACAGGTTCTCCTGCAAGTTTTCGACAATGGTGAATTAAATGGATGGTACATTGATCTCACTTGAAACACTTAACAAAAACAATGTTTTTTATACACGGAACTTTTGTTATACGAATTAAACTTGAATACAGTACGTACAGAGATGGGCAAGCATTTTAAGCGCCACAATTTTAACCCAACGCCGGCTTTACATTCGGTTAAACCCATTCGCCTCCGAAAACGAAAGCGGAAACTATTTACAATTAAATATAATCAAATATTTGTTGTAACTCGAGTTTTGTTGTTACAAAATGTTCAAATTCTATTTGACTGATTTGTTATTCAAATTTATCTAATAAAGGAGGTGAAATTTGTTTTTTAAATAGCTAATGCCTATCTCGGTATTATTCAGCGCAATAAACGAGACTTTTGGGATTGGTTCTTTTTTGGAAAAAAAAAATTTTTTTTACGTCGTTTCAAATTCAGATATGTAAATATTCAGTATTATCGCAGCTTTGGACAGAAATGGGTTAAAAGCAGGCGTTTTGGAAAAAACCCCTTGCAGCTGTAAAAATTGTGTTCGAGTCTTGATGACGACATACCAAAGTTTGATATGTGCACGATAAACAATAAAAACAAGTAAAATGTACATTTAAATTTAGAATTTCAATCAAACGTAACTGTTTAAAAAAACTACAAATTACAAAAGATTTGTAGCGGCTGCGGTTAAAATGCAGGCGGGCGGGTTGGGTCTTAATCCACTACCCATCTCGGAGCACGTATAATGAAATGACAATAGATTTTAAGGTGAGCAAAATGTTGTTAAAAAGATGTAAATATTTCAAAAGATGTATTTTAGATCGAAGGCGGAAGAGAAATACCTAACTATAATCTTCGTTAACTTACCTGTCTTAACTCACTAAGTAATTCAAGCTGGTTAACTTTTAAAAACGATTCTCTTAAAACCAAAATTATTTCATGTTCTGAGCTTTCTAATGGTAAAGAAGAGTCCAAGATAGAAGAAAGTGTCTCAAGCCAAAAAATAATTTTAAATTTCATTATTATTGTATTAATTTTCATTAAAGCTCTTTTAATTATTTAAATTACATCAAAATGAAGAGAATGAAAGACAGACGGACAGGCAATAGACGAACAAAATGACCTTAAGCAAAAGACACCCATGAAGTGACACACACAGTGACGTCAAGGCATTAACCTGGTTGCAAATTATAATTCTGTATCGTAACCCCCCTGGTCATGGACCCCTTGCGCGGGGGTCTAGAAGGCTGCCTCTTCAATTTGGAAGTAGTTGCCACGTCTTCCTGGTTTTCTTCGTAGTGGAGACCTTGTGTAAGGGGTCAAATCAAAATAAGCTTTTGTTGCTGTGAGATTTCCTTTCAAGCATAAGACGCGAGAGCTTTCATTGTAATGGTTTTTAATTGGTAGTCTCATAAGCAGTGGACTCCCCGTGAACTTTTTATCAGGATTCGAAATTATCGAGTCATTTACTTTCTTCGATAATTATCATGAATATTATTTGAGAATTATGCAACATATATTCGACAATTCATGCTGATACATAGTTTTGTCTCTTTAATTTTGGACTAACAATGACAAACAGTGAGAAAAATAATTTAAAAGTCTTTGGTAAATGATTTGATTTGTGACTTTTTACATTGACATTTGACACGTATTGTGAAACACACACACACACTCCCACGCATATATACATCTTAATATATTTATATACATATATATACACATAGGGCACACTATGAGTTTCCGGAACTGGCCACTTACATAAACAATATTTAAAAAGTAATTTCAACATTTGAAAATGGAACTCTTTGGCTGTAGAATACAGTTTGTTTCATCTGTCACTTGTTTTCACATTCTGGCGTCATTTTAGAAATTGGTTGTCTACATCACCATGGATTTAACTCGTGAAAATTTTCGTAGTATGAGTTTCTACGACTTTAAGTGTAACTTAACAGCTCAGCAGAGCTTCCCTCGTCTTCAAACTGCTTTTGGCGATGCAGCACCATGCAAGACGACTACTAGCTGGTTTGCAGAATTCAAACGCGGTCGTGTGAATCTCAGTGACAAATTTCGTGATGGTCGCCCGTCCACTGATGTGAACAACATAAACATCGATGCTGTGCTCCGTATGATCAAAACAGACAGGCATGTGACATACTATGAGATTCGGGCATCTTTAGGCATAGGCATGAGACAAATACAATCAATATTACACAAACATTTGGGTGTGAAAAAGCTGTGCTCTCAGTGGATCTCACACAATTTGACTGAGGCTCAAAAAACGGATTGCGTTACTTGGTGCAATGCCATGCTTACCAGATTCAACGAAGGGGAGTCAAATTTGATGTGGGACATAGTAACAGGTGACGAAACATGGATTTATAGTTACGAACCCAAAACAAAGCAGCAATCGAGCGTATGGGTCTTTCGAGATGAGCCGAAAATAATCAAAGTGGCGCGCGTGCAAAGTGCTTTTAAGCGGATGATTGCTTCTTTTTTTAATAAAATTGGACACGTGGCTACTGTTGCTTCGGAGAATCGTTGTACCATGAATAGTGATTGGTACACGACCATTTGTTTGCCGGAAGTTATTGACAAACTCCGTAAAAATAACCGTAAACGCCGTATCATTAGAATTTCTGAAGGTGAACAATGTTGATCTTATGAGCCATCCCGCGTACAGTCCCGACCTGGCACCTTGTGACTTTTATTTATTTACAAACATTAAGAACCAGTTACGCGGTCAACGATTTTCATCACCTGAAGAGGCTGTCGAAGAGTATGAAAAACATGAACATTGTCACGGAGGAGTGGCATAAATGTTTTCAAAATTGGTTCATTCGTATGAAAACGTGCGTTAACGCTAACGGAGAATATTTTGATAAACAATAAATTCATTTCTGACCATTTGTAGTATTTTTTTCCTTTTCATTCCAGAAACTTACAGTGCGCCCCACGTAATATACACACATATACATATACAGATACGTCGGATACAGAAATTAGTTTAAAAAATATAAAAATAATTATCATGGCATATTTAACAAGATAATCAACGAATCCTGTTTTTTATTATAACTATGTAAGAACATAGTTCGTAAATAATAAAAGTTGAAGCAATTAAACATAATCACGTAAAAGAAAGCAACTGCGTAACAGAATTTATATAAACCATTATAAAGAAAGAAAACAACTGTTTAATAGGATCACTCACAAGGTAAATTAGGTCAGTAATAAAGACAAATATAATGGAAGGTAGCAGTGACAAAGCGTATATATTTGAAAAAAATAAGCCTAAGTACAAAGTAAGCAGCAAATGCTGCAAGTCAATATTTTCCGTTACACACCGACTAAGTTTGAGAAGAAATTTGTTAGACAAACCAGAGTGAATCACGTCATATAGACTCTTTGCCAATGCTGGGTACACATTCTAAAATTCTACATTCTACTACAAAAAGTAAATCAAACAATCTTAGAGGACCTTTCAATTTATAGGTAGAGTGGCCATTTTTTTAATGACTAATTGAAACATATAAGGCACACGAGGGGGAGTTACACCAGCTTGCGTTAGGCATTTACATTGAGTACGTAACTAGAAACAGAAACAGAGACGAAATGTCTCATGAAAGTGTATTCTGCCAAATCATTAAGGTGACAACTGCGCTCCGATTGGCCAGCCCGAATTCGAAACAAGTGACTGGTGTCGTCAATTGTTTCACTTCAAATCGATCAGTATAACTTGAGCTTTGCTATAATGGACTGAAATTGAACATATTTAATATTTAATTACCGATGAAATATGATTCCGTTTGTTTTCCAATTAGATCTTTTGATGTGTTTCCCACACCAGTAAATGGAACAGCTCCCATTGTTAGAGACATTATCTTTATTACAATAAATACACAATATTTTTGGATTATACGGAGACGTACACTCAAGTCAGTTGTTGGCGCTGTACTATTTCAGCTTTCTAATTTCTAATTTCAGTGCAAACGAATGTTGATATTTATAAGTGATGTATCACTTACCAGTTACCAGGAATGTATGGCCCTTATTTCGTCTCTATTTCTGGTTATACTCGATGTTTGAAAGCAACCACTCCCCCACCGGGCTACCATCATTCCTTGTAAATTCTGAAGCTATATATAATTTAAAGGGAAACCACACAAACCATAACCTTATGTATTCGATTTTAGATAGTGTCTAGAGAATGCTAGAAGAGAATTTCATAAGTTAATTATACAAAACTATTTCAAACTTCGTTTGTATGAAGCTTGCTCGCAGGACTCCTCTTAACAGAAATTGTTTCGCAAAATAGCCACATTATTATTATTAAATATTAATTAATCAATAAACCAATATTACCTTTAATGTCACTAATAGTGAATCCACTTCTCATGATTTGGTCGATGTGGGCTGGCATTTGAGCTTCCACGGCTTCCTTCATCAGAATAGCTTGCCTTTCTTTGATCTCCACCCAACGACGGGCTTTTTCTTGTTCACTTAAAAAGGAGTGCGCGTGGATAAATTCAGGGGGTGGAAAATGATAGGAAATCCTGCACACCTACCCTACCCTACAATATTTAATTGCATTCATTTCATTCACTCATCGCTGTTAAAAGTAGCCGTGAATAGCCACTCTAAGTCCTGACCCCTCCAGGTCGTGTACTAACTTTGTTCACGTCCCCGTGGATTACTGTCTCTACCGTCACAGGTCTACGCAAATAATGATGTTCATCTATAACGTAATAGGCCTAGCACTCTTTGTATACTTACTCAATAAACTCAGCGTAACAAATGACAGGCAGAGATAATCTAAGGAACTCCCAGTTTGCCTTCTCCATTGTCTCGAATGTGTTATGCGATATCTTCATGCAGGGCGGTGTTTCTAAAAACAAATTATTAATATGAATAATTTCTCAGTACCGAGTACTAAAAAACCGACCTCAAAAGTTCGTGGTAACAAAAACATCCTAAAAATTACATCTATTTGCCATGTTTTATTGAAATCGGTTACCGGAAAGTATGCGAACCGGATTCATCCCCGATTTGCCACCCTTATAGGTGGAATATTTTCTTCAAATCTGAATGAGACTAAAATGAGGTACCATATTTCTAACAAATAAGAACCATCAAAATCGGTTCACAAATTATCGCGTAAGATACATACAAAAAAAGAGAGTCGAACGAGAGGTTTTAATTTTTTTTTAAATTGCATGTAATATAAACTGCATGTAATAGACATAGAATAAAAAAAAACATATATAAATAGGGTGTATTCGTTAAGAGTGCCCAGGCAATTAATCCGTAAATATAAGAGTTATCAAAAACCTTTAAACTGATGTCGAAATTACGTTGCTTAAAGAGCAAAACGACATCAATAACTTTTTTAAAACAACACTAGAAATATCCAAGAAACGCTCCTATACATATAATTATAACGCACACACTCAACATAGCCCCGCACGAGGGAAACCCTGTGTAATATATATTAATATATCGTATAGTATACGTGTTCCATTTAGATCAGTTGATATTAAAAAAAAATCTTAGATATATGTACCTGTTCAATTCTGCGGTTTTCTTGTCAAATTTCGAGGTAAGTTTGTGATATTTTTCTATTAGGAATCGTGTTTCTCACCATATAGTAATCAGTGTATATTATTTGTATATAATTATATAATTGTGTATATAATTTTAATATATATTTTTTCCAGTGATTGATTCAACACTTTGACTGTTATGCAGAATCAACCAAAGCCATTTAAAGTTGTATAGATTCTGAAGGAAAATACTTGGATATTTACCAGATCCAGCAGGTATTCTGGTGACATCGATCCTCGTGTCGGCCATCTCGTCTGTGTTCTCGAATATCGGTTGATCCTTGGTATACCAGTGGGTTACGTCTCTCTTCATATTTCTGAACAGATGAAACAGCCACAATATTAAACAATATACACGTCATATAACACGCATATGATTGGCTGCCTTTAGAACATACAAAATATAATATACGTGCTGCATCATGTGATTGGTTGCCTGTGACGTGATACGCGTGATTCGTAGGCCTTTAATCAAACCCATAACTTCGGGTTTGATTATAGGCCTACGTTTCTAGTAAATCGAATTAGTAAAATAAAACGTGGAAAAATCATTGAGTGGAAATTTAAATTTACGATGTCGGATTTATTATAATATAAAAAAAAACTTACACGCAGAAAGGTTCATAGCCTTCTTGAAGACCACAAGTCGTGAAGTATTTGAGCGTGTTTACATCTTGACCGTAGGTTAACCTGGAAAAAGAGGATCGAGTTCAAGAATACGTCTTTAGCCTACCTCTAGTTACGAGCAAATATTTCAAAACTAATAAATAATATAATAATTTTTTATTTAAAAAAAACCGACTTCAAAATTTTATTTATCCGCTTTCGCTGTGTTCGTTACATTTATTTGCCAAGTTTTATTGAAATATTCCGTAGTTCGCCACTATACGGGACTTGACACAGGAGATAATAAAAATCGGTTCTCACTACTCAAAGTGTATTGAGAGAGAAAAACGCCTTGAATTGGAGAATAGCAAAACCAACCATTAAATAATTGCTCCTTAAGTAAAATTTAGGCGCTATTTATAAAAATGAATCCGTGATCAGCCAACCTTAGAGGTGGATGATTTTCTTCAAAATTAAATCAGACGACTATGGTACCCTCTTTCCAGCAAAAAAAAGAATCATGAAATTCGGTTCACAAATACCGGAGTTATCGCGTAACATACATACAAAAAAAAAACATACAGTCGAATTGAGAACCTACTCCTTTTTTTGAAGTCGGTTAAAAAAGAATCTTTCAATCGGTTCAGAAATGTCAAAAAAACACAAATGGGAGGGAATGGGAATCTACTCTGAAAAATCTTATTATATTATTTAAAAAATCTTACATGGCTTAAAATCCTGTGAGAACACCCGTACCCAACAGTGTAAGTTCCATGGGTCATTTATGCTACGGTTACAGAGTAAGTACAAATAATATAAGCGGAACATGGAAGGTATAATCTAAAAGTCTTTTTTGGATGAGATGGAGAAAAATGACAGTTCACAGCGCAAAAGTGTTGCCCACTTGCAAGCAACTAGTGATTGCAGGCGACAAATATACTATCGACTGAATGTTGGCTTATGCAATAAATACATGAACTTGTTTCATTTTAATCATCATTTTCGTCCAACTGCTGCCCAGCAGGTTTATTTAAGTTGTCAATTTTTGTAAGTTCATACATGCATTTAAAATTATATCTTTTTTTTATCTTCTTTTACTATCTATCGACAAAACTGTCGATAGCAACCACATGACTATTTAAAATTTTATGAAAACTGACAACCCTGCAAATGTCATTTTACTCCGTCTTAAAAAAATACAAACTGTGGTATAATACTCGGTACAATTTTTAAAATCTTCATGTTTACCTCGCCTTTTGTCCGACGCCAAGAGTACAGGCAGGCACAAAGTTGTCACCTTGCACTTCAGCGAAAGTTGTTTCACCACCCAAAGCATCCATCAGCAATTCTCCATTTAGAGAGAAACCTAGAGTAGTGACGTAAAAATTTCAGGACAGTGCAAATAGAGCCGTTTGTAAAACGAGAAATACGCTATCCAACATGTTGGTCGATATTAACGGAGAAAGAAAATTTTTAATTATAAAATCCAGAAGTTGGAATGGGTCTGGGCTGGACAGGTCTGACTTATGCATCCACAGAGATAGGCTCACACAGCCACTAAGTGGATGCTGGAGAACGGCCAGTGACGGTAAGGTAGATCAAGAAGGAGATGGCGTCAAACCGAAAGCTATGGAAGTCGAGAAAAAAAAGCCCGAACGGAGTTCAGTGGCGCGAGTCTATATTCCGGATTGAAAGGTATGGAGATCCAGTGTGAACATAGGAACAGCAGACTTAAGATCTTAAGTCTGAAAACGGCAGGATGTTGAAAACACTTCTTTAGTAATGCAAATGTATCACTAATAGCTCTGAGAGTGTGAGTCTCATAAAAAATTACAAAAAACAACGTCTGTTCCAGAGATGGACAATCAGTTAAAACCAAATCAACCCGCCCGGGTTTTAACCCAAAGCGCCATGTTTTAACCATTTTCCGCCCAAAATCGTGGACAGAAACAGCGAATACGGAATGGGTTATAATTCCATACTTATTACAAATTCGATGTAAGTAGTTTGATGTTTTGACGCGGAAGCGTATAACAAACAAGTATACCTTTCGCGCATTTCTTTTGTTACTATCAACCAAACATGTTGGGCAGAATGTGATATTACAAATCAATATATAAAGGGTGCAAAAATAATCAAGGCATGAATTTAAAAGTTTCATATGCCAATAAAGTTGGGCATTTACAGTCCAACGTACAGGAAAGAAACAGAGATATGCTACAGAATTAGTTTTTTTTCAAGTTACACTTCTACGTAATCTCTGTCTCGCTGCTAGTCAATTTGTGAGCGTCCAATAAGACAAAACAAATTTCAGCAACAAAAGTCTTTTAACGTTATTATTATTTAAACATACACATTGTAGATAATTAGTGTATTAGCATAATAACACCACTGGGAATAAGCAGGAAGCAATTTTTAGTAAAGTTATTAACATGTTTGCGGCAATGATGTTAGTTATTTTAGTATAATGCATTGACCGTAATGCTTGTTTTCACCGTGCAATTTATACAGTAGATACATCGGGCGATAATGTTGGACCGTGACAAACATGTGTGACGATCAAATTTAGTACAGTTCGCTTTATTTAATTACAATAATTTAATCCGCTTCATAAATCTTCTGCATAAATTGTTCCTAAAATTTTACATTCACTGGCAATCCAAAATCTTTTCAAATTCTTCGTTCAGAAAGAAAGAAATCAAGTTATTTACTTTTTGTTAATTAATGCAATTGTAAAGCGACAGTTTAGCCTGCAATTTGTCCATTACATTCCTTTTTCATGTTTGTCATCCAACCTTGTAAAACAGTGAATGTATAACTTTATGCCATAGTGTTATTTCGCATAATGTTAAGCTAAGGTTAAAACACTGCCTCGAAAGTGCGTTAAATTACTACTTACATTCCTTTCTACTCGTAAACTCTTTCTATTCACTAAGTAACCCAGATCTTCATGCCATCGAATGAAGGTACTAATCTAATGCAATGGTGACGTGGTGTACTGTGCTTACTGATTTTTGTGGATTGTTTATAGTGTTTTAAAATCACAATGTATTAATTACGGACTACAAGGGGTGCTCCAGCGATTTGATAACGTCATCGAATCCAGTCAAAGTTCTTTGTGGTAATATTATGCGCTATATTTCAAGAAGAGCCGGGTAAAGTCTTACACACTTTTCCTAAAAACACTGTTATAGGTACTACAACGTTAATAGCGGGCTTTACACAGACACTCTATCACGCGTCATACCGCAGCAATTGTGCGCGATTGAGCGCGCGTGTAAAGACGTTGAAAAGAAAAGGGATAGGCCGCGCGATCGCGCTCAACAGTCGCCAGTTTCACGCGGTCTATCCTGCGCTATGAGCTTTTACACGGACGCTCTTTTCGTTGTAACAAAAACGTTACTTTAAAAGAACGTTAGCTTAAAAACTTTCAAACAGGTAATGGCGCACGACTGTGTAAAAGGGTTTATGGTGTTTAAAACAAATCCAAACACCCTTACCTTTCCAAACCGAGACACAGTAATGCTGACATTACTGCTTGGCGACAGAAATAGGTAAGGTGGCAGTACTTCCCTGGACCACATCTTTCACAAGGAGCTCTACTACTAGTAAAGAAGTTTTACAAAAACAATACGTAAAGCATTTGAACTGTGATTTTGAAGCACTTAAAACTAAGAAATCAGTAAGCAAGCACATTGTCTATATAAATTTTTACAGTGCGTGGAAAATTCGCAAATGTAGCAATGCGGTGGCTGAATTAGATTTGTAGGAATATTAATTTTGAATTCTATAGATTCAAAGCAAGCCTAATTTTGAAAGCCTTTGATAATTTTGAATTTAGTTTGAGAGTGGCAGGAAGTACCCTCTAAAGGAAACCAGCGATACATAATCTATAACCATAATATAATAAGACAAATATGGTAACTCCGTACAAGCCTAGCAGTGTGGTTTGTATGTGTGCGCGCCCACGTCGTGACGTGGATGCACATGCGTAAACCACTAGCCCGTCCCATGCGGGGTGTGGCGTGACGGGATAAATTGCCGGTTATGGAAACAATTTAGCGGTTATTAGACAGGAAGAATGAAGGTTATTGAATGGATTTTGCATTGGTCCGAATAAGTCTTTGCTTGGTATCTTGGAAGATTAGAATTATTTTTTTTATTTATTAGAAATTTAATGTAACTTCAAATAATAATAATAATAACGCACACACTCAACATAGCCTGTAACTAGGGAAACTGTGTCGCGGGTGCCATGGACACATACATAGACTACCACAAATTACACCCAAACTCACGAGAGAAATAATTGTAGGCCATACAATTATTCCTTCCAGCCCGGGAATCCAACCTGGGACCTTTACGTGGCAGTCCGCCATGGTAACTGTTCGGCCACGGAGGCAGTTTGAATGAATTAAATGAATTGTTTAAATGACAAACTTTGTGAATAGCTAAGTAACTTTGTGATTTAAGAACATAAATCGAATTTAAAAAGCTGTAAAGTTAGCAAATAAATAAATAAATTATGAATTGAATACAGTTGACATAAAGCAGTTAGTTACTGACAGCAGTTTTAATCGATTTCAAAAAAGGAGGTTCTTCATTCGATTCTGTTACACGATTATTCGTTTATCACAAGATTACTGCATTTGTGAACCAATATTGATGATTCTTTTTTGTTGGAAAGAGTACCTCAGTATAGGTCCCATTTAAATTTGAAGAAAATATTCCACCTCTATGGGCGGCAAACTAGGGCATGATTCCTGTTTCGTGTACTTTTCGGTAACCGATTTCAATAAAACTTGACAAATAGATGTAATTCCTCGTACTTTTCAGGTCGGTTTTTTTTTACAAAATAGTTATTAGTGGGGAGCGGGCGTTGGCCAGAAAATAATTGTTGACTAAAAAAAACCCCTATGTTATGGATATTCCAAAGACTCGCACGAAGCGTTATGCTTCCACATTTACATAGCGAACGGCTATGGAGTGGAGTTCCCTGCCTGCAGACTTATTCCCTGCACGTTATAACTTAGGCCTTTTCAAGGCGAGGCGAGACCTTCTCGCTACTTTCCACCAATTGATATGGAAGTCAAATGCGCACTTATATATATTTAAAGTAGGAACAAACTTCCTGTATTTTGTTGTTGTTGTATTAAACATATATTTAAATATATAACCTTCCTCTAGTCCACATCAGCAAACGGAATGATCTCGAACTTTGATCTAGCTAGAAAAACAGGGGAACAAACGTGACCCAATCTAAGCCGAATAATCATTGATGTATATAGTTTAGGGATATGTCTGTAGCGGAAGAGCCAAGGATTGCATGGAATGTTTGGTTGGAGGCAGCAAAAATGTTTACCTTTTAGTATCATGTAAATGTGTGCGTATGAATAGAGTCACCATATTTGTCTTATTATACTAAGCCATAACCCTACACTTCAAAATCTAAAACGTTATAACATGTAAGCCTTATGTTACCCAATAATGGATAATATTTCCATTTTTCAGGTAATATTATCCATTATTAAAGACAACATAGAGTAATTTTAAATAGTCAATTCTTAAGTAAACAAGATCTATTTTTCTATCGATTAACCAACACATTGTCCATAACGTCGGTTTAGAGTGAAAACCTCGCAAAAGTATTTTCACATTGTTTGTACTGATTGCTGGAGCAAATCTTATGAAGTTTTTTGTATAAATATATAATTAAAATAATATAGCATTTGAAAGAGACACAATTTAAGGAAAAAAACATTATTAAGTTTAAAAAATAAAACTGTTTTTTTCCCAGATCTATAGCGTATATTTGTTTTTTTTTTTCATACCAACGTTTCGGGCACAAGTCCCACGTTGACGGCTGACTGAGATGGTAAAGCCATCAGCCAGTTATGTCTAACATTAATAACAATAGGTTTTAAAAAATATATATATTCGATTTCGATCCAAAAATTTGTTTCAATTTCTATGTGTAAGCTTTTATGCATTGCATTCGATTCGTATCTTTTCCGAATCCGAGACTATGCAAATCTAGAAAACTCGGACCCTCTTCGGATGTCACTTATGCACTAAGTCCGATTCACAACAACATAGAAATCACTTAAGAGGTAGTCACTCCATCACGACGATAAACTACATTGCACAAATTAACCTGTACAGTAAATATATTCCTGCCACAATCTTACCAATTCACAATAAAGCCTGGCACAAACTATCCAATTAATTAATCGTTCAACAAATTGGTTCCATATTTACTTATCGTCTTATCAATCAGGTCTAGGAACACTCCGACTACGTCACCGACTGCCCATTGTTTCCCGAACGACTCAAAGCTACCGCTGTATACTTTTTCCTCCTTGAAAAGTCGAAAAGTCTATTGTAGGCCCTATATTTGTAAATATCGTCTAGCTTCACGAGCATCATGATCGTGTATTTATGACGTATGGGATGACAGTGATATTAGCGATGGGACGAGTTGTTTTTTTTTTTCAACTCGAGCTACTCAAGTTGACTTATTACCGACTCGAGTTGACTCGACTCGGTGTTTGACAGAGCAATCGCGAGTAGCCAGAGCGATGCGGCGTATGTTCCTATGAACTCGAACCGACGATTCACCGAGTTGGACATCGGCGTGCCGACCGCGACTCGAGCGTGCTCCGAAGGTCGCGGAGCCGCGGGGCGACTACTGAACCGAGGTAACTAGTGTTCATAAAAAAATATCTCGAGTTTACTCGTTATGTTAGTAAATCGAGTTAAATAACTCGACTCGCCCATCGCTAAGTGATTTCTGATGGCGACTGTCATTCCAAAGACGAAACAAGTACGCGATTACAATATCCACAAAGTCAGAGATTAAATCATTCAGGTCTGGACACTTTACGAAAGGGCCTAACTAATTTAATTTCTATAATAAGGAACAAAACGAAACAAAAAAAACACAATTAATTTATAAATTAGCATCAAATGGGAACACTTAGATAAATGGGGTTCAATTCGATAAATTTTGTTACCACGAATTAACCACAAAATAGAAGAGAGTGCTGCTTTGAAATTATCTATTTGAATTATATTATTAATATAAAAATCGAACGCAAAGAAAAATTGCTTCCATATGACAGGAATCGAATCTGCTTTGTATGCCAAATCCCTAATTTGGCATACAAAGCAGATTCGATTCTTGTTATAATCCACGTGTTACGTGTTGTGTTACGTGGTTGTATTTTTGAACATATTTCATAAATGAAAGAGGTTCTCAATTTGTATTTCTTTTTGTATATACGCGATTACCCCGGTGTTTTAGAACCATTTTTAATGATTCTTTTTTATTGGAAAGAGGTACCTCAGTATTGGTCCCATTTAAATTTGAAGAAAATACTCTTCCTCTCAAGGTGGCAAACTTGGGGGTGAATCCGGTTTCGCAAACTCTGAGGTAACCGATTTCAATAAAACTTGGCAAATAGATGGGATTTTGAGGTGTAATGGATCCTTTTATTGAAATGTAGTCGAGTGGCTTGTGCATGGGTTTTCATGTTGTCGATCGTCTCTGAGGTCTTTTCAATATTGTGTAGTCTGGGTGTTTGTGGTACTGTTATTGTTTCGGATTTCCATAACACAAGTGTCATAATTACTTACTTTGGGATCAAATCAACGTAAGCGATGTTGTCTAATATTTATTTATTATGGCTGATTAGCCATATACATAGTTCTACTAAAGTCTATACTATAATTGTACTGCAGCTTCAATCGCTGTCCATGTACTACGTTTAACAAAAATTTGATGAAATGCTTTTTTTCCCATTGGTTTTTAAATTTATCTTTTTTGTTTTCATCAAGCTGTATAATAAAATACGGGATGGAATTGTTTAAAGTACTGTCTTTTTACTAATTACTGAGTTTCGTATATCGATTTGAACAGAGGTCATTGTACTTGTTGACAAATAATCATATGTCAGACCGCCACACTAAATACCCGGACTCAAACTATAGTTTCCCTGTACTATTAGTAGCAGAATAACGAAATTCACTCCAAGCCACTATCCAGAATACCCAGACTAAAACTAGTTTAGAAAATGTCATTTCCCAAATTGGTCCCATCGGGAATCGGTCCCATCAAACCCGAGATTTCCTCATTTCACAGATAAAAACTGTTAGGTCACCCAGTATATAGAGTGAACGTCATCAAAGTGACGTCAAAGGAAGTGGTAGCATGGCGGCACAATCACAATAACGACATAATTATAAATGTATGTTTATTACATGTATATATGACAAAACGACTAGCCTGATTTGTATGAAGTTTAGTGGATAGAAATGTCCTAGATTTGTACTTAAGATTGAATTTCATCAACATTTATATAACTGCTAAAGTATTCGAAAAAGAATATGTGACATCAGTCGACTTGAATCCAGATAGTTAAAAAAAAATAATAAATTAAAAATAATAATGGCATCAAAGCAGCACCCTGTATGACCCCTAAAGGTGGTAACTCACTAATAGTCTGGTCTTGCACGTCTAGGAAGCAGCCGACAATGTCGCCAACTTTAAACTGCATACCGAAAGAATCGCTCGACGCCGCGTGCCATTTTAGACACTGCGCCCATATTTTATTATATTATTTCACTCGTTGAACTTTCGTAATCATCGAGTATATAACCAGAAATAGAGACGAAATGTTATTTAATTTGTTTGAAAATTATTCTGCCAAATCATTACGGTGGCAACTGCGCTCCGATTGGCCAGCCCGAATTCGGAACAATTGACGGGTGTCGTCAATTGTTTCACTTCAAACGACCAGTTTAACTTGAGCTTTGCTATAATGGAGGAAAATTGAAAAATTACATATGTAATATTTAATTACGCATGAAATGTGATTCTGTTTGTTTTGTAATTAGATCTTTTGCTTTTTTTCATGGAAAAGCCCCCCATTGTTAGAGACATTATTATCTTTATTACAATAAATTCAGAATATTTTTGGAATATGCGGAGACGTACACACAGGTCAGTTGTTGGGGCTGTACTATTTCAGCTTTCTTTGTGATTTCAGCGCAAACGCGAGTTGATATTTAAAAGTGATATAATGCCCATTGCCTGGCCCTTATTTCGTCCTTATTCATGGTTATATACTCGATGTTCGTAATACACAATAAACATCAAAAGTTTACTTATTTCTATACCATATAAAAGTCATTACAATCGTGCATGACTTGACAGTATTCGAAAGGATGACAATGGCAACTCATTACGATTTACAAAATCTCAAATAATACACGATTACAAGTGACACGTTTCTTGAACTGTCTTATTACAATGTTACATGTGGATTTTACACGTTTATTAATAATACATGAAGCCCGTAGTACAGCTGTCGCGATAGTATTTTTTTAAGTGGCGTAATTTTTTCTACACAATTAAATTGAAAATCACTGCTGGAACGCTTTGCGTTTTCCAGCAAACACTGACTTAGTGATCTTGTTGTTGTGGCAATTGACACCGCACAAAGTTTTTTATGATACCTAGTCGGGTGTCAAGCGACACGCCTGTTCATAGCAGTTGCAGTGCCACTTAGAACTTTATATCGCAAAGATCTCAGGGACACGGCCACTGCGCCCGTCACCCTGAGATATAAGTTGACAAGTCTCAAGTGCCTGTAATTTCACAATCCTCCAAATCCGGAACGCAGTAATGCTAACATACTGCTTGACGGCAGAAATAAGTAAGGTGGCAGTACTTCCTTGGACGAACTCTTTCACAAGGAGCTGTACTGTTGCTGAACTTGCCAATCTATGTTTCAGGGTGACGGGCGCAGTAGTAGTGCCCCTCAGATCCTTGTGATTGAAAGTTTAGAGTAGTGTTGACTCTAAACTGTTATGAACAGGTGTGCCTTACCTTCAGGCGCACGACTTGTTCGTCCCATCACTTGATATTATAAAAAAATATCAGTTACAAATAGCCATGTGAAGTGCCACCATTATGTTTAAATGAAACTAGTTTCGGGCCCTTGGCTGACTCGTTCATCACAGTCAGCTGTGACTTATAGGACTTGTCAAGGGCCTTAAATGTTGGTTTTGTTTGAAAAAGAAATATACACGATTTAGATTGAAAAAATAAAATAGTTTCATTTCCAATGTATAACAATCGAGAACACTCAAAACTCGATATTGTGTTCATTACGTTTATAACGCCAGTTATAAAAAAAGAAAGAAAGAAGACTGTTTACAAGCACAGACACGCATATAAACAAAACAACAGAGGACCAATAATAATAATAATAGTAATTCAAAATTAATCTGTTAGGCCCTCGGAGAAGCGAGAGACTAAAATAAATAACGATATAATAATAACTACAAAAAAACAAAAATTAAATTAAAACAATTGATAATGCAGTACCTAATTCACCGTCATGCTTGTCGCGACTGGTGCAATCGGGACTTGCTCTGCTCTAGCCACAAACGGCTTTTTTAAACCGTTTCGTGGCGCTGATTTTCAGCAAACCCGGGGCGAGTGACCCACTTTTTTCTGTTTTGTTTCTTTTTCTTCTCGTATGGTTTCTTTTGCGGTAGTCAAATAAATGTGTTTTCTATCTTTCTTTTGATGATTCCGCCAACGTCAACGTCAACGTTAAAGAAAACTCGCGTTTATTATTCAGAATTTGATTGGTGACTTCCGATTGTAGACTTCTCACAGAAAAGAATCCACAACAATAGACAACACAAACATTTATAAACTATTCATATATCATACTATATCAATATGTCAAATTATAGCTATCGCGACAGCCAATATACAGGCTATAGTAAAACTAATACACAAGGCTTCTCTTAAAACAGGATTTATTACACCGAAACCTCTTAGAGCGCCATCAATTTAGACGCTTATAGAAACGCTGCGCTTCAATATTTTTTAACCGACTTTCAAAAAAAGAGGAGGTAATATAGTGACTGTATTTTTTTGTACGTATGTTACGCGTTATTTGTGAACTGATTTTGATGATTTTACTTTTTGTTGGAAAAAGGGTACCTTAGTAATGGTCCCATTTAAATTTGTAGAAATTATTACTACTCTAAGGGTGGCAAACTAGGGAATTAATACGGTTTCGCGCACTTATCGGTAACCGATTTCAATAAAACTTGGCAAATAGATGCAATTCCACGAACTTTTGAGGTCGGTTTTGTGAGAAAGTCTGTACTGAGATTATTAGTCACTAATTGTGACTGCAAAAGTGGCGCGATATCACAACAGTCGCGCTGCAACTGCGCTTCTAAATGTTGTATGAAAATTAAAATGGCGGGGCTGCAGCGCTATACTGCTGTGCTTCTATAAGCGTCTAATTTGAAGGTGCCCTAAAATGACAGTTTTATAAAAATAAACTGTTTAAAACATTTCTAAATATAAGAATATGTTTTGAAGTTTCGGGTCCATTGAAAATACCTCTGTATTACTTAAAATTACTGTTCTAATGATAAAACTAAGATTAATACTTACGTTGTAACCATCAAATGCCCAAGAATTCTCATCTTGGCCCAACATCATACCGGGGGCCATATCTGCGTGCGCCCAACCAACCTAAAACATAAAAGTACACTTTTTAGTGTGTTAACTTCACAGGAACACTTTCTTGGTTGGGAGCTGACAGAGGTGTTTAGTTCCCATAACAAAAATTTTTATTGCAATGGAACTATGAAACGGTTTCTCATAACAAAATGCTATTTTCATGGAACTAAAAACGATTTGCACTTTGTAGATCCATGACAATAAAAACTTTTTTTATGGGCACTAAACACACGACGCGACAAAGATGTTTTTTCTGAATGAAGGCTTGCGGCAAACGTGATTGACATTAATTTACTGGTCTTACCATAAACAACAATAGAAATGACTTATCATAACAGAAGTCACGAACACATAAAGCTCCCAACACACATTTCTCTCAAATTAGAGCAGAGCGTGTAGAGCAATATTATTTTTAAGGGACACATCTACAACTATATTGGCAAGTTTAATTGACACTGCACGATGACAACGTAAACATAATGAGGCCAAATTCTGTTATTTGTCACAACAGATCATTTTACAGAAGCGAGACAATCCAGTGACTTAAAAAAAATACTTCTTTTTGTGACAAAAAAGTAGTATTCCCTTTAATTAAGGCACATTATAAATGTTGGTGGTAACATGAAATTAAACAAGAGCATGTAAATAGACACAAACCATTTGAATTACATAGGACACTAAACAGAACGCAAGCGCGCCACCTAGCGGTGTAGTCCGCACAACTACGTTTCCCGCACTACGACAGAGTCGTGACATTGTCGGCTGGCACAATCATACGAATCAAAACGAAAAGAGGCACAGATGACATCGACAGTAATAAGATGTAAAAAATCTTACCCTCATGGGTCCAGCGGTGAGAATCTCAAATTCGAAGTACCACTTTCCGGAGCTGACAGCGTAGTTCTTCTCCGCCCTATAAGTTCTAAAGTCCGCTTGCTTCAGTTTAGACGCTTCCAATAAAAGAGCTGTTGAATAGAAATTTGTGTCACTAACTTTATTCTCTCCACTCATCGGCTACTGCAGAATACATGTTATTATTATTAATACAAAGGTCGAAAACAAAGAAAAATTCCTTCGACCTGACAGGATTTGAATCTGCGACTTTCACAGTCGCATTACTTTAAATATTTTTTCTTTCTCTATTATATCTTCCTTTCTTCAGTATTTTATTAATTCCTCAAATTGTATGAGAAAAGCACTATATATGCCTTGGCGGAAACGGGATTGCTTGACTTGTATTAATACAACTTGTAACATAACTGTAACTCATACTCGTCCAGCAATCCTTTACTTCCCGGCCGGTATACTCTATACAATCAATAATACATGCTATTTTTCATAGTTTTACCTTCATGTTGTTCCCCGGTTGGCGGATCCAAATTGTAACCGTAAACAAGAAGGGTCCGGACGGTCTCCGAAGCCGTGTCTCGGTTTGCCTTTTTTATTGCATCATCAACTTTTGGATACGGCACTAGGTGAGGAGAACGATGCATTTCCGGGTCCTGTAGATTTTGTATTATGATAAGTTTCTTATTCCGGAAGCTAAGGTTTACTTCAAGGGGCAGCACCGTGAAAGTGAATTGAAGCAAAGTTATACAGGTTTTTACAATTACAAAGTTATACCTACACAGGTAAAAATAAAGTGCGCGGGCCCTTTACAGGTACCATGGTCACGGCAGAATGAAATTTTTTTTAATTAGTTTCTCTGTTCTCGTTTAAAGCCATTTGATTGACCTAGAATTTTCGTGAAATTGACTTCCTTGGAATTGATTTTATTGGTAGGTCAATGTTCAAAGCACAAACAGCTTATCCACTATCCAATAATAGGTTTTTATTTTTTCGGTTCTAAATCGCGTGTATTTGTTTTTTCAAATATATCAGTTGTGACCTGTAATGGGCATGGGATGGGTATGGGCAATATTGGTTTGATTAAAAAAACAAATATACGCGACTCGGATCCGAAAAGCTAGTTTAATTTCCTAAATATAAGTTTCTTAGGTTTTATTGTTCAGTATCAAAGAGTAAGTGATCTTGCAGACGAAACTGCAGATGTATTTGTTTAAACATACAATCTTATAAAAATAAATAGGTGTAACCAGTTTAAATATTAACGTAATACGTAACGTAAATTAAACTAGTATTGCGTTATGTTCTAAACCAATTACAAAACAAACTTTCTATTGCATCCCAGTTCATTATTACATACAAACTTTAAAAGAAACTCTAATAATAAAATGGTACTTAATGATTTATACACTGTAATTTTCATTCAAAACATTAAAAAAAAATTAAGCGTTAGGGAACGAATCAACAGGCCTTACAAATTTCTTGTGCTTGTTGCATATCTTGTTTTTGGTTTTAACGATTTTTTTGCTGTAGTGCCATCTGTGAGAAATCTATGAAAGTTTTTCTTCACTGACTGAGTGAAAAAAAACTTTCATAGATTGGAAACTTTCGTAGAACACGCGCTACGACATAAAAGTCTCTACAAAAAAGCAAAATAATACTAGTACGTCATGAAGGTGTAAGAAAACACAAACCACAAAACACAGTAATAAAAAATCTAATCAAAAGCAACATCTTGAATCTTCTATGTTGAAATGATGACAAGCGAGGCATATCATGCTGTGACCCTCACACCTAATAATGGTAAAACATACTAAGTGTGAAGGTCACAGCTGACAGGCCAGCTGTAGGTGTCTTCGACGCTTGACAATAGGGGACGAAGTTACTTAAGACCTTGATAAAGCGGCGGTAGTATTGACAGTGTATGACGTTAGTGCTGATCAGAGCTGGCTGTATGGCCGCTTTAGACATCTCATAGTTTGTGTGAATTCAAATAATACACAGGGTTATCTTTAACAACCTCTCTGGACTATATAACTGACATCATAAACAACATCCGGAGCATATATTAAGATTATCATTTTCAGAGTTTAAAACTTACATTAAAAGTGTTTTAACTAAAAAGTTATATTACAAAATTGAAGAGTATGTGTTAGATAAAGATGTATGGAAAGACAACATGAGTCTAGATTCCACACAATTATGATTCAAAGCATTTAAGTTTATTTGAAAAGAGCAATCCCTAGAGTTTCTTGCTAGTTCTTCTCAGGGAGGTCAGTGCAGTGAACGATTAAGCTACTGCAGTTTAAAAAAATGGCGTTTTCAAGTGTAAAAAATTACAAGAACGGCTGAATTGGCTCTACGAGACCTTACACACTTTTGACGATGAAAGCGTAATGAGACTAATTACGTCTTTAACATTAATGTTTTTTGACGCGAATGCAAAGTGCTCCTATGTCTTTTTACCGACTTCCAAAAAGGAGGACGTTCTTAATTCTACTGTATTTTTTGTATGTATATTACGCGATGACTCCGGCCGGCATTTGTGAATAGATTTTGATGATTCTTTTTTGTTGGAAAGAGGTTACCCTAGTATTGGTCTTATTTAAGAAATATATTGGTCTTGAAGAAAATATTCCACCTGTAAGGGTGGCAAATTACGGGATGAATCTGGTTTAGCGCACATACCGGTAACCGATTTCAATAAAATTTGCCAAATAGATGTAAGCACGAGCTTTCGAGGTCATTTTTTTTGGTACTCTGTACTGAGGCTATTTCTTCTGTCTTTGTCTTGCATGAAACAGCTCCTTTAAAAAGCAAACTATGTCGTAATGGGAAGTATTACTACCTCATTGAGTCCGTAGGTCCAACTCTGCTGTATTCTCTCTCGGGCCCAGAGATTGTGAGTGTTCTCTGCTAACTGGTCTACAAGCTCATCCATTTTCGGTGTTAGGGTGACAGCACTCAGGTCTAGCGGAGCTGGTTTATAGCCGTTCGACTGAAATCGAATAGAAGACTTAGAACGTATCTGTAGAAATAGGTAATACAAAATATATTAATGTTAAAAATAGGCAAGTTCTGCTTGACGAATATTGGACAGTCAAGAAATCAATGCCAAGTTCGCAGAACTTTCATATGCCAAAACACAGGAGATAATCACGTGAACTTGACAGCGAGCTTTTGATTGGTTAAAATAAACAAGTAACAATACGGACCGGTGTTTGCTTCAGTTGTTTTAAACCATTTTTCTGATGAATTGGTTGATTTTGAGGCAGGCCATTGTTCTAGAAAGCCATCGACGTGTTTTATAAGGCGGGATAATAGAGAGCTAATAATTTACCTGCATGAAAGGCTCGTTAGGCAAACGAACGTTGCGAATACGTGCCGGCGGCTTGTCCAGGCTTATGTAGTATCCCAAAGCGAGAATAGTCCTGGATAAAAATACGAGTTTATTTATTTACTTAACATTTTCCAGTAATAACTAATGTGATAGTGTAGAGTACAAACCTGTATAAAGATTTACTATTAATATTATCTATCTGTAGTTATAAATTTCACAGTGCCATGGTCAGGGCTCCGTCATTCGCTCAAGGTTACGCGATAAGTGTCTATAACGCGATAAGTGTCGCTGAGTGCGCCGACGTCGGCGCAAGCGCTCATACAAGTTTTTCATTTATGACCATTCGGCTCCGCATGACTGCACACAGCGGGCAACGTTATTTTCACCTCTCAGAGCGCGAGCTTAGGTTCCTTTTTCCTCGTAGTGAGCGCTTGGTGTCGTTAGTCAGATTTAGTAGGATATTATAACATAGGTATTTGCGATTTTGTATGAGAGTTATGTGTCTGTTACGTGGTAATCTGTGGTTTGGTAATTTATTGTAATATTGTGTAATTGTATGAAATATAGACACTTATATTAAATCCATAATTAAAAATAAACTAACAATTGTTAGCAAAAGCTATTCTTAGGGAATTCCCGTATCTAAGGGCCGAGCAACCAAACGAGTAAGGGGCGAGCAGCGCTGCATAAAAGGCGGAGGCGGCCGGCGCGCACAGGCACTTCTTCCTAGCGCTTTGTGTGCGACGTACGTCTCCTTCCATTGGCGTTGTAAAATAGTGCTTTTTATTCAGATAAATTGATTGTTCTCGTTGTGATTATAGTAAATTGTGAACAGAATTGACATGAAGTAATAAATAATTAAAAGTAATTTCTGAGTTTCGTTATTACAATATAATTATATTATGTAATGTACTCACGAAATTATTATAATATGTAAAGAATTATATCTACAATATCATTCAGGATTCGCAAAGCTCATGTGGACGGGGCCTTCTAGCTCAGGAGGTCTTCTCCCATTCTCCGTTCGCCGTCCGTTCGAAACAATTACTGTCAAATAAGTCGATCAAATTAAAAGACACATGATGCGAGTGAGCTTCATACTCGACATTGTCTTTTGGTCGTTTGTTCGGATATTACTTATTTGACAGTAATTGTCTTGGACGGATGTCGAAGTAAACTCCCAATTTAGTTCAGCCGCGCGACACGGCCAATAACAGTGGATTTCGTGTCGCCCCCCTACGTAATCGTTCGGCACGCACAAAGACTCGATTTCCCTTAGGCTAGGGTTAAACATTACCGTCGTGGTGAATGTTCACTGATCCCACGGCGCCGACTCAACCGGCGAGAGGGAAACCCGGGGGGGTTTTAGTGGGGTAGGCCTTCCAGTGTGGAGGGAGAGTCCCCACATAACCCCTGAGTCTCCCTGGGCTCAGGGGTATCCATAAAGATTTCCCCCCCGTCAAAAAAAAAAAAAAAAAGGGTTAAACATTAACCCTCTAAGTATTTTAAAAATTATCTGAGCTAATGCAAGTCTCAACATACTTCTAGTCTGTTACAACCAACCTTGCCGAGTACGAACAAACTTGGCTGGAGTTATCTATTTGGCTGTGGTACTACAAAATTTTGCTTAAGTAAACACATTTTTTAAATTGTACGAAAGTAAATATTAATTATTTAATGGACGAACCAGATTTAAGAATAATTAATATGTATGGCAGTGCTTGTAGGCAAGTTTGTACAGCTAGTGTCGATGTGTATATGCTGCTTATAACAATTTTTAGGTAGCAACATACTTGAGTGTTTGCACAGCGAGCTGAATGTCGTATCTTTTCTCCGCAGGTGGCAGTCGCTCGAACGGCACGAGGCAAGGGTGTATTTTATGAAGATCCTCTCTTTGTTCGCCGTACATCCAACCGGCTTCGATCTGTTGAAACAAAAAATAATTAAGGATGGGTAACGATCGAGAGGTAACGCCTTCATAACTAAAGATATTTCTATCGTCCAAAATATTATACAGTGAAACAAAAAACTTACCTTGTTCATTGCCCACATTTCGTGGATGTTCTCGGCGAGTTTATCTCTAATTTGTTCTACGTAAGTTGGTAGAGTTATCTGGAATTAATTAATATATTAAAATTTTACAAAGTTTGTGTATATAAAGAGTCAGAGAACCAGAAATAGGACGCGGAAGCCAAGTCCGTCAAGTCCTATAGTATTTAAGACTGGAACTTGCCACGTTTTTCACAAAATCATGTTTAGACTTTCTTTTGTTTTTGTTGAAAAAAAAAAACGTATAAATGTCTTGCTCAAATATATTATTAAAGTAATATAGTTTCTGAAAGAGGTGTAATTTAACTAATTAAAATGCTAACTACAAATATTATTACGTTTACTGCATTTTACACGTCATTTTTATCTTCGTTTTGAAAAATTACATAGAAATTACATAAGAGGTATTCAATCTAAAATGACGATATATGAGTTTACATAATTCTTCATTTACCTGCATAGTGTCAACAGGTGTGGGCACGAATGCAGTGTCGTCTTGCACCAAAGGAGGTCCAGCCAAAGCACGTTTGGACAAGTTGCCGAAGTAAAAACAAGGCTCCAGGCTGAGGACTTGCTGGGGTAATAAAGATTCAACAAGTGGAGAATATCCTTCGGGAGCTGCGTAGCGCAGCCGGCCATGTTCGCCGCCAAGGAGAAATCGACAACTGTTGAAGAAGAGAATCAAAACTAATGTTCAGAATTTCAAAGCTACTAGGTAAGTCCTACCTTGTGTAGTCCTGCCCTTGTAGTGGTAAATAATTTTTTTATAATAATAAGTCCTGTGGCGAACAAGTCGTGCGCCTGATGGTAAGCTGCACGCCTGTCCTTAACAGCAGCACTGCCACTCAGAGCTTTAAATCGTAAAAATCTGAGAGGCACCGCTACTGCGCCTGTCATCCTGAGACACAAGTTGACAAGTCCCATGAGCTTGTAATTTCACCAATACCATCAGGCATTGCGAATCAGTGCACAGCTTCATTTTGTGATTTGCACTCTGCACTATAGTTTGCTATATACAACTTACTAACGTGTTCTGCCTAATGCCAAATTTGACCTTATTTTTAACCGACTTATAAAAAGCGATTCAAGTTACGCGATTAGTCCGACACTTGTGAACCGACTTCGATGATTTCTTTTTAATGGACCCCAATAGTGTTCCCATTTAAGGTCGCTTTTTTAAGGTAACTTTTTCATTGAAAAAAAAAAAACCCACCTCGAAACTGTGCTTATCGGCTTTCTTCGATTTCCATGGGATCCCCTCATAAGATTCTGACTTCTTGGTGACAATGGGACTGTTACGGACTCCTCTGCACATTTTATAGTTTTTTTTTCTGGTTGGTGACGGTGATTTTCGTTGATTTTTTGACTTATATTAGCGGAACATATTTTTTTATTTTGTGATAGCCGAAACGAACCCGGAACAGCATCGTCGGCATCAGGGACCTTAGAAAGTATCCTTTCAAACAAAAAAGAATTTTCAAAACCGGTCCTCAATTGACGGAGAAATCAGAAAACATACATACAGTCGAACGTACAACCTCCTCCTTTTTTTGAAGTTGGTTAATAAAAATGTTATTTACTATTACAAATATTGAGAAATAAGCGTAACTTACCTCAACTTGCTAGAGCAGCTGATTGCGGGGAAAAACATGCCTTCTAGATTGAAATTCGTGAACGATCCAGTGACCCTTACGCCGTTGAACATAAAGTTGATTATTGGCACGGTCAAGTCCAACGCGCAGCCGATTACGTCACCTGGACAAAAAAAAAAGATTGTAACTGTTATGATACTCCATAGCTGGACTATAAAGGTCTACGACATTTTTAAGGTTAAAGACAAATTAATACGAATAATTTTTCGACCTACTACAGAGGTCGTCATACCCCTCTGAAATAAAAAAAATGCATTTTGCGTCAAGTAAGCATACAAATTTATTATTATTTTTCCCATTTTTGTTTGATGCTGTCCGAGACCTTTGTTCACTTATATTTATTGTTTGTTTGTATTACTTTTTTAATGAAGTTATTATTTTGAAGTTTACATTTATCTATATTTACGTTATTTTGCAAGCTGTCTCCAGTCATAATTAGCTGTGCAAATAGGTATATAAGATCTTCACCATATTTAATATGTATATTTAAATACATATTAAATGTAACATTGTAATAACTGTAAGTGAACCAATAAATAAAAAAATGTACCAAAAATTTACCGCCTTTTTATATACGGTGTCGTAAAATAGCTGTGTAAGAATGCAAGAACCCGAGAATAAGTTTTTCTTTTTTGATTACAGTCTTATTACGCTAGCCAATCCTGTCAGGCAATTACGTGTATTTTAATTAATTTGTGTTAAGATTACCTACTTGACTCGACATTCACAAAGGAGGAGTTTTGGTCGTAGGGTGTCATGTACCGACGTTTTCGAGGCCAGTTACCGGATACCAACGTTGCGTTCGACGTTGCAGTCCATACGTATAAATAAATAGTGTTTTATATGATTATGTATGTTAGTCTGTAAAGTATGTATTTATACGTCTTTGTAATCTCAGAATAAATATATAAAAATATAGCGATACTTGGTATTTTAGACAAGTTTACGTCCAGTTGGCTACCTATTATCTAAAGAGGAAATGTTGTAAGGTGGTATGTGGTTGGAGCCCACTCATCAGGTTCTTCAAGTTTACCTTTCCGGATAAAAGGTTCCTCCGGATTACTTCTATTAACCGGAGTCTTGCGCCCTCCCGACCAGAGATAGGCGCCGTCGAAACCGAAGGAATACAAGTCGTCGCCAACGCCGTTGCCACCCCATTTCTCGCCACCACCAGGATACGGCACGTACCTAATAATTGTTGACAATTTCAATAAAAGTTTATTACAAAATTGGCGCTAGGGTTTTAACTAAAAAGCGAGTTTGATTGTGTCAATCGTTTGCGAACAAACGTAAGTCTATCTTTAATTTGTTAGAACCATTGATTGTGTGACTGACACAGCCGTGACCACGGGACCTGCAGCTTAAGAAAAAACAAATATATATATAAGCGATTTAGATCCGAAAAAAGTTTAATTATCTGTTTCATTTTGGATACTTCAAGTATTGAAGTTAAGAATGGATGTAGGATTTAATTTTCCTTTCTAAACTTCGGACATGTTTCAAAGTTGAAACACACCAGTGTTGCGCGTCATCACGCTGCTCAACTCCGTTCTCGAGGCGGCACCACGATCTGATTTGTTTTGTGAATGTAAGAAAGTGTTTGAACTAATGACACCCGTTAGTTGAATTCTGTAAAATGTTTTTTTCACATTGTTTCTGCGTTTGTAGCGACTTGGATTTTTTATCTGTTATTTTACAAATGTTCAATAAATAAATAAATAAAGTTACATGGTTTGGGACGAGGTTATTCTTAAAAAACCATTCATCTAATAAAAGCATCTAAACTCATTCAGTTGCTATCGCGCAAATAAAATAAACTTATATTAAAACATTCCAATTTTGATGACCTCACTTGTCCAATGGTTTGCTAGGTGGGCGCTGGATGAGTAGGTCCGGGGTTCGATTTCCGGTAGGACAGATTTAGGAAGTGAGCTTTCTGGGGAGTGAATTACATTTCGAGACCAGATAATTGGTGAAGTTGACTGGCACATTACTTATATTATTATTACTATTCGAAATACGCGCCTTGACGTCGAGTTGCGGACACCAAGTACCAAGTACTATTCGAAATGGTAATGGTCATGGTACGAGATAAGCTAGACAATAATTAAAAGTCGGTTAGGAGGTTCATCCTTCTTAACAATTTTATTTTAATCTCACATTGACTTTTCGTACCACGACGCGCTTAAAGTAAGCTTATTACAATGTTAAACTATGATGTTTTATTGGCAGGTTTGTGACTATTCATTCATAGAATTGGTTGTACGACGCGACTTTGATTTTAAAGTAATAATATTGTTCTTATGTCCAATTCAGCAATCTTAACATAGTTACTCGGACGTAGTGGAAACAATATTATTTTCGAATTTATTGTCTAAATATTGATTGGTGATGAATAAAAGTTCAGTTTAACTTATGTATTTACATAAATCTCTTTAATATTTTGTTTTTTTTTTAAATTTAATTGTACATGGGAAATAATTTCTACAATAAAATTTAAAAATTTCGAAATGTAAAGTCGGAATGTTTATTTCGTGACTTCCTGTGCTTTCACCAATGACGTTTAGAAAAATTATGACAGCGACACTAACAGTTGACACTAGGCTAATTCCGAATTCACAACATGACAAACAAGACTCAGCTTGTTTCATTTATTTTTTTTCATGAAAACGAGGAAAAATATTTTTAATAGATTTAATTGTTACATATTTTTATTTTTTTGGCATATCAAATTCTATGAAGGTAAATAATATAATGATTATAAGTACTTTAACATTATACTACGATAGGACGATTCGGGCCATCAAAAAAGAAAGAGATTACATTATGCAGTTCATATACTGTTATTCCTTTCCTATTTTAAGCAAGGAATAGACAATATTGAGAAATCATTCGTTTTTCAATCAGTTTAGCAATAATATATTGCTTGGTTAACAGGTATGTCATGGTACGAATATGAGTAATATTGTAATAAGCTTACAATAAAAATAAGATTGTTTTTTGAAAGGTTACGGTCGGCCCTCAGAACTGTACATTGGTTAGTTTTATCTTGCGTAATGTCGTCTTTCGCATGATGAAAATTATGACATACCCAGCTGTATTGGCCCATCCAATACGTAAATGAGGCATCATATGTGTAGTCTTCTCAATATGGTCCATGGTCACCTCAAAGTACCATTTCTGGTACACTGCCGAGCCTTCCACTCGGCCAACGAAGATATTTGGGCGAACGCTGAAATTTGAATAAAACTTTTACAACTAAATTTACAAAAACGCAAAATCAACCTCGAAACTTTCGACAAATCTATAATGAATGACAAAAAAGTGATTATCGACTGATTTATCGTTTTTCAATTTAGACCTAATATTAAAAAAACGCAGAATAACCACCCAGACTGTTCAAAAGACAATGCAAATTTTAGTAGTTGTAGAGCTCCTTGTGTAAGAGTTCGTCCAGGCTAGTACTGCCTTAACCTTGCCTATTTCTGCCGCCAAGCAGTAATGTTAGCAGTATGAAATATATAATATAATAATATGGGACTTGTCAACTTGTGTGTCAGGGTGACGGGCGCAGTGGCGGTACCCTTAAGTTCTTTGCGATTTAAAGTTCTAAGCAGCACTGCAACTGTTATGGATAGGCATGTCGCTTACAACCAGGCGCACGACACGACATTATTTTATTATTATCATTAATATTTTTTTGTGCAAATACTCCACTGGTTTGTTATTATTATTATTGACAGGAAGATCGGACAAAAACAAAGGAAATTTCCTCCGATCCAACTGGACTCGACCCACCTTCTGTTGCCTCAACGTGGTAAATTCTTTGGGAATTTTACAAGTTCCGCTAAATTTTATAGTCTTACCTGGAAACGTGGTCTACCAATTGTGTTTGCAGTAACAAATTCTTTCCTGGCAGCAAATAATCACAAATGTTGTTCTGCGAGGATCGCACGGCGACGCCATTACCCACGCACAATGAGCAGAGAACGTCTAAGACTTTCGGGTCGCGGCCATGCTTCTCTAGTAGAGATATTATTACTTTTATGTGTTCATCCTGTGATCAGAATAAATACTTTTTAATTTCCTCTTTTATCGTGATATTCTGACTTAGGCAGGGAAGTTTTTAATCCACGTAAAAAATAGTATATAAAATTCAATGGATAAATAACAAGGAGTTGTTTTATATTTAACGTTTATATAAAAGCACCCGGTTACAAGTTTCAAGCCTTTGTAGGTATATTTGTGGCATTGTAGTTCTCAACCGAATGGACTGATCTTGAAGAGGCTTTTTTTTTTCATTTTTTGTGAAATTGCTTTACTAGTTTTTATAATTATTAATAACAAAGATCGAACACTTAGAAATAATGCCTTCGATCCGACCGGATTCAAACCGACGTCTTCTAGCAAGCTGTGCCAGGTGCTTTACCAACTAAGCCACGGAACTAACCAGCGGACCTTACGAGTTTTTCTATGTGCTTGTTGCAGATCTTTGTCTGGTTCTAGTTTTTAACGCCTTTTTTTGTTATTTCTTCACTCAGATAGCCTTTATAGCTACCATCGCTGACTAGAGACATCAAAGTCAAATAATCATTAATTCCATAGGTAAAATTTTTACACTTGAAAACGTCATTTTTTAAGCTACTGCTCGTTCACTACGTTGACCTCCCTGAGAAGAACGAGCAAGAAACTCTAGGGATTGTTCTTTTCAAATAAACTTAAATGCTACGGAATACACTTAAAATCATAATTGTGTGGAACCTAGACTCTTGTTGTCTTTCTATACTTCTTTATCTAAAACATACTCTTAAATTTTGTGATAATTACTTTTCAATTAAAATACTTTAAATGTAAGTTTTAACCTTAGGAAATTATAATCTTAATATATTCTCCGGAATCTTATTGAAAAAACGTATACAGCTCCCTATAAAAAAATCGTTTACCTTAGTACCATGAGTTAGTTCTAAGGTAAATATTATGGATATCTTCTTTTTTAATGAAATTATGTATATTTATATTTTTTTATCGGTTTAATGACTGTAGTTTTCAAATGCTTATTGAATGCTTCGAGTATATAACCAGAAATAGAGACGAAACAAGGGCCATCCATCTCTGGCAACTAATCAGGCAAACGGGCCTTATATCACTTTTAAATATAACTCTCGTTTGCGCTGAAACCACAAATTAGAAAGCTGAAATAGTACAGCGCCAACAACTTACCTGTGTGGACGTCTCCGTATATTCCAAAAACATTCTGTATTTATTATAATTACACACAAACATTTATTACATTATTTAATTACAAAACAAACGGATCACATTCCATTGGTAATTAAATATTAGGGGTTAAAGTATGAAATTGCCGTTTTATTGCAATAGGTTCTTTGAATTTTCATAGAATCTTCATGGTTTGAGGTTTTCGAATGAAACTTTTTTCAAATGGTTTCTGTGATTTTTTTTTTTTAATTTGAAACTTTTGAATATTGACTTTCAATTGTTTTTGTTATTCAATTTAGACAAGAAAGATGGATACTGCGAAAATTCGAGTGATTTTTGAATACGAGTTCCGACGCGGAACTAACGCGGCAGAAACAGCCCGCAATATCAATGCTGCGTTTGGAGAGGGGTCTACTAATGAACGCACCGTGCGATTTTGGTTTAAACGCTTTCGTGATGGAAATTTCGACTTAAAGAACGAGCCACGAGGAAGACCGCCCACACAGGTGAATAACGATGAATTAAGAGAGATAGTGGAAGCCGATCCTAGTCAAACTACCCAGGAATTAGCGGCATGGTTTAACGTTACCTTACCCACAATATTGACTCACTTGCGTCAAATCAATAAAATAAAAAAATACGAAAAATGGGTGCCTCATGATTTGACTGATCTGCAGAAAGAAACGCGTGTTGAAACTTGTGTTGCCTTGTTGAACCGGTATAGAAATGAAGGAATATTGGATCGAATTGTAACATGTGATGAAAAGTGGATTCTTTATGATAACCGGAAAAGAAAAATGCAATGGCTGACCCCAGGTCAAATGCCACAACAATGTCCTAAAGCAAAACTTACCAATAAAAAGGTAATGGTAACTGTTTGGTGGTCTCAGCATGGTGTTATTCACTATAGTTTTCTCCGATCTGGTCAAGCAATAACGGCAGATGTCTATTGTGCCGAACTCCGAACCATGTTGACAAAACTAGCAGTAAAACAGCCCCGACTCATGAATCGATCTTCACCATTATTGCTCCACGACAACGCGAGACCTCACACAGCACGAGAAACCATTTTGACCCTTCAGGAACTGCAGTTAGAAACCATTCGTCATCCTCCGTATTCACCAGACCTTGCTCCAACGGACTACCATTTTTTTCGTGATTTGGACAATTATCTACGTGACAAGAAGTTTTCTTCCCAGGAGGCAGTACAAAATGCTTTCACACAGTTTGTGCAGTCTAGATCGTCGGAGTTCTATCGCAAAGGCATTAATAACCTTCCCATTAGAAGGCAGCAATGTATAGATAATAATGGCAACTATTTTGATGAAATAAATTTGTTAAAAATTTAAAAAATAAGCAATTTAGATTTTCAGTACAAATCGGCAATTTCATACTTTAACCCCTATTATTAAATATGTAAGTTTTCAATTTTCGTCTGTTATAGCAAAGCTCAAGTTAAACTGGTTAGTTTGAAGTGAAATAATTGAAGACACCCGTCAATTGTTTCGAATTCGGGTTTGTCAATCGGAACGCAGTTGTCACCGTAATGATTTGGCAGAATAGTTTTCAAACAAATTAATGACATTTCGTTTCTTATTTCTCGTTATATACTCGATGATTGAATGTCATGTTTTTCTACCATGATATTCTATTATAGGCGTTTTTTATTTGAATTGGACTCCTCAAGTAGTTGGTTTACAGCTGGTGTCTTTACTGACTTTTTGGAGTACGCTGTTTTGTATTGGGGGTATTTTAAATGTTTTATGTAAAGGTTTATGTTAAAATAAACACGAATCTAATATTTGTGTGAGCAACAAGTGATTAAAAGACATATTTTTAAAATTGGTAATCCATTACTCACTCTCATCATATTCAAAGCTTCAGGCGAGTCGATGAGCACGCAATGTAACACGTCCAGCATTCCCGTGCCTTCCCCCGACGCTTGGGAACCGAGTCTTGAAAACAGCCAGTTTAGACGATTGGAGTTAGCAAATTGGGCGCAGTTCGTGTGGTTGCCTTTGATTATGGCCGCTGTGGGAGAAATTAAGACCTTATTTTATGGGTGTCGAGAGCTTTGATACTTATTAGTTGATTGGATTCGAATGAGCAGTAGAGCATCATTAAACAAATATAGGCTGAGGAAAATGATGGAACCAGTCTTTACTAATAATATCAAACTACAATTACGTCTCAGGGTGATGGGCGCAGTGGCAGTGCCCCTTAGATCTTTGTGATTGAAAGCTCTGAGTGGCACTACTTTAGCTGTTACGTCTATAGCTTTTTTATTTAATAAAAATATTAAATGACCATAAGTTCATGTACAAATAAAAATGTATTGACAGGCAAGTGAGCGGTTGCAGACAAGTTTACGAATTGAATTCTAAAGACAAATCTACATTTTAAATCTTTCGTGTCTAAAACAAGTCATACGCCTGGTGTCAAATGACACGCCTATACATAATAGTTGCAGTGTCACACAGAGCTTTAAATCGCAAAGATCTGAGGGGCTCTGCCTCTACGCCCATCTACCAGAGACATAGTCATAGTCATAGTCATTTATTGATACCAAAAGTAAAAGTTACATAAGTGACAAAAAAAAATTACAATAATGAATAATTAAATCGATTTACAAGAAATAATTAATACGATAATTGAATCTTAATAATAATTCATTAAATAATAATAATAATTAAAACAATAAGCTATGAAAAACAGTAATAAAAAATAAAACTATTAACAATTACATTACAATTATATCAATAAATTAATAGCATCACACAATACTACACTCAAACGTGTACAGTGATTGTTCAACAAGCCACGTTGTCAAGAGAAACGAGAATGAATTTCTTGATGGTGCATTTCGCACGTTATCCGGTAACCGGTTGTAGACTGCCGGTTAATAGCGTTGATAAGTCCTAGGTGCCTATAGTTTCACCAGCAATTATACCCTTTAAAACCGGAACGCAGAAATAGGTAAGTGGCAGTATTTCCTTGGACGGACTATCTCACAAGGAGCTCTACTGCTACTAAAAACTATTCAAAGACATAGTGAAGTCCCCAATTGAGTAATCGTGATGGGTTATAGCCTGAACACGTTATTATATAATTTTCGTAGAATTTAGTAACAAATAAGCTACTTACCCAAAAGCTGATAAAGGTAACCAGATATCATATCCCAACTTTGTCCCGATTCGTCTCCCGCCAGAAAACCAGCTAAGAAGCCCTGTGACGTAATCACGTTGATCTTGTCTATGGCTTCTAGAATCAGATTTAGAATACCTTCCTCTTGGAAAAGATCTTGGCGGTTGCGAAGAGCTCGGAATTTGTTTTGTTTTTCTTCGTGCTCTGGAATTGAAATATTTAGTTTGAAGGGTCATATACATAGCGTAACTGTAGGACAGCCTAGTTAGAAATACTCTTGCTTTCTGTATAGAAGGTCTTGTGTTTGATTAACACCGCAAGATCTACACTACTAATTTTCAAATTATGAATAGATTAGTTTCCGAAAATATTGTGATTAAGCCTACAAGGTCGGAGAATGGTTAATGTACCTCTTGAAAGTCTTTTCTTGTCTTGAATTGGCGAGACTTGGCAAGAGCCAAGTCTCGCCTTAGACGAGATCCGTATCCAGCCGTAAATAGATGTTGTACAACGCACAAATCGATATCTCTAATGAACACTACACCATCTTAATTTTTAGACCTGTTCTATTTTTATTTAGTTTTGTTTCTTTATTTATTTTTTTTTCATAAAATTCGGTTTTTAATTTTTTTTTTCGATAGAGAAAGAAAATGGCCAAAATATAATGTTGGTGTAGCGTTCATTGAAGGTAACGAAATGATATGGCTCTACAAATTTATAGCAGGAGTTCAGTGATGGATTTTTTTTTCAAACTTGGCCTGCCTACATGCGGTAAGTTTTTGTGCTCCATGTGCAGCACACATGGCCGATTTACCTAATTGAATGGATTAAGTATAAATATTTTTTGTCATTATTGTTGTTTAATGACAAAATCTATGGGAATGATACGTTGAGTTTTTCAAATTGTTTCTACTAAGATATTTAAAAAAATATACGAAAATTTTAAATAAATACTTATTTACAAGGATCAGCCTTACACATTTTTCTCAAGATAATCATCTGCCTTACGAATGTCAACAAGTGTTTAATAAATTTGTAAATGTGTATATAGCTTATGAAGGAAGACTTATAAGGAGATAGACCTGTAATCAGCTTGATCTGCGGTATTTATGGTTCTTTGACATTTGTTGTATTTTTTGAACAGTCAGCATCAAAATGTTCTAATCAGTCAAAGTAACCAAGCATTACTTTTAGTTTAGATAATTTTGTTGCTGACTACACATTGCGGCTCCTATAACGGATTTCTTTACTCATTTAATTGTCAAGGAGCAAACAAACCATTATATCGTGTATTAATGCACGTGTGTTATTACTTACCCATGTCTTCATCAGGCTGTGCAAAGTAGTTGATGAGATCCTCAAGACACATCACCATTTCGCTTAAGTTGACGGACGCGAAAAACATTGAGTGTCGACGGTTTTCTTGCAGTGTTTCCAGGCCACTGGAAGTGAACATGAGGAATTCAGTGTTTGAAAGACAGTGAATGGTACCCCTTAGACTACATCTATAATTTAAAAAAATACCTGACTTCAAACTTTTTACGTTACTCTCGCTCTTCCACTTCCTCTAACGATCTGCCTCATTCGACACACAAGAGTACGTATTCGTATCATATTTTATTTAATTGTGGCATTTATTGAATATATTATTTTTAATCACTCTTGCTCTTAGTGTCATGGCATGCAGACAAAGTCAACCGTAATGTCTAAATTATGTCCATGAGCTTTTTCGTTATATTATTTTTGATTTTTTACCTCAAGATTAAGTAAAACAGTTTTCATACTCGAAAAATCTGAAGGTATATTTCGCATATACTTGAAGTATAAAAAACCTGAACATTTGCAATTTAACCATATTTGATTAAATTTATTTTGTGAATTCAAATTCTGCAGTATAGGAAATTATTTATTTTATATGTAATACATTTTGGCTGCATGCGTCTGTCGGTACCTTTTATAATATATTTTCATTTCTCATGCTCTTAAAGTTCGTATTTATGCTGGGTGTAGGCTGCATAAAACAGGATTTTATGCTCTAGTGCATAAAATAAAAAAAAACATCACATTAAATATGTCTAATTGTTGTAATTTTACATTAAATTTTAATTAAATAATCGTTTATTTGTAATACTGCCGTTTGATTTCCTCGCAATCGATGTGAAAAGAGGAGTGTATAACTCGTTCATAAACCCATTTTACCCTCGATTTAAGTATCCAGATATACTCGTCTCGGATAAAATGATGCGTTTTATGCACTTGTTGTACAATCTATACTTCGTTTTAATCCATTTTGAACAAAAGTAAACAAACAAGTCACTGACCCGACCATAGACGGTTTAGTGATGGCCAATTGTAACGCCAACTACAAGTCGATTAATTAATTGAATGAATCGATTTGTTCAATTGAGTCATACTAGCGGTTTTCCTTACATAACCTATATAAGCATATTTAAAATTTCAATTTAAATCCTCCTTCAAATCTTCACACTTACGAGTAGATACTCGTTCGATTGCGATTGAAATGTTCGATTTAATAATCGATTACTAAACTATAATTGTATGAACCGAATGTTTTTTTTTTGAACAACACTATGAAACCACAGGCAAGTCATAGAAGTATAGATGAATTTAGAATTTTAGGTTCTTACCTCACTTTTGACCTACCATTTTTCAAATACGATTTTACGATGCTATTCAAATGAATATTGTAGGAAAAAGTGATGATATATCAAGTCGAAATCTTCGAAATATACGTGAAAGTGTTACTTATTCGATTTATCGAGTTTTAGAATTTTAACCAAACAGGTTTGTTTATTTTTTGTTCAAAATGGATTGGAACGGACTATACTATAGTTCGAGTTGTATTATCTATGGAAGAATAGCTAGCATTTGTTTCAGAAAAAAACAAAAACCCGCCATTTGCAAAATCCGTAAAAGTTGTGTTGTAAAGCGACATTTATTCACACAAGAAATAAATTATCGTTGTATCTATTTCCACGCAAAATAGGCGCTTTGTCGTCGAGTTGCGGATACCAGCCCGTTGCACCAAGTACCAAGTACCAAGTTCCTCGCAAATGTGATGAAAAACATTGTATGTAGCACAGGCGGTAAACATTACAAACGTCGAGTCATTAAAGCCCCCTGCCGTCGGCTTCGGGCTTCTAACAAACTCTCTTTAGTAATTTCTTATTTTTCGCCCTTAATACACAATGTACTATAACGGTTTTATTTCGTGAGCATTTGGCGTAACAAATGATAATAAACAAATTAAGCATCAATAAAAATATTGACCTCAGTTTCAAGGTCATCTTAGTACATTTTTAAAATCTATAAATACTTACTTGATAAACTTGGTGAACAACGAAGAACACTTCCTAATGACCCTGGCAGTCCTGGACTCCTCTTCTTGAGACCTGGAGAAGTCCAGCCCGTCGTCCATCTTGCCTTCTTCGTGGAGGATCGCTTGCTTCTCCTCCACTTTGCCTACGCCTTTCTTTTTTGTCTCGTATGACTGAAAAGAAGAAAGAACTTTGATGAAGGTTACATTTTTTTTTACGATATTATAGGGGATGATTTTTCCCTATCAACTCGAACACTTTATTAAAGAGAGCACTAACGAAACTGTGAAATCATGATGGAGCACCTTTGCCCAGGAGATGAGTTGACCCGATTTTTGAAGATGTTGGGGTTACAAACACAGAAAATTTTAGATGTAGGCAGCGTGTTCCTTTCCCTGGCTGAGTGAAAAGACGATTTCTTTTTTGTGTAAAATCATAAGGTTATTTTATGACCAATATAAATCTTTACTTCTGCACTTCAAAATTCTAAGAAATTAACAGGTGTTCCATACTATATATATATTACTATACGTATTCGAGCAAAACGTATGGGAGCTTCTACACGATTTTTCATCAACCTTTTCAGATACTGACGTTTGTTCTTGTTAGATAACCCATATATTTATGATACCAAGTGACCAAAAAAGCTGTACGCCTGGTGTTAAAAGGCTCGCCTGTTCATAGCAGTTACCGTGCCATTCTGAGCTTTAAATCGCAACTATTTGTGTAATAAAATATTTGTATGGCCCACATTTATTTCTCTCGTGAATTTGGGTGTACTTTGAGGTGGTCTATGTGTGTGGCCACGCCACCCGCAACACAGGGTTTCCCTAGTGCGAGGTAAGCAAATTACACTTAAAATCGTCATACTGAATTCAGTCTAGCAGATTCCTCTGAGAAGAATGAGCAAGAAACTCTAAGGGTTGTTACTCTTTGTAAATATACATTTGAATACATTTATCATTACAATATTTGATTTAAACATCTTAGAGCTAAACGGGTACTACCACGGATTTTTGTCATCCAAGTACGCAGCAGTTGTATATTAAATAACCTTCAGTATAAAGTTTTTGTTTCACTATAGTTTTAAACCTCGTGAATAGCAAATTTTGTATATCAACTGGAATCTTGTTTTAGAAGCGTATACATAACCCCTTAAATGAATTTGTGACTTTATGAAGACTACTATCAAGAACAGCTAGTTTATTTTCATTCCTCGTATTAATGTTATGTCTATCAATATTTTTTATAAAAAAGTATATTTTAAATATTTATTCAATTGATATTCAATTATTTTTTGTGACATTACTCCATTAGTTTGTTATAATTATTAATACAAAGATCGAACACTCAGAAAAAATTCCTTCGGTCCGGCTTAGTTGGTATAGCGTCTGACACGGTAAGCTAGAAGACGTCGGTTCGAATCCGGCCGGATCGAAGGAATTTTTTCTGAGTGTTCGACCTTTGTATTAATAATTATAACAAACTAGTGGAGTAATTTCAAATTGAATATCAATTCAATAAAAATTTACAATACAGTGAATAGCGACATCTTTCGCCAGGACTGGTAACTGTAAAGGTACTAACTGGCTGATAAACCTTTCATAGATTTCTCATAGTTGGCGTTACTACTAAAAAGTCGTTGAAAAACCAAATACAAAGACACGACGATAGCACATAGAAAAATTCGTGAGGTCCGCTGGTTCGTTCCGTGGCTTAGTTGGTATGGCGTTCACGGCAAACTAGAAGCCGTCGGTTCGAATCCGGCCGGATCGAAGGAATTTTTTCTGAGTGTTCGATCTTATTTTTCTTAACATAAATAACATTTTCATAAATGTACTGTTATGTTAGTGTAAGAATGTTAATCTCTTTAAACTTATCTCTCATAGACACTCTGGGGCCCAGATTGTAAATTGCCCTAACCGCACATTTCTGCAGGACAAAGATTTTATTAGTATCGGTGGCATTGCCCCAAAGTAAAATGCCGTATGTCATTAAAATGTGAAAGTAGCTGAAGTAAACAAATCTAGCTGTTTCGACGTCTGAAATTTTTCGTATATTTTTTTTTATCGCGTACACTGTAGGGCTGAGCCGTTACGATAACTTATTTATATGTGGTTATGTGATTAAATATACGAACTCAACTGTGATATTATGAAGTAAATGTTTCTATTGTAAGAATTGGCTAGGGAAGTGATCTACTTAATTAAGAATTACCTTATAAGACAACCATAACCCAGTCTCGGAATGCTGCACAATGACAGTGGAGTCACCGTACTTGATGATAGGCGCGCCGATCACTTCCAGGTCTTTGTCTTCGAGGACCACTTTTTGATCGTCCTTTTCTTGACGGAGACAGAAAGCGCAGGAAGCTGTTGTTGCGTTCTCTCTGTATAAATGAAATATACTTTTCAGATGGATACAAGGGCAAAGATAAAAGAAGCTTAATTAATTCTAATTGTGTAACAAAAATTATTGAAATACCTGTTTTACTACCTACTTAGGCTATGTTGAGTGTGTGTACGTTATTTATTTCGGTTATCGAAATCGTTACTACATTTATTTCTCTTGGCCCGAAAATCGAACCTGGGACCTCTGCGTGGCAGTCCGGCATGGTAACCGTTCGGCCACGAAGGCAGTTAAAAAGTTTAGCTTTTGTCAAAGAAATATAATACGGGTAATATCTATAAGTAGTACACAAGAGCAGCGGGGAACCTCAAAAGGCTCAAATCGATGCCTCCTATGAACACCACGCGAATTTAAGTTTTTTATCATTTCCTGTATTTAATGTAAACAACTTTATTTTATTTACTAAAATCATAGTCCTTGAATTTTGTGAACCATAGTGTTGTGTGTTACCGTAGTGTTCATTCATAGCGTAGTGGAGGTATCTAAATTATTTATATTTATAATAATTATTGTCTTTATTTTGTTAACAATAATATAATTGTTTCACCCGAAGATTTTTTATTATTGCTTGGGCAATCACATTGGCCATTTTATTCGACAAATAAGGCAACAGACACACACGGGGAGGGATATTTCAAGCCGGGGGTGAATAAGGAAACCATGTCAAATGACTTCTGCAACTTTTCGTGTCAAACTAAGTAAAGAACCACTGATATATTAGTCTATTTATTTGTAATTTTTTTATGATACCTAGTGACGGGACGAACAAGTCGCGCGACTGTGGTAAATGATACGCCTGTCCATGACAGTTGCACTGTCATTCAGAGCTTTAAATCACAAAGATTTGAAGGGGCATTGCCACTGCGCCCGTCATCCTGAGACATAAGTTTCCAAGCCCAATGTGTCTGTAATTTCACCAGCACCCTTACTTCAAAATCGAAGATTTGAAGCGGCAGAAACAGGTAAACGAATTTTCTCATTAGGAGCTATAACAATCGAGAAGAGACCTCGAATTCTGCATGCTTATCTGGTAATCCATTAATCAACTATGCTATGTTATTTTACTATGTTGAGTGTGTAAGTTATTATTATTATTAACTAACCTGCTGACCAAATACAGCTCATTCTGGTCGTTAACACCCAAGTAACGACCAGTCGTGATATGTCGAATGCGCATAGGGTGGTACCAGTTGATAAAGCCACCTGCCCACTTGGTTCGTGCCAGTTCCAAACGCCACAGAGAGCGCGCTTGGGACATCACAGAACCGCCCTCGTAGACCACAATACTAAAAGATAAAAATGTAACATTTATATTTGAAATAAAACTGTGTAATAAGGTGTATGTTAATGGTCCTCAGGGTGGCAACCACGAAAATATATTAGACATAGGAGTTTTTTGTAAATGAGACAGTATGAGGAAATCCGAAACTATAGAAGATACAAGGAAGCTGTCATAGGAACCATTAAGTCTTTTTTAGTGAAAGCAATTTGGTATAGTCAATTTTTGGTCAAGCGTGAGTTGTTCATAAACATGAATAAAATTGATGGAAATTTATTTAGTGCTGATCGCCTCAGTTTCATGACGGGATAATTTCATTGTATGGGACGAAAAAATCGGGACAGTCGAAGTTGGTCAAATTTCTTAAAAAAGACACAATGAATATATTTTCGTGGTTGCCGGCAGAAATATCTAAGGTGGCAGTACACTGGACGAACGCTTTCACAAGGAGCTCTACTGCTACTAAATGTTCGTAATGTAGTCCTGTAAGCAACACTGTAAACAGCTAATTAATTAAAACAACCAAAAATTATAACAATATTAAAATATAATCACTTACTTTTGCCCCCCTTCTTTGGTCCAAGTACTAGGTATAGTGAGACATTCGTCACCTCCGTGGAAGAATCTTAGCACATCGCCTCCGAACACGTAGCCCACGTACTTCATCCTCGATATGCCAGTGCCATAAGGCTGCACGGACCAATGTGTAACGTGGAATGAGGCATTCACAATTGAGACTTCGTTTTCTTTCGTAGTATGCTGTAAAAAGATTTATGTATAGGAAATGATACTATTTTTCCGGATTTAAATCGCGTATATTTGTTTTTTCAAACAAACCGACGTTTCGGGTCCTTTACTGGTCCCATGCTCACGGTTGATTTAAATCCGGAAAACTAGTTATATTTTTATGTGTAACAATCGCGAAAACCTAAGAACTCGATAAAATGTATGTAGTCATAAATAACTAGTTTTTCTGGTGGATTTAGAACGACCAAATTGATCATTGGATCAAGCGAAAATTGTCTAGGTCGCAGTCTCTTTACTGCGTATACAGAGTAAAAAGAAACAATCGACAATCGAGTCGCCCGGTGAAGTTTTGGAAAGATGCAAAATGTTGACAAAATTAAAATGTACTGTGTATGTATATGCCCTTAAAATGTCCTTATACCTTTAATCCTAAAATACCAATAATGGTTTGTATCCACAAGTGTATAACAAAAAGAAATATCGGTCTATCGGTATAATTATGGTTATAATTATCGGCTGGATTTACATGCGACAATATTATCAACATAAATGTATAAAACTTACCAAGTATCGTTCAGTAGCGACTGATACAAGAATCAGATCGTCACCAACACGCACTTTCTCACCCTCGGATCTGTTGAGAAATTTTAACATTTAAAAATGAAATGGGACCACTATGGAGGTACCCTCTTGCCAACAAAAAAAGAATCATGAAAATCGGTTGACAAATACCGGAGTTATAGCGTAACATACATACAAAAAAAAAATAAACATACAGTCGAATTGAGAACTTCCTCCCTTTTTTGAAGTCGGTTAAAAAACAAGGCACAAGGGCATTGACTTACAAATAAATGGACGACGGGTCTAATACAAAAACCACGAAAAAAATGTCCCAAGTCAACCTATTCGAAATTTAAATTGTAATGTCATCGCAGTATCGCGCTGTCAGTCGAACAAATGAAGACTAAAGCGGAGTGTGGCGCTCTGTATACGATTTTAGCGCCTTACAAGTGCGGACACTTTTTAGCGCGGACCCGACGTCCATATAATTGTAAGTCAATGCACAAGGGCTAAATTTCGCGAGGGCTAAATTTCGCGTTAAATAAGATGGTTATAAGTAATAAGGTCTCATCTGCTAAATTACAAATTTTCAGGAGAGTGATATAACGATTCTACGAACTAAATTAGGCGATCACTTTTTTATGCTTAAATAGGAGATTTATAAAATTTCACATTTACATAATTATAACTTTAGTCGACGAATTTTTTCTAAGTGTCTGTTACTAATCTTTGCAACGAATTTTCGGTTTTCGCTATCGTAGCGACATCTGTGAGATACTGTTTAAACCTTCTTACTCAGCCGGGAACCTTCCAGTTACCACAAACTGACGTTGACGTCGCTTTTTATGAACATGTAAAAGCTTTATGTATAACAAGCACAACAAGAGACAGAAGAAATTAGTCGCCTTAGTAAACTCGACCTGTAGCTTAGTTGGTAAAGCAATGGGGACGGCATCATATGGTCGCAGATTCGTGTCGGGTCGAAGGATTTTTCTTTCTGTTTGGTCTTTGTATTTAATAATTATAGCAAACTAGTTATTTTACAAAAAATAAAACAAATCAATAACACATGCCCATTTTTATCAAACGCGGCTTTCGACTACAGGACGGCGCACAGTGGGCCCAAATTGATAATTCTTGGACATAGGAAAAACTTGTGGAGCATCGAGCAAATTTTTTATGTGATAAATGATAACATTCCTAACAACTTTTATTCTTGTATAATTTCTTGAAAAGTTGATGGTTTCGGAGAATTTTTTTTTTTCTAAGGATAAATATTAATTTTATTTTTATCTCAAAATATACGAAAATGTAATGTGTGTGTGTTACTTACAGTATAATT